TGGAACCCCACTGGAGCCCCACTGGAATCCACTGGAACCCCACTGGAATCCACTGGAACCCAGCTGGAGCCCCACTGGAACCCAGCTGGAACCCCACTGGAACCCCGCTGGAACCCAGCTGGAACCCAGCTGGAACCCCACTGGAACCCCACTGGAGCCCCACTGGAGCCCCGCTGGAGCCCTGCTGGAGCCCCACTGGAACCCCACTGGAGCCCCACTGGAATCCACTGGAATCCACTGGAACCCCACTGGAACCCCACTGGAACCCCACTGGAACCCCACTGGAACCCCACTGGAACCCCACTGGAGCCATTGCTGCTTCCCCAAGTGCTGGAATGCAGCCTGGCCCCAGCAACTCCCCGTGCTCCAGGGCAGCGTTTGGGTTCTCCTCCAGGGCAGCGTTTGGGTTCTCACACCCAGGCTGCCACAGGCTCGCTTCTTCGGGGTCTCCTTCATTCCTGTTGTAACTGTTTTAGACACGTTGCTTTCCACCTGCATTTGCTCCAGTTTCAGGTTATTTTTCTAAACACACAAATTTAATCAGTTGCCTCCTCTAATGAATGATTTCATAGGCACTACCTCGGATTTGTGAGCAATGTGCAGCTTTTAAACTTCTTGATCACAGTAAACAGGCTCTCTTTTCTGCTTTGCTGCCCCAACTCCCTTTTCTCTTTATTGTAAGTTATATATTTCCCTTAACATTGTTAAAATTGTCACCTAAAAGGCAGAGGTACCACTGTGTGCAGCTGGGGAATAAGATACTCTACACACAAGGTCCAAGGTCCCATTTTGCAAAAATAGCTGCTGGGAAGGGTCAGTGGTTCATCTAACAAAAAAAAACCCCAACAAACTCTAAGAGAGAATCCAGTTGTCTTATTTTAAAGGGGAAAAAACCTGTCAGTGTTTGTGTCAGAAATGTGCTGGGTCTAAACCCTGTGAGGATTTTCACAGATCTTGGACCCAGCTTCAACACTACAGGAAAACACCAAATAAGCCTGACTCTAAAATTTACCTGAGATCACAGTAGTCCTATAGGTGTGCACACATGCATTTATGTCTCCTAACAAGGGGCAAGTCCAGAGCAATAAAGAGCTTAACTATGGAATTTCATGGAACATTGCTAGCCTCGTGTAAGATCCAGGGCTGAAATAAAATAGCTTTATTCCATACAGAAGTGAAAAGCAGGAAGAGCATGCCATGCCATTTTAGTCCTTTATTGTACTATGACACCTACCAGCAGCACTTGCACTGGCACTGTCTGACCCTGATGCCTCTACAGCTGAATTTCTCTTGCTGGGATAAGAGACAGAAACTGTGTGCTTCCATCTCACAGATAATTCCGGGCTACAGCAAGGCTGCTGCCGTGGGAAAGACAGCCAGCACTCACAAAGAAGATTTCAGACAGCTGATAATGAGTTCAAAGCCTTGGCCCGTTAATAAGCTTATTTGTTCCCACTACATAGGTCAACAATTCACTTCATGAAAGGATGATGAAAGACTGACCACTCCAGACAAAATGTCTCCTATCCCTTGGAAATGCTTTTCTTGCCATTTAATTTTCATGGTGCACTACAGGCTGCAAGTAATTTTGCCACTCCCTTACTCTTAATTTTCCTTCTCTTTAATTATTCCCAGATCCTGCAGGTATGTATGGTGCTTTGCAGAATTACAAGGTCTCTTGCCTGAGGAGCTCCATGTGCAAAATGAATTGGGAAACAAAGGGAGATTCAGTCGTAGGGATAGCAGCCAAATGAGCTGAGACAAGAGAATTTTTTTCCTTTTGTTTGAGAAACTACTTATTGTATAAATGCAGATTGTAAAGGGAGAAGAAGCAGGAAAAATAATAATCCAAAGACTACTACTACTACTCAACCTTCTTGGTCAGCTGGACTTTGGAGATGGGCAGCAATCAGGATGGTGTAAAGGAAAGAAATTCAGTGTCACTGAAGGGCAGGTAAGAGGGAAAACTAATTTTACAGGGTTGAGGTGTTGTGCAAAGACTACAGCAATGTGAATACAATATGGCTGTTCATACCTTAATATGTTCCTTGGCTTTGTGGAGCTCTTCATGTTCAACAGGGAGTGGATCTTTTATTTTCTCTTTTAGCTCTTGCAGTCTGCTTTCCAGTTCCTTGGTTTGCTTTTCAAAGCGGTCACAAGTCTGCTCAGAGAGAACCAAGGATGTATAAAAGGTGAGGATACTTTATCATGAGGTATGAACCACACAGATATATTACAAAATAACATTTTCAACCCACTGAAATAATCAATCATGTGCTCTGGTTTTTGGAATTTTCTCTTTTGATACACAGTGCCACCCACAAGGATTTGGTGCTTGGGTTTACAGAACTTCAAGCCTCTCCTATTTAAGGCTTGCCTTTGAGAGTATTTCTGCTCATTTTGTTTTGTTCAACCCAAGAGGCTTTAAGCATGGTTTTTGGACTGTATCAGTGACAGTATTCAATTTTAAGACACACCTAATAAGCTACTTTGCCATGAAATCAAACTGATTGCTCTAAGGAAATAAATATGTATTTAAATGTTCAAGAACATGAGGAGGAACAAGCTAAATTTTAGCTTCACAGCCCAAAGCAGGAATGAGCTCCAGACCATGGGGAGAACATGAGAACAATCAGAGCAGGAACATCCATTGTTCCAACAAATGGAATCCAACTCAATTTCCTTTGGAGAATCAGGAGACCACAGTTTTAGCTTCCTTCAAGCCCTGCTGACACATGACAGGAACTTCCCTCAGAGTGCCCCTACAGCGAGCAGCAGCTCAGCCCTGGAGATGGTGGGACAGGGAAGCTCTTGGAGACCCAATGCCAGAGAAGCAGGTGGGGAGGGCATCATCTACCTGTAGGGTGCCACTGAACTGCATCTTCTTCTTCTCCAGCAGGGCCTGGGTTTTCCCCCAGCGCTGCTGTAACTGGCTGAGCTCCTCCTGGAGAGCAGCGCTGGTGTCAGGATCGGAGACAGTGCGCAGCTTCTCACCAACATCGATGACCAAGGTGTACATGGCTTGCCACCTCTGAAGGATCACTGCCTTACTCTTCAAAAGAAAAAAAATAAAATTAACTTTCTAAGCTATTCTTAGAAAGTTACAGAAGTGCTTTCCCAATATTTCACTTGCGAAGATGACTCTCAAGGTACAACTTTGTTCATAGGCATGAAAGAGTAATCAATAGATCTCCTATATGCTTAATTGCAGAAAAATCACATTTTCTCTGATACTTTGATTTATAAAACTGTACAATAGCTTTCCCCAGATTGAATCTATAGGGTGAAAGTGCAGCAGTCAAGAAAGATGGAAATTCAGTTGTACAAGTTACTCAGAACAAAAAATACAATCTAAGTTCTGTGACCACATCTAACATCAACATCTTAGGCTAATTTTTTCAGCTATAACAGCCCTGTTCATCATGATGTACTCAAAGTGAAGTAAGCCATCAATAATAATTTGCCCACCACAGATTGATCTCCAACACAAGGAGATATAATCACTTTCTTTCTGTAGAGCAGCAGCAGGAGGAAAAGGACAATTTGGAGTACGAGGGAGAAAACTTTCTGGCTTTTCTCACTAAGAAAAAAGCATGAGCACTAAGTTGTAAAATCTACTGAAAATCACCTTTACACAGACAGGTAGAAATGAAGACGAAATAAACAGGGCAGACACCAGATAGAATCCTGGTAATGTGTTAATCCATCAACACTAGATGTATGGGTACACAATATAAATCTTGGCCTGTGCAAATAGCATTCAACAGTATGATTTTAAAAGGTTTTAGACTGCCTTACACAAGCATCAAGTTCACTGCTTGCTTCTACCTTCCTATAAAACAAAGAGGTGCATAGTTAAAGGGAAAACCAAAATATCCAAAATTAACAAAGGAAAATATTTTTTTCCACTGCATGGAAAACGCAGAACTCACTGTTCTAAAAAACTGCTCACCACGTTTGTGTATCTTGGAGTGAACAGACTCCCTTGCAAGTGTTTTCTCCTTTGTTTCTGGCATCTCCTGCCCATTCCTGCACACACAGGACACTCTATGGTCTGTCCTGCCACTTAAGTACCTTCCTTCAGGCAAAATAAAAGGCCTGAATTCAGCAGTCATGTCACTAAGATGTACACAGACCTAGAGGTTACCTGCTAGGACAGACTAGGGTGCCTGACTCATCTTCTGGCACCCTGAATTTCTATTCTCGTATCCATAAGAATTTTAAAGCATGCAAGGCTACTTAATGGCCATGCTGATCAAGAAGTTTCTGAGTATAATGCAATGTCACTGCTTTCTTATCTGTCCTCAGCTTTAAGGAAAAAGTGTCACCAATCATTTCTCCCCCAAGCAAGTGTGTGATTTTAAAGCTTTTTACCTTAGTGGACAGAAGTTGTTTCAGTCTGAGGGAAAAAGCTCACGTATCTTAGATTTATGAGAAAAAAGCACAGTACCTTGAAATCATGAATGACATTTCTAAGCTGATAAAGGCTGTAACAGTCCTGGCTCTTCACAGCTGTGAGGAAGCTGTTTGTATCATCAAGGAATCTGTTGAGGCTCTGCAGGGAACTCCTGAAGAGCTGCCACTGGCTCACGAGTCCATCGATATCTTTCTTCCTCTGCTGAACCATCCGGATAACATTCTGCCACTGCTCTTTCAGCAACGTGAGCTTGGAAATAAACTCTGTCCTGAAAATTACAAGGGCTGGGTGTTAATTTATTTTGATCTCAAGGCTGCATATTACAGTAATTGTGATGGATCTCCCATTTGCAAAGTTGTTTTCCAATTATAATACCCGACAATGCAAGAAAGCTCTTTGCAGCCCTAAGCTCAGCCCTGCTCTCTGTATTCCACCTTTTAAACAATCCAAACAACCTTTTACATGATACCAAAAAGGGTAAGGCAAGTCCATCTTGCAATTGTGGCATAGCAACATACATAGTACAGCAATCAGACACTACAAACACTTCTCTGAAGAACAAAAAGGTCAGTCCAAGTGAGACAAGGTCACTGATTACACTGCAAAATTGATCTGCACAGTGGAAAATTGTGCAGTTATTGAACGCATTTAAACAGTTATTTTGTCCTCTTCTTCAGCATGGTCAGATGATCCAGCAGATCTGGCTGACTGATTAAGGCAACCCCATGTACCAATTCTGCTTCTCTGCAGGAGGCCATCATCCCTGATTCACTGTTATACAAACCCCTGCCTTTCTGTGGGTAGGTCCCAACACAAAAATCCAGCAGCTCAGCTTAGTTCAGCCCTGCCTTCCCTGGCAGTTTTAAGCAAAGCTATGGATTTTATACTGGCATGTCTGAGGGGAGCACACACAGTCCTGCCAAGCCTCTGGAAGCAGCAAGATCTGGCAGGGAAATGTGTTCACCCCAAACACCTGAGACAGCTGAACCTCTGCTCACAAACATTACCTGCTGTTTTTCACACGACATTGACTAAGAGAAAGGTGTAAGATCATACTGATAAAAAACAGGTTTAGGTACCATATGTTTGGGGTTTCGTGGCCAGTGACTCAATGCCCTGCCATGTGTGCCAGGAGCAGTGTGGATAGTCCACACCTCTGCACTCTGAGAAGCAGAAAGCTCCAGGAAGAGGGAGAAGATCCTTCATATGCAGCATCCTCATTATGGTCTGTGGGCAGGCAGCTTCTCAGCCACAGGTACACAACAAAAGACTCCTGTTCAGGAGCAATTATTTTTGTTTTCAGCCCAGCCTGTTACTATCCCAAATACAGTCTGGCCAGGGTACCTGTGTTTCTTTCTCACTGCACCTCCTCCTGTTTTTGCAAAATGTGACAGGTGATCATTCAAAGAGTGGACCCAGCTAAGAATTTGAGTTTATGTCCTCATAAGAGCCACAATTTAATACCAATTCCAAGAAAGAAAATATTATTTTTTTTATTAAAAATAAAAAAAAATATTCACTAAATGACTAAGATCTTAAGGATAAAACCAAATAAAGTACCTTTTCTCTGCTTCTCCAGATTCCAAGGAGAGTAGAACTTTTTCTATAATAGAATTAAATATCTGCTGATTTATGGAAATCTCAGTCTGCAGCATCTGAAAATACCAAGAGAACAAGTTTTAACTATTCAGTGAAAAACCTTTGCTATGAAAGCTGCTTCTGCTCCTCTAGAGTGGCAGCATTTATTTAATTGTAAATGCTGTAAACGCCATTATTTGCAATTGCTAGTGTCAAATGCACCTTAAGAATCCACTTTTTGGATACCAGGAGGAATCTGCTCAGATGTGACAGCAGACCTCACCATGAGCTGGATGATACATACCTGAAACCTAAAGTTTTTTGACTGTTTCTCTGCAACAAATAGCAACTGTTCAGGAAAATACCAGCGAAAACAGATTTCCACTAAAATCTAGTAACTGGTCAAACCAGAAATATGCTGTGAAAATACTATTTTAAATGCATTTATTCCAGAAACATAAGATTGCTGCCAGGTCTCTAGCAAACTATCCAGTTAGTTGCCACAGGTTCCAGTGTTCTGGGACAGGCAGACAAATACACCTCAACCTCAGGGCTGGAGAAATTTAGGACTTCCATGACACAGCAATTGAAGATGCACTCCCTTAAGATCTGACCCTTGCAAAAAGTGATCTGCCCCTTTGGAAAAGGTTTTTAATGTTTTAGAGATTTTAGCTCAACAGGCATTTCAAGTGTGAAATGCAGTGTAAAATCCTGCCCAGATCTAATTTCAAAAGGCACACCATTTCCTAATTATTTTCCCCATCTTCATCATTCAAGATGCTGCTTCCATTTTTAGAGTTAGCTTTACCTCATATACTCTCTGTTGCTCTTGCAGTTCTTCAAAGTTTCCTGGAATATCTGTTTTTAAGGCTTCTTTCATTTTTTCTAGGAATTTCATCCACTTTTCACATTTCTGAAAGAATTTCTTCTCATCATTTTGTGTTCCCTCAAGCATACTGTAAAACAAAATAATAACCAGAAACTTCTGTTGGTGGATGCTTTTTCTGGGTATGTTACAGGTGCTCAAAATGTGGTGGTTAATAAAATTAACTTTGTGGGGGCTTCAATTGGCACTTTGCTCCCTTCTTCTCCTATGAACATCCAGGTTTTTGCTTCAAGCGACTTAGAATGCAAACAGCCACTGAAAAATCAAGTAAACTGAAAGGGCAGAATTCCACCTGGCAAGCCCCTGAGAAAGCTGAGAACAGATTGCAAGATGTCCCATGCTTTAACTTGGTTTTCATTTTAATCACAGCAAAAGGAATTGTTACTAGTGATTTTTTTTTTTTGTTTGCATTTCAGACCTGCAACATTCCAGAGCAGCTGCTGTTTTCTGACTCCACTGCCGAGTCAGGCTCTGCATTTTCTTCAGGGTGAAGTCACTGAGTGGCAGCTTTATGCTTGCTTCATTCAAACTCTCTATGCTTGGAGAAAGTGCAGCAAGCTCCAGTGTCTGATTCTGGAAGGAGGGAACAGAGTATCTCCAGAGCAAAGCTGGGGAAAAAGATCTCCCATCAACCCCAAATCTGGGTGATTTTCCTCCTTTCCATGTAGGCATTCGGCCTGAAATGCAGATCTAGGGTTTCTAAACTTTAATCATTGCTTTTTGTGTTTTGGCTGAATTATAGTTACTCTGATGGAAGTGTTGCATGTTTTGGCTGAATTATAGTTACTCTGATGGAAGTGTTGCAACTGTGACATTTAGGAAACAATCTTGAAGCCAGCAAGAGCTGAGCAGTATCTTTTTGTATTTGGGAATGCAAACATACCATGAGCAATTCTGAGTTGTCTCCTTCCCCTAGACAGAGGCTATCAAAGGTGTCTGTGCAATTCTTGACACGACCCTCCAGCGTTTCCAGGCAGTTGTTGAAATCCTCCAGTTGTAAGAGATTGAACTGGCATGAATAAATTTATGTTAGTTACTATTTATTACACTTATTCAGTATACAAAAAGGAGCAATAAGCAAAATTATCAGGAAAACAGTTATTAAATTTAAATTCTAATGTATTTATAACTCTCTATTGAATTTTTTTCAACTGGATAAGCAGAAAATTTAACCCAAAGCAGAGAGCAAGAAACAGAATCTCGAAATTGTGAGACAGCTGTAACTATGTGAAAGGAATAGGGGTTTCTTTCATAGCTTTGTGCTATTTAATTCATTGTGAAATTGGAAAGTCAAAACTCAGATCATCAGAGGGGGGAAACTTGTGAAAATGAGCTTCCTTTGAGGTACACACAAAGCCTGCACCCACAACTGAAGTTGTGCAGCTAACATGAGCTCTGATGTTTCTCGTGAGAAATCAGTAGGGCAGGAATTCAACTTTCCTTTAGCAGAACAGCACTGGGAAAGCTTTTACTTTCTTTCCAGAATTAAACTCCACATCTCTGAGAGCACTCACACAACAACAGTTTTCTAAGGGATGAATGGCAAAAACTGGTATGTGGAGAGAGATTGCTGTGGTAATACTACAGGGTTATGTAGTAACCTAGAGAAAATGACTACCCAGAAATGCATTTTTTCATGCAGTGAGAAATTCACAGGCAATATGAGAAACCTGTTATCTTCACAAAGATTTCTGGCTTGCAGCCATTAACTGTGCTGATAGATGGATCATAAATAGAGCTGGCTTCAAATGTCTTGACTTAAAAATAGAACAATTCATTGAAACCAGACTTTTTCCATAGGAACAGACTAATTCTACATCAGTAAATGTCCAGCAGTACATTTGCTTGGAAGCTCTCTTAGAAAGAACTGTGCAGAGGAGAAGTCAATCCTCCACTACTCTGAGCAGATCTCCTGGGCTCTTCCCTACTTGGCCTGAACAGGAATGTCAATCTGGTTCTCAGAATAACATCAAATGGGCAGAGTCTTCTGTTTGGTTTGAGGTTCACTACATGAACTATTCCCAAGGAAAACTGAAGCCCATTATTTTATTTTTTTTTCAAGGCGGAGCTGAGAAAGTTTACAACTACTTCAATGTTCAAAAAAATAAAAATACATTTCCTAATCTTTCATCATCTGAGGGTCCTGGGGATAATAGACCCACTGACAAAGGCTGTTAGAGCAACACAAGCAGGTAAGGGTGAAATCCTTCACCTGTCCCTCTGGCTTTGTGTGTTATTTCTTTAATCATCCTGCTGAGTGTCATTTAATTGCAATTTCAATTCAAGAACTATAGTGCTCTAATGAGGAACGTGGCTCACATAGGACTCTAGTGAAGAAGTTACCCCACACTGACAGCTAATTTAATATTTTAAAAAAAAGAACAACCTGAAGTTCATCCAACTTCCTCTGCAACATCTTTTCCAAATAGGTTGCTCTCTGGAATGGCTGCAGCTTCTCCAGCAGAACGGCTTCAGCAGCTGTCCCAGCCTGCTGTTTTATCCTGTCAGCCTGCAGATAAATCTGGGTTCGGCATCCTGCGATGTTCTGAAGGCCATGCTGTAAATTCTGATGGAAGAAGGGGAAAAAAAAAAGTCAGTAAATGAATCAGATCATCATTCATGTGCCACTTTCATTTGGTATCTTTTGTTGCTGTAACTAAACTCTTTTTGTTGATCCCATCTGGGAGCCAAGCTCAGCTATGGTGAAAGCTTCAGTCTTTTACTTGGAGCATAAAGGGAGCTGCATCCATTGAATGCAGTGCTGGGAAAGGCACAGTTCAAAGTTCAAGGAACACCAGTGGCTTCAGGCAGCGGGATATGGCTGCTCCAGAGGAAATCAGGGAGGGAAATGGGAATATTCCTCTCTACAAGATGTGTGTACATGAGAAGATGGAGGAACCAGCCCATGCTGCAGATCAGGAATGCTATTTAGTTACAACCATAGCAGTACTTTGGATCCCTCAGTGACTGAAGACTACGGGTTTGGTTTTATTTGTTCCCCTTTACCAAGAAAGATGCTATAAAATTAATTACAAAGATTAATTAATAAAAATTAATTATAAAATTATACTCTAAAGGCAGTACAAAAACAAAGGGAGTAATTTTAGACTCGTTCAATGTACTTTATTTTTTCTTTTTTTTTTGATGAATGAAATTTACTTTTAGCCATGAAACCCCCTGAAATTTGCCCCTATGCATTGTCTTTGCTGAGAATAATGAACAAAGTCTTCTGATCAATAGCAAAGAACACACACATTTCCCTAAAAAGAAAAATGGTCCTTGCTTCCTGACCCCTTTTGTTTGAAAGGATCATATTATAAAATACCACTCCAGCCATTTAATAAATAACCCAAGAAATTTTGATTTCTTATTCTCTATATAGGAATTTATTTTTATTTTTTGTGGTGACAAAAATTCATAAAACCATAATATTTCCTAATATATAGAGAGGAAAAGATTAGAGAGATTAAAATACAATTTTGTTATGCGCATGTATATTCAACTACACGTAACTCATATGCCATTTCACTGATCCCACTGATCTTTTAATGCACCACTTAAAAAAAACCTACGAGGAATTCCTTGTGTTCCACCCCCACACACCAGGACAGGATCTACAGTGCTAATAGAATTCAGGTGGCCATGCCTTGCTCAATAGGTAGAATACTCTTCACAAAAATTTCCAGAAAAGGCAATTCCTTTTTGCTGACATATTGGTGAATTTCTGTCACAGCCATTAGTAGATCAGAAGAAAGTAAAAGTACTCTGGTCTAGGCTTTGCTGCCATCAATTTTTCTGACAAAGAAAGATATACATGAGTTCTCTTCCCTTTAATGTAAAGTTTCTTATTTAAAGCCACATGCAAAATGGAATACTCTGGACTTCTTCCAATTTGTGGCTAGAGATTCATAAAGCTTGATCAATCACTGCTCTGTCCTGACATAAGAATTATTTTATTTCTTTATTGCATCTGAAGGAACCAAAAATGTCAGAACCTAATGACAGCTTTGCTGCCTAAAGAGTCCAATGCACCGTGTGCTTTCAGCATGGTATCTCATTTGCCTAAAGTCAAAAGCATTTAGGATAATCTAATGAGCTCAGGAATCTGTGAACTCATCACTCCAGACCAAAACACAGTACCAAATTCAATTAATAACAATTTGCAGGCTGTGGAAGAGCTCAGGATGATCCTGTGCTCAGGAAAACTGCTCTTTTTTCCCTCACCTATTGTTCTAGTAGATATTATCCCTCCTCCCAAGCAATGCCTCATAAGGTAAATAATTTTTCTTTCAGTGATTCCTTCCAACACAGGCCTGTTTTTTTTGTGTAGAGCAGAAAGGGGCAGAGATGGAATATGACTCCCTTCTGCTCTCTTCTTACCATACACAAACTTTAGTTTGGTCTCTGGTCAAAGTGCTTAAAGGAAATACAAGGGTGCCTGTTCATGGAAGAAACCCACAGATTTTATCTTTTCCACTGACTGGATTGTTGGCATTATTTTGCCTTGTTTCTCAAAAATAAATCTTGGTTTGTACCAGGCAGCAGAAACTTATTAATGTACCTTCATCTCCTGTATCCTCTGCTCCAGGGTTTCTATCGTGTTCTCCTCAGGCACACGAGCATCCAAGAGCTGAGCGCACTGCTGGCTGTACTGCTGTAACTTGGCTGCTGTCTCAGTGCACAAAGCATCAAAGGGCTCCCAGAGCTGCAGAGCTGCCTGTGCTGCCCGCAGCTGATCTGTGATGTCTTCATTTACTGAGTTCCACCTGCCAAAATATCAAAAGATTAAGAGTGTTTCCTAGTAGGCTCTCCTGCAGAATACAGGATTCCTGCGGGAGTTGCTTTGCATGCACACCCATATTCCTGAAATCCATTTTGTGCTGTGGGACCCATCACACAAAAAGCATGCAGGTAAAAGGTACAAGTTCCCCATCCCTGACAGTGTTCAGGGATGGATGGGGCTTGGAGAAACCTGGTCTGGTGGAACATGTCCCTTTTCATGGCAGAGGGGTTGAAACTGGATGATGTTTCAAGTCCCTTCCAACCCAAACCCTACCGTGATTCTGTGATTCTACTCCTCACACAGATGCCCTTTGATAGATGAGATAGTATAGATTTGAAAATCTGACTTGTTTGAGTCCTGCCTCAACAACTTGGGTGTTTTAAATGCTAACAACTGGGGTGTGATTTTGCAGGCTTACCTAGTGTGTGCCTCTGTGCACTTCTGGTCAATAATCTCTGCAAAGGAGGGGGAGCAGTTCTTCTTCAGGTTACTGGCAGCAGCCTGGAGCTTGGCCCAACTTTCTTCACTGTTCTCTGATTCGTCTTGAAGAGCCTGCAGAATGGATTATTGCAATTAATTGTGGGGGATAAATTACCTAAGTGTAACTTCCTCTATAGACTGGTAGGGCTAGGGCAGCAATAATGCCATAGTTTTGCAGATTAAAATGTTTGCAGAAAATATAACACCTGTTCCTAGAAATTAGGAAGCCAAAAGAGGTGAAATGGTCAAAGTTAAAAAAAAAATAAAAAAATCATTCAAGAGACCTATTTAAAGCTGAGATAATTTATTGGCTGTTAAAGAAAAAGCTCATTTAGTAAACCCACACTCCTGAGCTGAATAAAGGACTTTGCTAGAAACCAAAAATGCTTTCATTTTAAGCCACTGTTTCTACTGGCAGTAAAGTTGGCTTGACACCTCCTGTCCTCAGCTGCAAGTTCCTCCTCATGATACAGGCAATTACAGCATATCTGTGACTGCTCCAGGTTAAAAGTAAACAGGGTGATTGAAGGGAGGTGAGAAGCTGCCCAGTTCCTTTTATTTATAATATGAGCCCAGGTGAGGGTGAAAAAGCACTTCTGCAGGGTTTACTGCCAAGAGTCCCATACTCAGCATTCACAGCCTCAGTTTGTCTTGTACCACTTCTGATACAACTCAAAAAAAAAACCTAAATCAGGCCTTATTTACAGGAAAACAGGGAGTGCTTGCACAGCCTTTCAACACTCATTTAAAGCCAGGGAAGGGGATTTTAGCCAGAGCTGTGAAATGCCCAGACCCAGGGCCAGCCTAACTGCCTACTCCAGATGCTCCACTTGGACTCTGTAACAGCCAAGCAGAACAGCAGGAGGATCCAGAGCATTTATGTCTGGCATTCTGACTTCTTCAGAGGCTGTGCAGGAGACTCCAGCTCTCTGGAGGGTGACAGAACAGCTGGACTGGTGCTGGAGCAAGCAGAAATGCCAGGCTCAGCATCAAAACAAGCTGCATGGGAGCATGAGCACTCAGTGAGCTTTTTTCTTAAACCTTGGTACCTAAATGGCACTAAAGTTGTATTTATGCACTACATAAAATAAGAAGTCCAAGTGCCTCTGGAGGTAAAAAAAAATAGCAATATTGCACTAATTTCAGTGTTAATATAATAAAAAAAAGTAGTTCAGATAATGTTTTTGGTCTTTTTTTCAGTGGAGTTTGTTTGCCTAAAGGCATAGAAGAAAGTACAGAAATAAGACAACTTTACCTGGAGAGTTTTGACCTGTTTTTTCAAAGCTTCCAATGAAGTTTCTTCCCCGGAAGGTTTGCACTGGTCTATGCAGTACAAATATCTTGTTGTCATCAAGTTGACTTCTGCATAAATTTCATCATATGCTCTCCACTGCTCCAGTACTGACTCCATTGAGGCCTTTAGCTGTGCAACCTGCAGACAAACCATTTTTGTTATTATTTCTTGGGTAGTCCTAATGTATAAATCACCTTTAAATTGACTTAGAAATCTAAACTCAATGCTCAATCCATGACAATCCATATTAATTTGCCAAGTTTAAGTATTTTACTACCTGGTAAGGAATTCTGCAGGTTTCATAAAAAGCAGTAAACCATACCTAGAGTGAAGAATAAGAATTTGCTGTAAATTAAAATTTCACTGGAGTTCAAGGTAGCACTATTCTACCAGAACACCCCAGGAAGCACTGAAATAATAAACTGCTTATTCCCTTCTGCCAAAATCAGCCTGAAGTGGAAGTTGCAAGCCTCAGTCTTCTTAGGAAGCAGATAGATTGTGATCCAGAGATCAAGTTTCCTTTCAAGTACAATTTGAACAGAAATTGGTTTGCATGGAAGAAGCCACTACTGCAATACTCTGAGAGCTGTCACCCCTCTTATGCCATTGTGCTCTACTAATGCAGGCCCACCTGGATCCCAGGCTAGCAAGTCCAGGATTTTCATGCAAAATTAAATGATGGATACCCCCTTTATTTTCTGCCTCTTTCATTATTACAGTTGTCTAATCTGTAAGGGGCAGGCATGGCTTCCATTTGCCACAGGCTCCTAGACACTGCAAACACAAAAACGCAGTCCTCCTTCAACTATTTTTATCCTTCTGCTTCAGGGAAGTACATAAAGCATGTCCTGGGTTAGATAAAACATTCACCTAGTTCAGTACCTATTTTCAGTGATGCTTGGAGAAAAGCATGAAAACCAGGCAGACAGACAACCATGTCTCCATGAGACCTGACAAAAGCCAGATGCCAGATTTCGGTTCTGGCTATGCAGCCACACAATGGAAGATGAAAAAAACATCCACACCGTAGTTCACCCTAAATAGACTGCACAGATCATTTCATCCCAGTATCCTAGTTTCAGGCACACACAGGCTGGTGGATTAATCATCCCTATTCTCTTTTGAGTCATGGTACAGGTGGGAGGAATCTCTAATTGCTTTTTGTAGCCTGTAGCTAATTACTGCCCACACAAGGAAGATGGAAAGACATAGTTCCCGAGAAATGTCTCTGAGCCACAGACTCACAGTCTTGAGCTCAACCTACGGACAGTTTAATCAAGATATTCCATCTCCTTAGCCCTGCATTAGAAATCTCTGGCTGGCTCTGATGTGAGCAGTCACCCTTGGGAAGGAACCTGCCCTTGCTGTTTCACTGCACACACAGACAGCTCAGCTCCAAGAACATCCTGTAGTTTGCAAGTTCGGTAGTTCAGTCATAAAATTCCTAAAATTAACATGACCCATGATGACTGCATGAAGAAAAAAAGCACCAGGCTGTCAATCCTGCCAATTTCTATCCCCAGCTATACACCAGAAGGAAAAACTTTCATCATGTACATAGACATAAATTTCCCTGCTTTCTTGGTAACAAACAATCACATCCCTTCTGCTGAAACCTAAACCAAGAAGCAGCAATATTGGATTGACACCTCATGTGGAAGAGTTCAAGCAAAAGGGTTCAGGTTTCACAAAGTTCTGAGGAAAAAAGGCAAGGAATTCGTAATAAAAATGGTAAAGCAATCTTAACTAGAAACACAACCACTCCATCATGTATAATTCTCTACAGTACATGGTTATTTATTATCACAAATCTGTAAATGTACTCATTATTATCTCTCCTGAACCTATCAATTACATCCACATAAAAAAACCATCAGATCCAATTATAATGATATTATGACTATAAATATAAACTGCTGGGGAGTCAGTTTGCATGGGAACCCAATCTGCCAGACTCTCCTTGGAGCAACTGGAAACGACAAAGGATTTGAGGATGGCAGAAGCCACCCTGGTGTGTGGATGAAAGAGTAATTGGGAGGTGGAAAAGCTTCAGTGAGAACAGGCAGCTTCCACCAATTGCACAACAGGGGAGAAAGAGCAGGGTATGAAAGAGATCAAGTAAGAGAGTTAAAGGTTTTCATTTTCAGATTGACATAAAAGTAGCAGTGCTCTTTATTTTGTTAAACTGCAGATGGGGATCTGTTCCTCCTCCCTTTGTACTCAAACTGCTTCAATATCAGACAAATTTTTCTCTCTCAACTTCAGAAATACATAAATTTACTTTCCAGTAAAGACTTAAAACTACATTCTTAGGAAGGTGAAGAGTATTCAAATTCCTTGAATACTTTCCATCTTTTTTGTACCAGCTCTTGCCATCCCATGAAGATTGATTCTGATCACCACACTGGTGATCAGAAAATGCAGTGGAGGAAACCTGAACACAAGCAAGGCTTTTACCTGGTTTACAATGCTGTCCTTCATTTCACACAGCTCAGCTATCCTGAGAGACTGAGCTTCTGGGGCTTGTTCTGCACTACCATTCGAAGCCAAACTTTCCTTGAGCTCATCAAGAGCTTTGGATTTAGCCGTGAGTTGATTTTCTAGCTCCTAAAAAATGGGGAAAAAAAAGATAAATAAGATCTTTTAATGAGACCATAGAAAAAAATTTCTGCGTGAGTAGCTTAGATAAACATTCACTCTTTAAAACCAATTTTGTGCAATTCTTCAGTCATGTAAAGGTAAGACAGGAGCTGGTTTTGCAATGGGTGAATCCCTGACATCCTAACAACTTATGGAAAGTTATTTTCAGTTTGTCCCTTTACTCAGAGAAACTCCCATGGCAGAAACTCCAGTGAGATCAACTCCAGTGAAATTAAGTGAGAACAATCTCCAATGAATGGAGATATCTGGGAGAAGAACTTGTCCAGCACAGCCAGCAAGATTTTAAGAATCTTGACATGCTGGGGAAAGCTCAGCAGGGAGTTCTCCACAATGTGAGGAACTATCCATACCCACAGTGGGCCACAACATTTCCCTATAATGCTACACTTAAAGCCATGACTGTTTTTCACCTCTCACTGACCATCCCCAAAACATTTTTAAATTTGGATCTTATTTTTATTGACCAAATGAATTGCAATGACACATTTTAGCCACCTGTATCCTAGCACTGTGTGTTGCTCTGAGCAGGCGAGTGTTTAGTCCAAGCTACCCTTGTGCCCTTCTTCCATTCTGGCCCCTCCACACATTTCAGAGATGCAAGTAACTCAGTGTGTAACAGAGCACTCCAGACAATAAAAGCAGCCTACTACGAGAGAGATGTAACCATGGCAATGAAAGAACAAATATTCCATGTTAAGAAATAGAGAGGGAACAGTGTACTGAATGAAAACAGGAGACTGTCAGAGTAACAGGAACCAATTATTAGCTGGCTGCCACCTGTATTAATTTTGAGGGATCTGATGCCTAGAAAAACATAACAAAGGACACCCAGATCCTTGAGGCTGCTGCAGAGAGACTACACTACAATCTAGGGCAGATGTAGAGAGGGTTTCTATTTTTCCAAATGGGACTGAGTAGTTTCCATGGCACTTCCATCACAGAGCTCTTCAAACTAATGGAATTCATAACTTCCATGGCTGTGCTGAACTGAGAACTACTTCTATTGGAAGTATCTCAGAATACAATATTGCTGCACAGCACTCCAAATACCATAAAGCAACAGCAGATGCATCTTCAATTGGTGGGAAAAATCACAGAATAGCCACTCACATTGAAAGCGGCTGTGGCTCTTTATCACCTGAATGCAACATGACTTAATTAAAATGACATTGGAGAATTCTTCTGGGAAACAGCAACTTCCTTTATATTTCTTTCTGTTAAAATCTGTGCAGTTCCTTCAGCAAAGTGTGCTAAATAGGGCTTTTACATTATTTTTTAATATCACTCATGTCATGCTTTACCTTGCAATCATCTAAGGTGTTCTGTGCAGAGATCAGACTTGCTGGGGTCTGTAAGGATCTCAGTCGATCACTCTGAGCTTCCAGCCAGTTGTACAGAGTCTGGGCTTTGTTCTCATTCTCAGTAATATCCTCTAAAATATGTTCCAGGTCTTGGATCTGAAAGTTACAGAACTGTTTTAACTTACTTAAACCTACAGGTGGGCAGAAACAGGGCTTTACCTTCCATGACAAAATTTGAGATGATGAAATTTATACTGAAAATACTCTTTAGAGAAATATTTTGAAAGGAAAACCTCAAAGGTTTTGCAGGTTCTTTAGGATCCAACCTTTACCTTTGGAAGAAACAAGCCAGTGTGTGTTCTGGAGTTTGGAGACCCTGGGCTATGTGGACACATCCATTCATATGGGAGTCTGAAAATCTCATTCTCACTAAAACCCACCACCAACAAGAAAGGGACTCAAGTTTCCTATCTTCAATATTGGCCCTAAGGATCCATTAGATCCTAGAATAGAATTTCATAAATATGGTTAGAGAAGATAACCTCTTCCCCAACAAAACTGAAATTGCATCATGGAAACTTTCAGCTGTATGGGAAATGAAATTTCTACTTAAAAATGTTTCTGGAAGATTTTCTGAACTAAAAAATATTGGCAATTTTCCATCTGACCAGAAGTCTTTGAATCTGGATTCAGAAAGGAGAGCTTCTCTCAAAGCTGTGTAAATTGAGACACAAAGATGAAAGAGAAATGTGTTGGTAGAGAGATTTATTCCAGCAGCCTCATGTCTGCATTTTGGGATTCTGAGATTCCCCATGTCCTTTCCATATCATGAGTCACACCAGTTTTTCTGGGTATTGGGACACGTAAGCAGCAGCATCTAATTCTGGATGCATGGATTATTTCTAGCCTCACTAGAACAGAATAATTCTGAGGCATTGCCTGAAACAGATTTTCTCCAGAGCAAGATTATGTGCTGTTAGGAAAATTCTGCTTGTAGACTGACTATCAGCTGCTGACCTTCAAAGCACTCCATTGGGAAAGAATATTCAATAACTGCAGGAGGAGGGCACTGACACAGAGTAACCCATTTCCAGTGACCCAGGAGGGCTGGAGCAGGACTGGGAACTGATCCCTGCTGTGCCTTGTCCAAGAGGCTCCATCTGAACGTGGCTGTCAACACTACTTACTTAATAACTGCTGTTTTCACAAATCCAACTGCTACAACAGGAAAACTGCTGGTAGCTTAATATATCCCTAATACAGAGCAGTGGCACAGGCAAAATCAGAGCTCTAAGAGAGAAAGCCATGGGGACTCCATCCAACCTTTCTGTTGAGGGACGCCTGCAGGCGGTGCCACCGCAGGTTCATCTCGCCCAGGCACTCGGCAAACTCCGTCCTTTCGTAGCGCTTGCTCTCCACGTCACAGGTGCTCATCTGCAGCAGGGACTGGTTAACAAAGTCTACCATCCACTGCTTAAAGTTCATTTCCATCATGTACTCCTGCAGGGGAAAAGAGAGAAAGAACAAAAATGTAAACATCAGTTTTGTATGATTTCAATGATGCTTCAAGGTGTGGCAATGGGACGTTGACAGCTTTGTCTGAATTATGACCAAAAATGTTTTTCTGAAAGAGAACCTGTCTGTAGGAATAATTCTCAAATTTTTCCATTCTGTATTTCTGTAGCTGTTCTCATTCATGAAATGTCTGCAGAAAATCTCTATCATTATGTGGTTAGCTCAAGGTAAAAAACAGACTAGTGATGGAGCCGGGAATAAAACCCAGGGGAACCAGATCCTGTACTTAATCCACTGGACAAAACCATCACACTGGGCCCAGATCAGGCTAAGACCAAGGCTTTCCCACACTCCTGCAACTCACAGGCAAATGCAGCAAGAGCTTCTACTCCTTTTAACAAAATATCTGGTATCAGAATAGAATACCAGAATATCTGGGAGCCTCTAGCATCAGCATCTCTTGCACAGAGAGATAAGTGAGAAACTACATGCAAAGTGGAAACATTAAGGAATGTCTTTTTATTTCAGAGAGTATTAGAAGAGATTAGGAAAGGGCTCCATATTTATCTAGTAGTGCCCTGAATAGTCACCAGGGAATACCACAGCAGAGGTACTGAAGCCACAGCCGCTTCCCTCTAGGAATTTGTGACCCTCATCCCAGCTTTCTTCTCAGCACACACAACCCCACCTTGCTGACAAGTGCAAAAGATACACCTACAAACCCAGCTCTAAATATCCAGTGTTATAAACAGCACCTCACCTACATGTCCCAGCTGCCAAATCCAACTGATACAGACCAAAATGGTCAGTGCAGACCAATATATGTGCTCTACCAAGGCACTTGGAATGAAATGTTTGCATTGGCACTTGCCTTACATGCAGCACCAAGTGCCTGCAAGCTGCAGCTGCAGACAGAGAACTGTCAGCCTTTCTGAGCCCTGAGCAAGGGCAGAACAAAATATGTCTCTGTGGGGATTCATGCCCTGAGGCTGGGCTCCCTGGCATCTCTGGAGTACACAGCTTGAATCCTTCCTGTGACTGGAGCAATCAGCCTCTGCCACTCGTGCTCCGACATCTGAACAGTGCCAAGAGACTGCTGCAGCCTCTCTCTCTCTCTCTGCAGGGATGTTCATCTTGTCCCTCTTTCCTAGCAGGTTATTTCTTTTGATGACACATAATATTCAAACCCCCTGTTCTCTAGTTAAACGGATTCAGGTTATGGAGCTCCATTAGGAGGTATTCCTTGTTAAAAAGACAGACTAGAACACAGCCTCTGAAATAAACAGAGTTTATCTTCCTAAGGAAGGAAAGATTTGCTACTCTTCACGTTTTATAATCTAAATGCAAGAGAAAGAACAAATGAGACAGATGGAACAGCATGAGAAAAGGAGATTACAGCCCAGCAGGCAGTAGCTGTATTGCAGAACAGGCAGTGGTTTGTGTCATGGAAGCATAAAGGTTTTATAAAGGAGGATGTTACGACACGTTTCAGACTGAGGAGCCCTCTTGAGAGCAAGGGAAAGGATATGACGGTGCCTGTAGGCTGCTTCCATCCTTTTTACAGCAGGCCTGGGCTTACAGTCTCCCATTTACCTTGTACTTCTGAAGGAGGGTCTTGACTTGAGCAGCACCGTGTTGTGAATTTATTGGCTCCTCACGTTCCTGCTGTTGTTCCACATGGTCCAGCCAGGCCATTAGTTCAGCAATAGCTTCTCGTGATGAAAGCTTTTCCATCTGAAGCTGAGGTAAAGCACATAATGAATCCTTTACACTCTACTTGTTAGAAATACCAAGGAAAATGACATTTCTATTTTTAGAAAGGCTCAGGCACTATAATCGCATTATTGGGGCATGAACTTGAAAGTGAGCCCTGTGCCCAGGGGCAAATGACTTCAGTTGTAGAATTCATGAATCTGAAATAAAATTCTTTCTAATTTTAAGTAACAGACTTTCATGCAAAACTGTAGAGATAAGAAATATATGTAAGCCAGGAAGAACACAGCAATATTCAAACTGCAGTACAATATTGGGGTTATTCTGAAAGCATGGCACAGCTAATTCGGAAAAAGGCAACTGAATCCCAGCAGCATTTTAACATAATTATTTAGTTTGAACTGAAAGATGGCAGCAGTTTCTCACTCACCTGGTGAAGCTTTTCTTGGATGGCTGGGAGCTGTGTAATCAGTTCTCCCCATTTTTGCTCAAACTTTGCCAAAGATGACCTAAGTGCTGCAGTATCAGCTTGCTTCACGTGGAGGAGCTGGCTGGCAGTGCTCACCACTGATGACTTCAGGGAAGATTTTTCATCAACCTCCTTAGAAAATGTCTTAGGTACATGGGAGAAATTTAAGAGTGGGAAAATATTTATATGTATGTTGAAATGAAGACAAGCCATATTTTCACAGGATAAAATGCCTCAACAAACAGATTTTATCAAGATGGCAAAATTCAGAAAACCTAAGCTCAATAGGTATTAGCAGATAAAGTATTCTTTTGCCCACCTTGATATACAGTGCTGAATGCCACCTTTTGCTCCCACAGAGACTGGGAATATCCTGACCCCACTTCACACAGAGGTCCAGGGAGCAATCCCAGTCCTCATACCTCTGGCCAGCTCACATCTACCAGTCAAACCTTCATGATGCTTTGCTTTCCTCCTGTGCACTATTCCTTCTGTCTGGCCTCACACTGGGAACCTCCTAGCTAACCATCCAAAGGGAGCAGGCAAAGACATGAAATACAATTCAGTGTTTCTCTTTCCTGACTTTGGCTGACACCTCCACTCCTGTACCCTGAGCCCACACTCCAGGTTCAGTTGTTAAGTGGCTTTGAGACACACAGCCATTCAGTGCCGTATTATGTGGGTGGCTTGAGGCCATGGCAAACACAAAAAACCTCTCAAAAGGGTCATTTTCACCAGAATTCACAATGTCTTATCTAAACCTGGCAGAAATGACTTACAAACAAGCTGCTGATATTGTCCCTGATGGTGGCAAGATCTTGTGACACATTGAGAGACTGCTCCTTCCAAAAATTCATTCTCTGCTGAGCAGAATCCAACCATTTCATCAATTCCTCTGAGTCTCTGTTGTAGCTACAGGAGGAAACAAAACACAAAAACATATCTAACTGAGGCTGGGATACATTTCTCAACCCTCTTGTCTTCCCTGTGAGAAGGCACGTGCTCTTCTGGCACCTCTGCTGCTGCATAACCCTGCAGAAGCATGGCTTCAGCTGTCATCTATCAAAAAAATCAGAAACTAATGTCTAGCTGAAACTTCAGATTTTTTTTTTCTGTTAGACCCACCTGACCAGGAGTTTCAGTAATGTTTGAAGTCGGTGTAGCTCATGGCCAACTTTTTTGGTTAAAGACAGCCACTGCTCTTCCAGCTTCCCAATCTGGCTTCTTATTTCTGGGCAGCTCACAGCAGTCAGCAATTTCTTCCCTTCTTTCACCATCTGGTACAGCTTGGCATGCTTTTCATCAACACTACTTTTGATTTTCTGTCAGAATATGGGAAGTTTGCAAAACAGTAACATTTTAAAGACAGAAAACACAACTAGAAAACCACATATCACATGTTCTAACTTCTTAATCTCACATTTCCTCTGTAATGTATTTCATTTTCCAAATGACATCAATCTGTAATTCATAACATGAAAAAGGGACACAGGTTTTTGTGGGTTTGTTAATTTTTTGTTTGTTTGTTTCCTTTGGGTAGATCAAGACAAATCTCAACATACTTTTACACATTATCAGACTGGCTTTGTTAATGGGCTTTTCTGACACCCGAAGATGTCAGGCAATGGACAAACACTGTCAGATCTGGCTGCACTGTCCAAATCTATGACTGAACTACCAAAAAATTATTGCCTTCGCATGCTCTTGAAAGTTATTGTTTCTCCTCAGGCTCTATACCATTTTGAAAAAATAGTTACTTTTTTGAAGGAAACTGCTGGGATTATTATTGAATAATGGTGGCAGGGAGAAATGAAGAGTGGACAGTGAAGTCATTAAGTAAAAAACAAAGGTCTGGGAGTATTTCTTTCACAGAAATTAAGTCCTAGAGAAATCTATACTGCTCTGTTTTTGAAACTGCAAAGCTCCACAGTTTCACCCTGCACCAAACATCTTCTTTATGACTTTGTTTCTGAAGTCTTTAAACACAAATAAAGACTTAGGAGTGAAGAGCTAGTTAAGAACTCAAAAAGCCAAGGAAAAGCGGCAACTTCACATCAGTAGCTGTGCAAATTTTGCATGTCTCTTGTCTCAGTGCAATAGATACCAAAAGCACCAGAGGACCACTATGACTGTAAACATCTACTGTGGATTTATTACAAAGGCTTTACTGTAGCTCAGATTTTCCTGGGAATATCCAGTGATGTTTTTCCTGCAGTCAACCAGATTAAATCATTATAGTACTTTTTTCCTTTATGAAACATTCATTAATCACTCATTAATTTGCTTTTATTAAACACTTAATAATTTAAAAATTTCTAACAGAGAGTGTCCTCTGAAGACTGAGAAAGGTCAGGCCTGTGAGGCATGGGAAGCACTCTCTGAAAATACATAACTGAGATTACTGAAAACCTTTCTTCTTAATTTTATAAAACAACCATAAATGCTGCTTTCATATCCTTATATTTAATTGTGTTTAAAATGTGGATAAAATATTTCCAGCTGCAGCTGAGGTTGTAAATAAAGATGTAGCTCTTCCATTAGAGATGCAGCTGCAACCAGAGCTGCCATAAGAGTTGAAATATTTGGTATTTTCAGATATTCGAAAGCTCTAGGTTGATTCTCCTTTTCCATAGGTTTTACACTGTGGCATGAAAATAATTTCTGAATTACAGGGAAGTAATTGAGCAAGTAAGTGAGCACTATGCTCACTCCAAGGCTCTTGCTGTCCTTGGGATCCATGGAGCCTGCACATCTATCTGATCCCAAATACTTTCCTTTAAATATTGAGTTATAAAGTAGTTATAGTCATTATTCCCATTTAAATGGACTTGTAGCCCCTGGCTGGAATTAGGAGTCCAATTTTCTCCTACTTTTGAAAGTCAGTTTTGAGCTTGCATCCACACACAGCTGAGGAGACAAAGGAAGCTGTGCTGTGCAAATCACCTCCTCATATACTAACTAATATTTTTTGCCAGTTCTACTGATCCGTAAAGAAAAGTAGCTACAAACACACAAATACCTCTAGAAGTGCAATCCTTTCCAATAATCTTTCTTCAGTTTCTTCAACCAAACTGACAGAAGGCAATGCAGAGGCAAGTGCTTCTAACTCCTTATTGAAAACTAGGCATTCCTCATCAAATACCATCCAATCCTAAAAAATACATTGAATTGTTAACACATCCATTTGCACTTTAATACACCAGACTCAGGCCTTAATGCCTTCTCTAGGATCAGCAGCTCTTGCTTTAATGAAACATAACACAAAAGTAAGTGAACAATATGTAAATATCAAAGTGAGACATGACTTCACCACAGATTAATTAATTATGCATTCTCCAGAATCTTTAGGGATTCTTATTTTAAAGTGGTGTATGCAACTTTTATTCTCTAGGGATGTTCTGAGATTATTTGTTACATTTTTAAGTTTTAAAGGGGTGCTGGTATTTTTCTGCCTTAAAGGGCTCTTCTGTCAGTCCAGACACTCAGAAATTACAGCAAGAAGTTATAAAGTGTGATGATTTGAAATGTCCACTTCCAGAGATTTTCAAGAAGAAAGCTGGTTTACTGACACACATAGGATAAGTAAGAAATAGACTGCTGCTGTCCAGTGGAAACAGGAAAGGACAACTACTGGCCAAAGTCACTGGAAGGACAAGAGCTGCCCCAGATGCAACTTTTCTCCTTCCCTCCAGGCTTTACTCTTGGGTGTCTTTTGATTTATTACCTTCAGCAGGCTCTCTAAGTGTATACCATACTGGCAAGCCTTCTTCTCCAGCAATTTGACTTCATTCACCAGCTCTCTCCAGAATTCCTCTCTCTTTTGCAGGACAGAAGGAGTCACTCTCTTGGAAAATGCTTCCATGTAAGCCATGCGTGTCATGAGGTTGCAGAAAAAATCCTGGAAAAAACCCAAGCTAAAGCTGGCTCTTTAAGAGAGATCACATTCCCACAGCAGGAGTTCTAAGGCTTAAGTAGTAGGCAGGACACAATAATCCTTTGGGATAACTTAAGAAAGATGTGCTTTCCTTACACTGCAAGGTGTTCTGAGGTAAGCAGAAATAGCAGTTTATCACCAAAAGTGGCACTGTTTTGGTCTAATGAGAAATCCGTGTTTGTTTTCTGCACATACACCAGTCCCTCCCCCCTTTGCTATGAGCCAGCCACTCTCCCCTACTACACTGGAGAAAAACCAGTCACAGAAAACTGTGCTCCTTGCTATGCTAACCTGAGCAGTGCTGAGATTAACAACTCCTACCTTGTGATTTTTCAGGTGAGACTGCAGGGCTGCTCTGCTTTTTGTTAGGTGCTTTGGATCTTGTGCCATCTTCTCTCTTCCAATAGCTACCAGCTCTGCAAACCCATGAAGCAAGTCCTCATACTGGCTTTCACTGATGGAAGGGGAGTTCAGCTCCACATACTTTGCTTTCAGAATCCCCCACATGGCTTTCACTGATGGAAGGGGAGTTCAGCTCCACATACTTTGCTTTCAGAATCCCCCACATGTCATCCAGAACATCCTACAATGCAAACCATTGAAGTGCAGCAAGTCATGAAGGACAGAAATGAATCCCACAAACCCACAGAATATCAAAGAACCATCAGCCTTTTGATGCTGCAGGTGAATTGCTTAGAAGAATCAAACCACCTGAGTAAATTGGTACTGTGCTCTTACCTCTAATTTATAAGCTTCCTGGATTAAGGTGATAGGTAACATGGACAAAACATGGCATAACTTACTGTGTCCACACAGCACAGCCAAGAAGGGAATTCAGGTCTTGTGTCTCAGGACAACATTCAACATGCCTTTCCATTTACTAATTCAAATGCAGCCATGAAAATTAATCATGGAGTCAGAAAACAGTTTTTTATTATGAATCAGAAGTACTCAAGGACTGAGACAGGATCCTTCTGAAGGAAGGAAAGCTATGTACTTCTGCCATTCCTTTCCCAAGAGTGGTTATCTAACACAATATACTCAGTCCTTGCTAGGGAATTCAGAAGGGAACACAGCTCTCAGTCTGGCAGAAAATTATGCCTGTAAGCAAGGTTATGAGTCTGTAACAAACCAGCTTCAGAATACCCTCCTCTGCTTTGGTAATAAATAGGTAAATGGCCAATGGCCATTCTGAGGAGGATATGCAGTCTGTTAATTTTTAATTTTCTGCTAATCCAAATAAAGGTCAAAGAAAATAGCTTAACTGGTCAAATTCCATATGATGAAGTGCTCATAAATGCTGTATGAGGAGACAGAAATACCAGAGTCCTATTCCCACAAAAAAAAAAAGAAAAAAAAAAGCTTGACATAAGAAAAGGCATAATGTATAGCTCTTTTTCTTCCCTGCCATACTATGGGGTATATTTGCTCTGGGAGGTTGTGGAGAGACTGGTTCCTCCACTCCAAACACTAAAATGTCTGGAATTAGGCATAAGTATGGATTGGGGTGTAGTTAAAAAAAAAGGAAAAGGGGTGGTGGTGAATGCAGCAAATACTGAACTCTCTCATTCTCTCCTTTTCTCATTTTAAAATCCTAAGTTAGACTCAAACTTTAGAATGAAACTTCACAAATTGCAGAAAACTGGAAGTAATAGCTAATGCTGTAAAAACTCTCATTTCCTTCAAATAAAATTACCTCAAGCTGTTCAGAAACATTATGTCCACGTAGTTCATTCAAGCATTGTTGCAGAGCAGCTTTTTTCTCAGTTAACTGATCATAGAGTAGCCTGGTTTGATTCTGCAAAAGAAACAAACATCAGAAATATATCATATAACAGGAGTATAGTAATGACCAGAAAAAAATTACACAGCAAACAAAATTATTACCTCCTTAAATAAAAAAAAAAAACCCAAAAAACAAACAGGAAATAAAGAAAAAAGCAACACCAAAATAAAGCACATGTATTATGGGCTTAAAGCAGTAATTGGACGAAGGAAATTCTGAGTCTGGGTAGTGTATAAGAAGCAGATTACTCTGTCACAATGATCCTCTGTGACTGTAAAAATCTGGGAAACTGGTAAAAGAATCAAATTATTTTCTTCTGAAAATAGGAAAATGAGCCCATTACTGGGGACTGATGGAGCTCTATGGATTCTGCATAAGTAAACATTGCAAGACTAGTTCTGTGGCTGTTTGGAGACAACATCCCAGTGTTCTTCAAAGGAGCTGCTTTATTATTCAGCAGTGAAAGGCCAGGATTACTTGCAGATGATGAGCAAAACTGGAGTTTTGCTGGACATTGAAAACTGTATTTCAAAGCCCAGACTCTTCATTCCTTAGTTCTGACTAAACACCTGATCTGAATATTTTCCAGCATTAGTAGATGTAGCCCATCACAAGAACCTAAAGAAAAGCTTCTCACAATCTGCTTTTCCAATAAAGAACAAAAGAAGGAAAATTTATGAAACTGCGCCTTCTGCTTCTGTGGCACAAAATCTAAAGGAACAGTAAATGCAGTGGGGTCAAATCAACCTTCAATACATTACTAAAAACAGCCTAGTGTCAGACATGGCACCACAAGGGAGGAAGTCTGCCTTTCCTGAGGACACAGCAGATGAAAGAATATATGAAAGAATATATGAAACCATCCTTGGCCGAGTCCCTACACAGAGAAACTTGCTTTAGCCTGCAGCTCAGCCTGCATGGGATGCCAGGTCACTTCCATACTTTCTGCATGCAAATTTTCTACTGTGATCCAGGCCTCTGCAGCACTACAAACAGCAAAATTAATCTGCTTCTTGAGAGGCCAAGACAAGTTTTTAAGTAGTGAAAAAAGAAAGCCCATTAGAGGTTGCTTGTCTGTAACCCAAACGCATTAACACTGACAAGCCTAACAGGTGCTGTGAAAAACAAGGTGTGCATTTGGCAGTGGAGTACCAGGTAATTGCTATTATGATCCAGCCCAGCTTTCATGGAGCTGCTCCTTGAGGCAGTGGCAGCTTGAGTTTGTTCCAGCCGCGCCTGCAAGTTGTTAAAGCACTCGCAGAACACATCTGTGCTCCCACCAGCGCAGCTGATGGACTTCAGGAGATCATCCTTTTTATCACTCAGATCAGCATGAAGTTTTTGCAGCTCCACAGACAGAGTCTAAAGGGTTGAAAGAAAAACAATATGAGTGAAAATGGTGTATACAAGGACTCTTCCCTGTAAGAGGCAGCAGGGCTCCAATTGGTAATTGTTAAAAGCAACAGGCCCAAATCTGTGCAATACAAAATAGTTTGGCAGCATTATTCCTGAAAAATGCCAGCAGAACAGAGAGGAAATATATGGCCATATATATTCTGCTGTAACAGAAATCCACTGGGGTTTCTCCTTGCCTGGAGGATCTGGGGCAGTTACCTCATAGAGAGCCTGCTGCACAGCTGCCTCTTCAGTGGAGAGCACGGAGGTGTTCAGCATCTCCTCCATGTTATTCAAACACCGGCTGATTGCCAGAAGTAACTCAAACAATTTTCTGTCCAAATTGGAAGAGACTTCCTCTGCCACATTATCCTGGGTAAATGCAAGCCAGTTTTCAGTACTTTCATCCAAGGCGTGGCTAAGATTCATTCACTCATATAAGGTGAATTATACTAATAATTTAGTATTGCTCAGCCAATACTAAAATGGAATTAATGAAATACTGAGGGACAGACCTGGATATATGCACGCAACATTCAGAGTTGTAGGGGCCAAAGCTGAGACAATGGCCCTTTATATACTGGACAGTGGCTGTGCTCCTACATGCCTCTTTTTTCAGGCATGAGCACAAGAAGTTTGTCGTATCAGCTCAAATCCTGCAGATTTACTGAAATCATTCACAGGCTCCTTGCTTTATACAGTTTGAGGATTTTTACCCACACGAGCAAACTTTTGGATTTAGGTAGAAGTATCGTAGTGGAAACTTGAAATGTTTCCTGTTAAAGTCCTCAGCCTATTTCTACATTACAGTCCATACCCAACACAAAAGCTCACTACAGTGAATGCCATTTGCAATAATATGATTACTGGCTGTTTCCCAGTGTCCAAACAGTGTCTTGTGTCTAGAACCCCTGGGGTTTTTTGCAATGCTTAGGACATGCCATTTTTACCTGTGCATGCACCACATTTGCTTCCTGGCTCAGGTCTCCCAGCTGGACAGTGTAAGTTTTCAGCTCTTCCACAGTTGGGGTTCCTGCACCTGAGAATGTGCCTCGAGGCAACATGTTCATCTTTGCTGTGATCTAACATTTGGAAAAAGAACACTGCAATTAGAAGAGCAGCTCAGATGAAGACAGGCTATGAGCAACAAAATAACACTCCTGTCAAAAAGCATTAAAAGATTCAAGGCACTGATATAAAGCACCTGGATAGCAGGGTTCCCTTTTCACTGGCAGAATTTGGGCAGGCTGTGCCCTGATGGGATCTTGATTGAAAAAGGAGCCTCTGATTCCCAGCTTTATGGTCTACAGCTGTAGTTTGGGTTAAGGCAACCCTACTGCCCACTGCAGGGTAAGTCTTGCCTGAAGAAGAGCTGATATTCACCCTTTTACATGGCTAATATTCTTCCACGTATTGTAGCAATTTCAGAAAACAGAAAATCTAATAACTCTAATTTAGTATGAACAAAATTGTTAATACCAGGAATGACAGTTTTATCCAAGCAATAAAAGTCTCTGCAGTCTGTTCAGAACATACAGCTCAAACTCTGCTTTTGATGTGTGAGAATGAGAACACAGTGCCGAATGGCAGAACAAAATTTAAGCCACAGATCTGCTTTGACCAAAATGTTCCCACTTGTGGGAACTGAGATTTCACCCACATCCACGGGAACCAGCTGTGAGCTTGCTGGGTAACTCCCTTGGTTCTCTTGAAAGAAGTAAGCAGATAACATCTACTCTGAATATTAACCACAGGGATTCACCTAAGTGCTCCCACACTCTGCTTAGCAATCACTACCTCACACACATGATTTACCTCAAAGTAAAATTAAAAGACAATTATGGAAACACTATGCAGCAGCAATCTCCTCTGGAGAACCCTTGCACAATTTCAGTTATCTGATGGAGGGCCACATGCTACTATGACACAGAAAGATACACTAATTGCCATCTACACTATCAGAGTGTTTTATGGAACTTAAACAAACCTGAGGTTCCACAAGCTGGCAGGGAGGAGATTTCATCTTTGATGACAGCTCCTGTTGTAAATATTGCCATTTATTACCCATGTGATCCTTTGGAGCTAAGGTGGCATCAGCCTGCTTGCTCTTTGAGTCAGATTCTCCATTGCTGTGTTGAGAATACATTGTTAGAATGACAATTACTGAAGCAGAGTAAGTAAAACCAGGTTTCTTGTACAAGATTAGTTTCTCTTGCTCCTGCCTCAGAAGCAAAGCAAAACCAAGTGCATATATGATTATTAATCCAAGCTTTGATAAACTTGTTTGGACTTTCCCCTTCACATGAAATATGCCAGGAGCCTGCTGGCAGCCTCCACCTCTGAAATGACCACATGGGGAGCACAGTCCCATAGGAAGTCTTGGTTCCATGCTGGAAGGTGCCTGATGCCCACGTGCCCTTTTTCAAAGCTGCTGCCCTTACACTGGCTGGGTGTGTGTACAGCTGTGGCTGTGAGCAGAGCACCCAACCTGACTACAGACAGGCCTGATTTAGCTCATGGCAGGTGTCAGTCCCACCTGTTAGTGAGATCCTAAACTCTGGACTCAGCCCAGTATCAAACAGGCTGTCCCATAAATGAGCCTCCATTTCTCTGGACTGCTGATGGCAGAAATCCCCAAGCTTCTGCCATTTTTCTTCTAAAGGCACACAGAAAGAAAGAACAGAACCAGGGGTGCAACTGCAAGGCTTGAGCAGATTTATGCACTTTTACATCATTGAGCCTGGTGACTGATTGTGTTATTCTGTACCTGGACTCTGATTGTGGAGTCACGCTGTCCTCAAGCTGTGGCTGCATTTTTTCCACGCACGACTCAATAAAGTCAATGAGGCTTTTCTGCTCAGCTGCTTTTAATTTCAGGTCCTGTGCACAGAGAATAGCATGAGCAATTATGTGAACTGTAATAATCTGAAATGATGATTGTGCTTTTCCAATCACATTTTATGTGAAATCATTTAGCAAAGAAAAAAACCAAACTACATCTGTTAGAATAAAATGCAGTTTATGTATAAACATGAATTTACAGAACAAGCCATTTTCTGCAAATATGCTTTTTTATGGAATATATTTCTACCTGAGCTAAAGTTTTAAAAGCAAAGCCCAACCAGAAACGAATTACATATAGAAACTTAAACAACACTGACTGCAATCCTTACATAAAGAAATAGGCAAGGGAAAATGGGGATTTGCTCAAATATGAGTTCAAGTTCCATTAGTTAAAAGGAGAGTGTTGAGTGAAAAGTGAGAAATTCTAGCAACTCTAGCTGGACCACTTTCTCCAGCTCTTTTCCTATAGCAAGAATAAGGCAAAAGTTAATTTACAGTTAGCAAAATAGAAGTCATTTTCAGAGCACAGAACATGACAGAATTTTCATATTGTGTTAACAACAACCTTAAAAGTGTTAGCCCATGGGAATGGGCTAACTAAAGTTGACAAAACTTTAGTTTCAAACTTACCTTCAAAACCAGTATCAGTGTGTAGACTCAGATTTCATAATACATCAGTGTTTTAAAGCTAGGACTCTTGCCTTGCTTCACGGTGATTCAGATGGTATCACCCACCCCTCCAATCTCCTAGCTTGGTATTACTAAAACTTTTGGACAAGGGATTTTAGGGGTGAGGCCTTTCTCCATCTTGACAAGCTCCCCAAATCCTGGAGGAAATGGGTAGCTGAAACCTATCCCTGAGAGAGCTGATCCCACAGGGAAACTGCAGCAGCTCTAAGTGCAGCTGCCCCCAGCCCACAGGGGATGAGGAGCAGCCTGGCCCCTGGATGGCAGGAGAATTAATTACCTGTGGCTGCTGGAGCCCGTTGTGCCAGGGCTGTTGGGCAAGGGGCAGCTGGGATGTGCTGAAACCATCGGAGTGCAGGATCTCCAGGGGCTCTGGGTCAATCCTCTCCCTGCTGGGAACCTGTAAAGGGAGAGCTGTTGTGGGAAGGCTTCCAGGCCTGACAAGAGAGCAGAATCCCACAGCTGTATCTTGGGGAAAGGGCAAAAGCAGAGCGGCCTTGGATTTACCACGCACAGAATCAGCAGCACATGAAACACAGCTGCTACTTTTGCAAAGATTTTTGTCCAGTTGAATTTACTAAAAGTTTTAATATCCTAACCATTCCAACCTTCTGCCAAGGTCCTCACATCTCTCCCCCAAGTTGCTTTGCTTTCTTTGCTTTTCCTGCCAGCAGATTAGGTGATACTAACCCTCCCTTCTTTTTGTTTGACCAAAATACAGGGATGTGCATTTATGCTTATAAAATTGGTCATACACCTGGATTTTAAATCTGTCTGTGCTCACAGAAGTAATTCAACACAAGCCTTTACCACTGCTAATTCACACCAGAGGGATTGTGGCTGCTCTTAAACAAACACATCAGGTGGGCTTCTCTGATCCCTCACACAACAGAGGGAATGAGCTCTGAAGCCAGGAGTTACAATCTCACCCACTGGGAAACTCAGCAAAGACTGTGCAGCTGTGGTGCAGGAGAGCTGACAGAATTACTGCATTTAAGCATTCTTCAAAGAGAAAATTACTAAAAGGCTTCTCTGCTATGATACTGTCACAGACAAACATCATGGCCTTTGGAGGCATTTAAAACCAAACCCTAAGTCCTTTTCCTGTGCTCTTAGCAAAATGCTGACCTCTGTCACCGAGCACTTAAAGCAGAAAAGATGCTGTTCAGAGACTCATTAAAAATCCACTACTTGTTGCAAACTACAAGTAATTATACAGCGCTGTAAAGTTGAATAATGGCAACTCTGACATTTCTCCTTTCCTTGCTTCACACAGTGAGCTCTAACTGTTTTTCTGCAACCACAGGCCATTAAAGCACCAGGACTCTCAACTCTTGCCCTGCACAACATTCATATGATTTACCTGCTCTTCACTGTACTTGTCTTGAAGCATCATCTGGACATTTTCCAAATTGCGCTTCACCTCCTTCAGCTTCAGGGAAAGAGCCTCTGTCTTTTGTTGGTAGTCTGCACTATCTCCACAATCTTCCAGTAAAGAAAGGACCTTTTGTTCAATCTCTGATAACCTCACCTATAAGGGACAGCAGATAATTACTCATTCTCAGAAGTGCAACATTCCTGTTCTGACAGCATTCTGAAGTCAATGCTCACACCTCCCCTGCCTGAAAAGAAGAGAAACTTGCAGGGAAAAGAGAGAAATAGCTGCAATCCCCCTAGATTTTCTCCAGTGTAGTAATTTTATTCTGGACAATTAAATGAATTTTATACAGAGTTAGTCTTAAAACTGTTTCAAACAAGAGCATCTGCAGGAGGTTATCTTAACTCAGATACCAAGTAATAAAAGAGGACAGCAGAAATGGCAGACTCCATTTGAATGCAACCAAGAAGACAACACACCTCAGTGTGGGAGAAAGAGGCAATGCACACACAGCTCACATCACTCTTTGGGAGGAATGATGCTGAACCACCAACACATAGGAACGTTTCCACGTGTCAGCCAGGCCATTGTAAACTGTTGGGATCTGATTTTTGATCCAAGCTGCTGTGAATCAAAGTGCATCCCTGCATACTTTAAACTCATGTTTTTAAGGTGACCATGGAGAAAGGTACCATGACTCAATTGCAAAGTAATCAGCTGCAATAAATTAATTACTTTACACCATACACCCATACCTAGAGACTGTTTCTTCCATTCTGTGTGAATTTTTCTGTGTAGATCTTGACTAAGTTAGAGAACCCTCTTCCCCTGCCCAAGTTCATGTCTTAACATTGAGCCACGCTGTTTGAAGCCAACAGGAATTCAGCCTGCTTGTTCTCACCAGCTGCAGCTGCCCTGGTGAAGCCCATGCTGACAGGAACCCTCAACAGGATCCAGACACAGCCAGCTACTTAGGTACATTCAGGATCCTAATACCCACAAAGTTCAGCACCTGAGCACTTGGCTGAATCACAGCCTAAACCCAGAGGCACTCCAATTAAAAACAACCACCCAAACCAACAACAAAACAGCTGTTTTTGTCTCTCAGTAATTTAAAATGGGGACAATTTTGGTATTGGCTCCTTTATTGTGAGTGAAATTTGTTGCTCTGGGTAGGCTCAGTGCTTGAAACAACCTGGCACACCAGACTGGCACGGTGGGGAGCCTCAGCCCTGTTTTAATCCGCACATGCTGCATGCCAGGGCTCCCTCCCACCCAGCCCCTTGTGCCAGTCCTGTTTTCCTCCTCCCATTTTCACCAACAGGTACCACCCACTCCTTTTGTTCAACTGCTGTGGGGGCAAGAGGCTGTCCCAAGTGCAGGCAGTAGGTGAAAATATCACCACTGCTCACTGAGGGTAGGGGGAAAGCCACTATTTTTCTGTGCTAGGAGTTTATGGGAAAGACTGAAAAAGTAGAACTTAGCAGCATGGAAGCTTTCTTAGCCCAGTCTTTTAAATCATTCTGACAAGCAGAAAGTGAAAATGTCAGAAGAAAAAAAAATGCTCTTTTGTTCCTAGCTGATCAGGACCAATGAAAAACTGCCTTTTAATAGAGGATTCAAACTATACTCAGCCATGGTTTTGAAAATAATCCAAATCAAACCAAAGCTTTACATATACTCCAGAATTCCACCTAAATCCCCTTGACGCACACAGAACCCTAAAACCAGATGTTTTAACCAAACCCTGGAAAATCTGAAGCTGGTGCCCAGCAGTCACCTGTTCTGTGCACAGAGTGAGGAGCTGCTGGAGCAGGAGAGGCAGCAGGCAGAGCTGTTCTGCAGACACACCCCAGGGAAGGGGACTGGGGGATGGCAGCAGCAATGTCACCACCTTACCTGGCAATCAGCAAGCTGCGGCTCCACCATCTGCTGCCTTTGGGGGGTCTGAGGGTCTGACCTCAGGGACATTTTAGTTTTGTCTAGCCATTGTTCCAGCTCTGCCACCTGGGCCTGGCACACCAGGAGGATGGATTCTGGCTCGAGCCTGGCTCCATCCAGCGCTGTCGGCGAGCCCAGGGCGGCGTTGGGGACTGGAGGCGGCTGGTGGCTCTGGAGCAAAGCACATCAAAGCAGCCTGGTGAGCCACCTGCTTTTGTAATTTCCCTCCCCTCCCCTTTCCAGTGAGAGATGATTAACTTCCACACTCACAGAGCCCCAAAACAACTCTTGTCGCCACGTTCCCACACTTGGTGGGGAGGAAAAAACCCACAAACCAAGAAGGAAAAAAGGAAAGAAAGGGAAACTCAGCAGGCTGGCGATCCAGGATCTGGTGTAACAGGTTTCCAGGCAGCAATTTGCATCTGCAGGGATCTACCTGGGCACAGCAGCTCTACCTGAGCACACAGGAAGTGATGACTCACCATTAACCTGCTCTCCCCTGGGGAGAGATGTTTTTCTGTGGGAGTTACACACAAAAGCAATGCAGCTGGAAGCTGCAGAACAAGCTCTTGGACAACGCTTACAAGCTACTCGTGCGCGTTCAGTTCAGCAGTTAAATATACTTTACTCGGGATCTAGGTCACACAATAAAAACATGGTGTATTTTTAAAGACATCTTGTGCAATTCTTCTTAAATGCACTCCTTGAAGAAGCAATACTGCATTGCACATGTCCATAACAAAAGTCCAAAGTACTTGGAGATAAAGAGCAGTGACTTGGAAGGCTGCACAGGTCTGTATATGCCTCCACACATGCAAACACACTGGTACTTAGTAAGTAAATGAAGCATAACACTGCAAGAACAGAGCTACCTGAATGCTCCTGTGGCTCCAGAGCACACATTCAGGCAATTGAGATGGCCAGTGCTAGTGCACAAGCTTCATATTTAAATGAGATTTTGGCAGAAAAAAAAAGAAAAAAAAGAGCCAAAATGCATTGTTCCAGCTATCAGTGTCATCACAGAATGATAGAATAGTTTGGCTAGGAAGGAGCCAATGCTCATCTAGTTCCAAGCCCCCTGCCACAGGATACTGAAAAAAATTTCTTCACTGAAAGAGTTGTCAGGAATCGGAACAGGCTGCCCGGGGAAGTGGTGGAATCAGCATCCCTGAAGTGTTCAAAAAATGTGTAGATGTGGGACTTAGAAATATGGTTTAGTGCTGAACACAGTGGTGCTGGGTTAATGGTGGGATTCTGATCCTGGAGGTGTCTTCCAACCTTAACAACTCCAGGATTCTGCAATGCTAAAAGCTGAAGCTGCTGTGCCGTCAGACTGCTGCTCCTGGCCTTCCTGGAGCACTCATGCCACCATACACTTTTGAATTTAACCTACTGGCTGCTGCTCACTCTTCTCTTAGCCTCTGCATGACTTCCACAGAGCAGCAACGCATGTCAAGCTCCTTAATTCCTCCTCTAACTGCCATTTAAAATTTCTGTGGTTGATGGAACCCCTCCATTCATGCCTGTCTGAATGACAGCAGCTTCTCTGCTGAAAATACTCCATTTTTTCCCTTGAAAATTGTACTTTCAAGTAGCAATTGAAAATTTATCACCCAGAGCACCAATATGAAGAGGCCCACAAAGGGTTGCAAGTATCACACCACATCATACTGCAGCAAACTCCAGCAGCAAAACCACAATGGACCAGGGCCTCTGCCCACAAGGTAAGTCACAAAACTCACTCAGGAGGTCACCTTGTTCAGTCCTTCAAACTCACCATAGCCAGACTGCCTGTGCCAGGACCTTCAGTGCCCTCCAAAGTTTGTGGAGATGTTTCTTCATCATGTTTACTGTGTGATTCAGTTATAACATCCTCATCCTGGAGAGAGAAAGGCAGCAGTGGAAATATTTCTTATCTTCCATACAGACGTGCAGTAGTGGAGATGTGGCACTTTGGGACATGGTTTAGTGGAGGACCTGGCAGTGTTTGTTTTATGGCTGGACTCGATCTTAAAGGTCTTTTCCAACCCAAATGACTTTCTGATTCTATGTTCCACTGCCTTGTTGTGCTAGAGAAGCCTGAAAGAGCAGCAACCACTCAACCTATTGTGGTCCTGGCCCAAGAATATTCACAGACAGCAATTTTATTATGCCTTCTGATGTACAGAAATGAACAACTGCAGCTGTGACAACATTACTGAGGCACCATGAAGTACAGAACAGAAAGGCACCACAACTGTAGCTGATCAGTGTCCTACTGATTTTCTCAAGTACAAAGAGAATCTCTTCCACAAATCATCTCCCAGATTTTTAGAGCCTTTCCAGGAATCAGTGAAACAAGTTGCTTCTACTAAATGTACATTTCTACCTTTGGGGGTTTTGTGAAGCTAAAAGGGATTAGAATCACTGAATCATTTAGACTGGAAAAGCACTTAGGATCACTGAGTCAAGCCAATATGTACAACAGAAAAAGAGGTTCTATATGGCAAGATTTAGTGTGAGATGGAAGATATGAGTATGGCCACCTTGTCCTGCAGTCCTCTTGCACTGCAGGCTTCAGCGATACTTAGGACTTTTCCACAGAGATGAGTTCCCATCTCCACAGAGATAAAGCTGAGTGCATTACCTGAACAATGCCATCTGACAAGGTACCAGAAGACCAGGAGGTTGCACTGTCTTCCTTGAGTCTTCCATCACCTCTTTCTGAAGGCCAAAAGGTTGCATCTTTCTCTGTGGCTGTACTTCCCTTTAAAAGCAGTAACAGCTCAGCTTTAGCTTGTGACCAGGAAGCTCAGATATTCCTCCAGGCAATGTAAAGCACTGCAAGCTTCTAATAACACTTCGCTCTATTTCTGCCTTGTTTATCTACCTGTATTTATGTTTCCCAAGTCCCACCCCCTCTTCTTGCTCTATAGCTCTACTGCAATATGGATAGAAGCTCCATGACATTGATAATGTTCTTTAGAGACTGCAGAATATTCTCATTTTTTTACAATATTAAACAAAAGACAAAAAAACCCACAAACAAACCAACAACCACCAAACCAACAAGAAGACACTATCTATATTTCTCCTGTCCTGTCCCCTAAAAAGTCCTACATGTAAAGAAAATTTCAGCAGTGAGGCTGAAGAGTGAGAAATCCTGAACCAGACATGCTTGGATCAATAGTGAGGCACAAGCTCTGCAAGCTGTTTAGATTTCTTTGCACTGTCTTGCCACAGAGTTTTTTCCCAAAAGCAATTAGTTCTGCTCCTGTGCAGTTCACCTGGACATTCAGAGCCCTCAGATTCAGAGCAGCTTGTAGGGCAGCATCCCCCAGTTTCTCCGAATCTCCCAGAAATCTCTTCTATCTGAACTTCACTCCCAATAGTCTAATCACATCTTTTTTACTTGAATTCAAAGATACAAATAAATTTTGTTGTTTATGTTTTGCCATTTCAGAGGCTAATTCTTTCTGACACCCACTTCCACATGGAAATACTGCTATTTAGGGCCATATTTTGCCATTACCACTTCAATGAAGGGGGCATTATTAAATAGGCAATCCCACCAAAAGCAGGATTACACCTCACAGAACAAGATGCTCTGTCATATTGGCACCAGAATATTGGTACACTGGCTTGAGTGTAATTCCTTCGTATCCTGGAGTGATAACAGATGTTGTAAGTTGTTCTGAAATATTTCAGGTTTTCACATTTTTCATAATTTCTCCTTTACCAAAATCTTCTTACATACACAGTTGTATATATATAAAATGCACTGGACTCACCTTGCTGTGTAAAGAACAGTCTTCTGATTCTTCATCTAAGGAAGGTAGAAGAGATATCACTCCTCTTTTTTTCAACTACAAAAATACACACAGAAAGACAACACAATTAATCATGGCAAGAACAGCAGAAGCCTCTTCACTTCTGCCTGTAAACCAAAACAAATTTACCACTTGAGATCCACTTTTGGAGAAGCATTGAACATCTGGCAACCTACATTAAAGTAGCTGAAATCTGCAGGTTCTAAGCACCTCTGAAAATTGGGATTTGAGGCTGTTAGGTTTCAACAGCACCGCTGCAAAAGGGGTAAATTTCATTTTGCCTCATGAAAATAATTTATTGAAAATCCCAGAACAACTGACGATAAACAAAACTGCACATGGAACATTTTGCTGTTGATTGATGCAAACTTCATGTCAAAAGAGAAAAATGCTAAGAACCAGAGGCCCACCTACCTTCTCCTGGACATGCCTCACACTCAGTCCTTCTGAACACAAAGGGGAGGAGAGACAGCATTGATTCACAGGGCAGGGGTGCTCCTCTCTCACATGCCACTCCTCCAGGAGCAGCAAGGGTTATTTACCTCCCCTCTTTGGCCCTCAGGTGAGTGATCACTTACCTGCTGACCAGAAACATCAGTCCCAATCAGGTCACTCTGTGCCAATACAGAGGCTGGAGGTTCATCTGCTGCTTCAGGCACTTCTTGCTGTAGGCGCTGGTGAAGCTCAGACATGGAATTCTTCATCCCGGTAAGGAAATCTTCCTTTCTTTGGCACAGCTTTATGATTTCTTCTTTTACAGCTTCCATCTCTCCCTAAGGAGCAACAACATCTGTAAGCATCTGTTTTTCTTATTTAACCAAACAGCAATGTAACAGATGACACTAGGGATGCATCTTACTGGTACTGGGGCTACTTCCCCCCTTTCCTTTTTCTGGGCTTTGGGACAGTTCCCCATGGTCACTGCAGGAGATGTCCAGGTACACGCAAACCAACAGAGCAGATTCAGCTCAGGACAGCACTTGCCACTTGTGATGCAGAACTCAGTAGTGGGGAAGGAAATGTGGCAGGCTGGAACAATTCTAACTAGGTCCTGCATATCCATGAGAATACCAGCTTCCTCCAGGACAAAGGGAATGCAGATGGGTTACATTACTCCATGTGTCAGAGCAGGGCATGTTACTTCCAACTACCTTCCCTGGTAGCCTGACACTGCACACTTGGGAAAGCCCTGAGGAGGGCAAAGATAGCAAATGAGGGTAGCTCAGGGCTCAGCCTTTGGTGAAGCTGGCCCAAAAGAAAAAAATCACTTGGTGGGTGTTGGGGATGTGGCTAGGGCCAAAATTAACCCGTGACTTTGAATGTGATACTGGGAGAAATGGACCCCAGCACAGCTTCAGGAAAATATTTAATGTTCCACAGAGACTAAACAATAACTCAAGTAACAGCACTAACAGGGGGAAATAAATCTGTCTTCATCTCCTTCTTGGCCATAACTATTGCTCCAGCCAGTGTTCTGCCCTAAGAGTTTTTTCTTAGGGCTTTCCTTACCACCCAGCCTCCAGGTGAACCAAGAAACCCCAGCAAATAACAGAGTAAGACAGGACATGGAAAGAATTGGCCTACTCCCTTCGGTACTGAAAGTGCTAAAGCTCTTTCAAGCATTGTTACTTGCTCAGAAGACTGAAATCTGGCTAAATATCCCTTTGCACACTGGGCTCAGTTGATCAGAGCAAGCTTTGATGCCAGGCTTCAAGTGAGAACAGCACTGGCTCCACACCATGCTCTGTCATTAGTGATGTTATGCAAGTAATAATCTGTGGCAGATGAAAGCAGTGAGACTGCTGGACCTGTCTCCTCTACAGCTTCTGTTCATAGCTCCAGGGTGGCAGCATTACAGGAAAGGTGGAGGAGGAACTCCAGCAAATTTTCAGAGGACATGGGAACTCTGCTCTGACAATGCTTTTTTCCTTTTGTACGCTCAAAACCACAAGATAAAATCATCCAAAGGTAAAGGAAAGAAAACGTCACTGAAATGAAGAAACAGTCATCCATTACAATTTGGCATGTTTTTATGTACATCCACTAGGAACAGTATATCTACTTATTTCAGTACAGGAGACTTGCCAGCATAGATTTGCCAGATATTTAGCAAACTTAATTAGCCATAACCTCCTCAGAAACCAAATCTTTCTTAAAATCACTTCTTTTTCTGCAGTCCCTCAGTAAGATGGGCAATTCCACTGCCCACTTCTATTCATGCAATGCTGTATCTGCCAAGTTTTCTGCTAAAACAAGAACTATTAAACATAAAATCCTACACTCAGAGACAAAAACAAGGAAGAATCAGGAAATGAGTCATGCTGAGCACTACATCAAGCCTCCAACATCCAACCAGCTGACAGCAGAGCAGCTATGTACTTAGGAGCCTACTGAGTGATTATAGTTATTAGGCAAGTACAATGTAAGTGTATTAACTTTACTGTGACTGACTGGAAAAAACTGAACATTTCAGAGGCACTTTATAAATAGTTATTACATTTAATTAGAAATTTCCTGACTTCTGCAGTGCTATCTTTAAAACACATCTTATTTTTGCATTAAGAAAAACAATTCATCCATTACAGAAAGCAGCTGACTGTAGAGAGAAAAGCAACACATGTTTACCAGTGATAAAAACACAGTGTGGCCATGAGGAAAGGAGTCTAATGAATCTAACCCTAACCAGAATACCCATAAGTAGCACTGCATGACCAGTCATCAGAAGGAGACTCAGTTCTCTCCTTAGGCATTATCCCAAGCTGCCACCTCAGGAAAATTAGCAGGATGCTGAGCACAGGTAAGCTCTCAGTGCTGCATATTGTTTCAGCAAAACAACTGTTATGAAAACAGCACCCAGTTTTTCTTCCAAGTTGATCAGGGTACAAATGACACATCAAAATCAGTAAAGGAGTGTACTATGAAAGATATACCCAACTTGCAAAATAATATTAATTGTAATTAATTGCATGGTCACACTATGGCATTCAATTGCCTGCTTGAGTGTGGTGGAGAAGGCGAGCACACCACTATTTCTTGGTGCTCTGCATCAGCATGATTAGTGTTAATCAGGATAAGGATGACACATAAGAGGAAAATAATGAAACCCACCTCTGGACAAGGAGTCTTCTGAGCCTGTGGTTGATCTTCATGTGATATTTCGACCAAATGGTTCTTTAGGAGTTGTTTCAACTTTTCAATTTCTTCCTCACATTCTTCTGTTTTCTTTACAGTTTCCTGTGAAATAGCAATCTCCATAAATAATTTTGAAATAAGGAGTACATAAACAAACAAGTCAGTAAGGAAACAAAGTTGAACTGAAGAGTACTGAAGCTTCCTTTGTACCTGCAGTTATGTGTAACAGAATCTGTGTTTGTTCTGCTAACTTTGCACAACCCATCCCTCACTAAGTTTATTATTCACTTGCTGAAGACAAACAAGCTGCTCTACCCACAAGTTGAAGTATGGTGGAGTCTTCTGTCTAGGAGCTCCAGAGCAGAACTATGAATTTGGCTATCGAATGGAAATGGAGCAGATTTCATCACATTCATTACAATTTAGAAAAGGTTGTGGAAAAAGAGAGAAAATAAAGGGTTTCATATCAATTTGAAAGCCCAGCTGGTTTTTACTGCTGCTCAAGTCTTTACTGCCAGCTAGTTCTGCGCTGACCAAGAATGAACTGTGCTGTGCACCAGGAAAACACTGCAGCTCAGAGGATAACCCAACCACACTGTCCAACTGTTCGAATACTTCCAATAAAAGTGATAAGCATTCCTACCATGTGAACTTTTCCTGATTACATGGCTTATAGGAAAACATACTATATATTATTAACAGTCAAATTCAATTTTACTCATTTGACAGTGACAGCAAAATCTCATTGCCCCCCCCAGGCTTTGCTGTTCATGCAGAAATGGGCAATATCCTCACACACTCATATTTGTCAGTCACAGCCTGTCATGATGTCTCAGGTCATTAAGAAATGGTTACAAGTCAGAATATTTTGTGAAAACACTGAATAGGCACAGCACTTGTTGGCTCTGTTTCTGGACCCACAGGCTAAGAAGCAAAAATATCAAAGGACTGCTCCTCAGGTGCCTGCAAAAGGTAATAAAGGACCAGTGAAGTCAATAGGCTTGATCCTACAGTGCTGACAGCAGTACCTGAATGACCCAACAGGTCAAAGATCTCACTGCAAAGTGTTCACAGACTCTGCCTTTAAGAGCAGAGTCTCTCCTACTATGAACAGCAACAGTGCCATTTCTTCAGTCACTTCTTCATAGCAGCACCCCCTCTCAAGAAAATGCAGGCTAATAAGGTTCTAAATAACCATTATTATTTTACAGGTCTTAAAAGCATGAAGAAACTATTTTCCTTATTTAGAAAAGAAAGGCAATTTGAAGGGGAAGATATTTGTGGCCTATATTCTTAATGTCACAGGCAAAGAATCAGAAAAGAAAGAAAAAGGAATAGGTGGTCTTTGCTCAGCTTTAATAAGAAATTAAAAGAAGACCTCCTAAAAGGAAGATTTTCTTACACCTTCAACTCCATATGAATAGCACTATGTAGTAATAAATTGAGTCCTACCTCTAATTTCCTTGACTAAAGAGTCTGAATATTTCATACACAGACTCCAACGTATTCTGTCATGGACCAATATGTGAAGATAGTCACTTACCTGAAGACAATTAATTTGTTTCTGCCTTCTACTCAGAGAAAAGAAAATCTGTTTCTATCCTTTATCCAGTATAACAAATTAATCCATATATGTGGGATGGGATTTCTTCCTACAAGTGCTGCCTTACTTTTGAGTTATTTCCTGGTTAACAGTTGCTCCTTACTTTTCATATTGCATTGGTAGCTGCAGAAGACCCACCCATGGCAAAGGCCCACCTATGCACAGTGTATTTGTTTTGGAAGAGCTTAGTGAAAATGAGGTCAGTTAATCATCAGATATGCAAATAATACCACTCTCTTGCACTGAAAACCAGTAGAAGCAGATGTGGCTTCCAAACCTTCCTCCTGATGACGTTATTTAGGTGTGAAACTTAGGCCACAATAAAAAAACAGAGGGCAACATTCAACAGAGAACTAAGTCACTTAAACTCCTCTCCCAGAGCATTTTCAATACCTATTACAGGCTTTGTTTCTGACTTACTGTTTCAGGTGTTACAATGCAACTTAATTATACAAAAGGTACTCATGCAATATTCCATTGCCTCATCCATACCAAAGTATGGGCAAACTCATCCAAAGATTAATCCCTGGGGGAAAAGAAATGTATACATTTGTACAGGAAGCTTGGCTCCCCTTTGCTTTCCTCTGTAGCAGGATTCTTACCACCTTTTTAATGCAGCACTCAAAATGCCACAGTTTAATGGCTTTATCCTTTGTTCCACCTTAGCTGGTGCTAGACTTGTATTGTAGTACTGCTGCTTTCAACCCATTCAGCTCCACTGGAAAATCTATTTTGCACAGTTTGATACACTAGCTGCCAAGAATTGCAATTTTTCCAATCTGTTTTCTCACAAAGAAATTTCATTCAGCTACAGATTGTTGGGTGTCTACAAGATAAAGGCAAATGCTGAGCAAAGAAAGGTCACAGATTTACAAAAAGGATAAAAATCTAAAATTTGAGTTAATACTGCACAAAAACCAGTTACAAGTGTCATGACAACAACTGATAATTGGAAAGCACCCTGTTTCTGATGCTTTGAAAGTGTTTTGAAAATTCTCCATTATTTGATCTGGTAACTCAGGAAAAGGTACATTTCACCACATCCATTTTTTGGACATAAGAAGTTGTATGGACTTAAAAAAAACAACAAAAACCAAACTCTAGGGATTATACAAATCTAATATAGTCACTGCTTTTATCCAACTCCAAGCATGCACTAGTCATGCGGCATGTTTGAGTTTTTCTCTGTGTTCTGCTCTTAATTTCACAAACACAAAAATCAAAAACAGACATTCCTGTTTCAGCTGTCACTTGCCTGGCCCCTGAAGTGCCCAGTTAGATGTTTCAAAGCATTCTGCTTTACCCTATTAACTTAGGAAAACCAAATCAGCAAAGATAATGTAACATTTTTCTAGGTGCGGCCAGCATCCTGCCAAGAAAAGGATGGGTCACACGAGAACTTTAATTCCTCTGCTGCCGTGGGAACCTGTGTTACCAAACTCCAGATTTCCTCCAGCCTGAGCAATGGAGCATGACCAGGTCCTGAATTAAAACTTCCCTGAGCTGGTACAACCACATTGCTCAGTGAAGTGCTGCAGGTTTGCAGACTTCCTTCAGGTTTGGAGCTGTTCCATGACTCTCCCTGCCCAATTAACACTTTCTGACCCACCAGCATTGCCTTCTCCTGTTGTTGTTTCCCTTCTGTTTCCACAGCTGGCCTGGCCAACAGCATCTCCAAGACCCCTGTCACACACTGGCCTGCCTCAAAATTGTGAATTAACCACAACACAGCTGTAGGGAATGGGCACTTTCCTGGCTCACTGATTTGGATTAGTAAGAGACATTCTGCTGTTAGCAGTTGCTATCTAATGGCTGTCAACAAGAATTTCCATGGTCAAGGTGAGTTTCAGGAGCTGAAGAAGTGAGCACCTGCATCTAATACTGGACTTCAATCACCATTGCAAATCTGGGGCATGGAACACCTGAGCCTTCACTCCTACAGTATGCTGTCAGCTGTGAGTGAATTGGAAAACTGAAATGTATGTCAAGACTATGCAGTGTGCTTTGTTGCAGGATCAAATTAAATAGATAAAAAAACCCAACAACAACAAAAAAACCAAAAAAACAAAAAAAAAACCCCAAAAAACAGAACAACAACAACAAAAAATTCCCAAATCATTACACAGAAGACACAATAGGTGTAACTACATGGCTGCAAAAGCAATACTGTTTAAAGATCAGAATTACTTTTAAAAAAAGGTGGTTCAGGTGACTGAAAAAAAAAATTAAAAATATTCAATTACCTCCAGTAGCTCATTTTGTTCCTTGGTAATTTTTTCTAATTTCTTCAATTCTCTCAAGAGTTGTCTTGCTCTTTGGAAGACTGAGAAAGGCTGCATTTTCAGCCCTGGCACCTGAAGAGCATCTTCATAGGACTGTATACGAACAATAGTTTTCTGCATGGGACCAACATGCTCAAGTATAACCTGTCAGGATAGAACAGAGATGATGGATGTGATACTGAGTTAGAAACACAACACCATAAGTTTATATTACACTAATAACGAGCAAAAGCTCTCTTTGGTGAGTTTCCTATTTAACAAGGAAGAAATTTGAATCCCCACATGGGCTACTCATTTAGGAGTCAGACTATGAATCCTTGTGGGTCCCTTAGAATATTCTGTAATTCTTGTTCTTGGAACTACTAAGTGAAAATCCACAGTGAGGTTGTCTAAAGCAAGACAAAGATGTCAGTTTATTTACAATACTGTTTTTTCTGCATATACAAAGTTTGCACAGTGACAAAAAAAGGCTCACATTCAGATTATACAAATCTAATATAGTCACTGCTTTTATCCAACTCCAAGCATGCACTAGTCATTGCTATTTACTAAGCAGCTCATTTCAAAGCAGAACATCATTGGCAGTGAAGACATTTAAAGTGGTGTGAATTCTTTGATGTCACTGTAGGTTTTGTCTTTTGTCCAGCAAACCAATCATTTTTGGGTCCTAAAAGCAGTGTTATCAACAGAGATGAGATAATGAATCAAGATGGAAGTCAGCAGAAACCCCTGAAGATGGCTCTCCTGTCAAGGACAGCATTTCATATCACAATACTTGCAGTGAATGCACAGTTTACAACCACCTTGATCAGTCTGGGATGAACAGAAATGTGCAGTTTCATAGCACAATGCATGTTTTGTGGAAGACTCTGATCAATTTATGAAGACAGAATGGCAATACCAACTTGTAACTCCGTGGTTCTCCTTAAGAAATATCAAATTCTACTGGAACCTCATACAGCAGGGAACTCCAGAATTAAAAAATACTATAAATACAAACCACTTAAAGGCCTTTTAATTACTAACATTTTTGTTAAACTCCCTCTCAAGAAGATATTGTTTTAAAATGCCCCAGTGGAAATAGAGATGCTTATTCTCTCATTCATAACCAGACTGTATCAGGATTTTTTTGCACTGTCCAGGCTTTGGTTTACAGTAAGGAAGTGGGTGAACATTATTTTCCAGAAGAAATATTACTGTAGTTTTTCCATGTAATGTAGTTATTACAAACTGCATGGTTTTGTTATGAGAGTTACCCTGCTATGAGAGGTATGATGACATTTTTATTCCTCACCTGAAACTGAAACCATGCTTTTTGTATTTTAGGCAGATAACACTGTGGACTGTATGTATATGGTGTGAAATAAAAGAATCATCTGCTAAATTTTGCCTCCATTTTTGGAAGAGCAAGGCCTAATTTTCTAACTTCCATTTGGTGCCAAGTAGAGTGGTGTGCAGCAAGTATCTCTTGAAAATCAGGCCATAAACTTCCCAAAAAATGGAGATCTCAAAAGTGGCAGCTGTGCCTGAGATGTGCTGAAGTTACACCCTCAAGTTCTCTGGGGGCATATTCTCAACAATGCTTTAATTTCAAGTGTTTTGTATTCAAACCATGACTGTGCTTCTTGAAAAGGTCTCTCAACACTCTCACCTGAGGGTTTACATTGATCAGGGAGAAAAACCTATATAGGAGTTTTCACAGACCTGTCCATGTTTAAGTTGGTCTTTAGGAGAAAATTCTAACAGATCTTTTGATGACAGGATTGTCTTCATTTCTGCAACATCCTTCTCAAACACTTTTCTGCAACATCCTTCTCAAACACTTTCACGTGAGATTCGATGGCATCCAACTCCTAGATTTTGGGAGCAAAAAGAGTATTTGCAGATAACCCAAATACCAAAGCCAACTTGCATTTCTGTATTTCACTTAAATTTAAAAAGAAATACTGAAATATGAGTGCAGCATATGCAGGATATACAAATGGTGCTATCGCTCACAAGGCTAGTTATTATAAATTAATTTTAGTCATAACTTCTAAAGGAATTAAGTATTCAAGATCATCTAGTCTGTTTTAAACCTTAAATACAGAACTGAAGCATCCTTAAAAATTCACATTATAAATCACCAGACAGTTTACCAGGGGTGATAGTTTTCAGAATAGGAAAGTGCTGTAATTACACTGTTGAAGCTTTCAGTAGGAAGAGACTTGTGTCAGATGGAAAAGGAGTCCCCAGACAGCTGTTTGTGAACTCTCACAGAGACAGTCACAGTAGATTAGGCTGGAAGGGACTTTGAAAGGTCTCTGGTACCCATCAAACCAGGGCCCTTGGGGTCTGATCCTGTTGAGATTTGGGTATCTCTTGAGGTGGGACTATTACCCCTGATCTAGTGTTTGAACAATTTCACTGAAAAAAAAAAAAAAAAAGTGAATCTTTCCTACTATGTAGGTGTAATTTCCTTTGTTACTTGACTTGTTAGTGCTCATCTTTTTCCTGAACACCCCAAGAAGAGCCTGGCCCAACCTTGTCTGTAATCTCCCATCATGTAACAGCAAACAGCAGCAATATCAACCTCTCACCCCCAAGATTCTCTGTGCTGAACCAACCCAGGCTCTCAGCCTTTCCTCCTACATCCTGTGCTAATCCTGAACTTTACAGCTTAATTAGTTACCAAATGCCTTCTGATGGTTTGTTTCCAAACAATTTCCTCACTTGGCACACCTACAGGAACCAGCACGACACCCTGTTTTCCATGCAGGTGATATAATCTGCATTTCCTAACATATGATGAAGCTCTGATAAAAGGCTTTTGGATCACCCAGACTTACATCAGCCACATGCAGGATTTGTGGAAGGATCTCTGCTATCTCATGCTGTAAAGTTGCTACTTGAACATCCATTTCATTCAGCTGCTGCATTACACTCTCAGTTTCAAAGACAGGTGACAGCTCCTCCAGCTCCATGAAGATACCTTGCAGAAGATTTTGCTTTTGCTCTGAGTCTTCCAAAGCCATCTGGAGACAAAATAGGAGCTTAGTACAAAATAGGAGCTTATACATCTCTGCTGAACATTATAGTTATAAAGGAAAGGATTTAAAAGGAACAAAATGCTCCCAAAAGTATCAGGCCAGTTGTGTGTGATGTGAAATCTCCTCCCCTGCAATGAACTGGTTGAGCTTTTGGGGTAACTGCAGTGAACACTGCCATGAAGAACAGTGAGGGCTACAAGAAATGCACATGATCAATTTGTCTGGGTGGTGTGTGAAGGAAAGGGCTGAATGCACCTCTCCACACTAATGCAAGCCCAGAGTGCATTTCCAAATCCACTCATTTCACAGCCCAGGAAAACAAAACATTCCATTTCACAAACACAGGAGACAATAAGCTTTTGCCACAGAAAATGTTCATGGCTTTTGGAAATCACATTCTCCCCATTGTGGCTACATGCTTTTGTAATGTGTCACCTACTTCCTGTCAAGAATTCTTACTACAGAAGTCTATTTAGAACACAAACTTTCTCACTTGGTCTAAGCCAAGGAGTGGATGCACAGAAAACTCGAATTTTAAGTACAAAATTGCTAGATTTTTTTTTTTTGGCACTCCTGATCTTCCCTATAATATTACAAACATTCAGTTTTTGAAATTACCAATCAGAATTACCTTCAAGAAATAGTGAGCACAGCCTTCCAAACCACAACTCACTTCAAAGATTCCATCTAACACACAGACATCAAAAAAAAAGCATTTTGCCTTTTTGGCTCATGTACAATATGAAAAGAATCCTATATATACAGGCAGTAAAAACTGACCATAGCCACTCAGCAGGGTTACAGAAGACAATCACACATTTCTGGAAGTTTTACAACAGTTCAGGATCTGCACAAGATAGGTATGTCCAGCACCAAAAAAATCTGTATTTCATGAGTGTCAACTATAACTACTTTTCACTTAAAAAATTTACTGAAAATGGTAAATTACTTATGTCAGTAACAATTAAGAATGGAAAACTGCATCTGCACATAGCAACAAGTGCTAACAGGAGCATTTACCTGCATCAACTCTTACCTGGAGCTCATCAGTATGCTTGTGTAAGCTTTTTGCAGAGTCGTGCTGAGCATCAGCTCTTAGCAAACTGTTGGTGCTTTCTATCCAATCTTTCACATTCTTCAGGTGCTCCTCATATTCTTCCATCTTGTTGGTGGCCTAGGAAATGACAGAATTTTACAGAAAGCTACAAGTTAGTTGCTTCATTGTGTAAGATAAATGCATCTATGAACAAGATTAAAAGAAAACAGGATGCATTTGTACCATGGTCAGTTAAATTAGCATGGTGAAATAAAAAACATTTTTCTGAAACAGTTTCACAATTTCAGGCTATCCCCTCTCACCAAAGTCACTGTGGTGCTTGCATGTTTACATTTCATGGGGGCATTGCTGCAATTTATATAGCAATGGCCACTGCCTGTTAGCAGAGTCTGAGAAAACCACCTCAACACCCACCCAGGGCAAGAACTCCCCACACAAACCCCTCAACCATGGCTTGAGCCAGTCCTTTTTTCATAGGAATTTTTTTATAGGATTGGATTTTTAGAGAAATGATCCATTTGCACCCACCTTGTTGAGAATGGCAGTTCTGCGCTCAGCACGCTGTGAGACCTGCTGGTACTGCTGCAGGGGGGCCACCAGGATATCCATCAACTCCTGAGCCTGGCAGGAGTTCTGCTCCACTATATCCTGCACTTCTGCATCCAGCTCATTGAGTTTGTAATGCCAAAGGTCCAGCATATCCCAAATTTGCTGCATGTGGAGATGGATTTTCCTGTGAGAAAGAATTGATAAATATTCACCAGCTAAATGCTTGCTCGTATTTCTCCTTTTACAGACATAAAATGAATGGAAGAGCACTTTATGCTATAAACCAGGCACTGTAAAAACAACCAAAAATCTTTTAACACCCGCAGATTATTTTTTTGGCAAGTTTACCTTCTGAACTTCTTTGGCTTTTCCAATGTTTTCACTCTTCTGTTGTAACATCTTTTCAATAGCTTGAAGGCCATTGTTAATAGTTTCTGCTTTTCTTTTCAGCACATACTGAGGAGAGTTCTGCAAGATTTCAGAGCTAACCTGCCACAGCAAAGAGAAAACAATTGGGCAGATTACAAAGATGTGCTTGTTTCTGTGCACCACCTTACCAAAAATATTCCAATTTTTTTTTTTGTTTCTCTTGACAAGTCAGTTAAAAACACTGGAACTGAGCTACATTTGCAGGACAAAGCATTAACGTGAGCAGGTTCAACATCTACATGTTGTTCACTAATTTGTTCTCATTAAAAAATGCCTGGCTGAGAAAAGCAAGCCCTGGGGAAACAGGGACTGAGGCACTGCAGCTCTCTGGGTGCTTTGCTTCACCCTGCTCTCATCTCAAACAAAGGCTGCATGGTGGGAAGGGTCACATTTGGATTTATGTGTGGATTTTTGGATTTATGCTGTAAGAAACCCAGAATGACACCTTTATGTCTCAGCAGACAGCTGGGACTTCCATGTAACAAATAAGGGAATATCAAAGTACATCAATGCACAGAAAATGTCTCAGTGTAAACTTGGGAGATTTATCACTAAAACAAAAAGCTCTGAGAAACTTAATTTCACTCTGCAGGACTCCACAGAAATGAAAAACTGGTGCAGTGGAGGGCCTGATTTTCTGTGTAAAGAGAAAAACTCTCAAAGCTGAAGTTGAGTAATTGCCTGAGCACAGGACTGAGCAACACAGCATAAGCTACCAGGTTATTCCAGACTGGATAGAGTGCAGGGAGTGAGAAAAGTCCTTGATCTTGCCCAAAAGTGACATCTTTTCTCACTAAATCCTGCTAGCTGCCAGGGTCAGCCAAGCACCTGAAAATAGTGGTAAATTTTTTGTGTGCAGCAACCCTAGGATTTAGGGGGCAGATGCACACTGGACAGTTTCATGCTGCCTTGATGCCAAATATTTTTAATTTGTTATTTTAGTTTGAAGCTCCTAGTACTGAAATACTTTATCCTTGTAGTGGGATGGGGAATTAAGACCATTTTTAGTTAACAAATTATCTACTTATTTCTTGATTTTATTAACATAATTTCTAGGTTCCAACACAACCTCTCTAAAAAGTACCCACAGTACAATGTTGTATTGATAAAATTTAATTTTATCAAGATAAATATCTATAGAAAGAACTAGAGGGCTTCTCTGAAATACTTCTACTTACACCACAAAACCTGTGAAGTCAGTCTGTACTTAGTGCCTAAGACTTATTGGAAAAATGAACTCAGGCTGTAATCACTGAACACTTGACCATTACTATCCTGGAATATACCAAAGATGAAAAATGGTCATGCCAGCTTCCAAAATAAAAGACAATCATGTAAGAGCGATGTGACACAGCTGGAAATGAGTCAACAGATCAAGCTCTGACTTCCCCTATTTCTTCAGGATAAAAACACTACATCTGTCAATGCTCTGATCATCAGCAAAGCAGGATTTTAATTTCAATACTTCTTACTGGGATAAAGTTTATTATTTATGGCACTAAATGTACAATTTATTTTTTATTTTTTGGTTTGCAGATTTAGAAGAAAGCAGTGTGACTTTAGAACTTGACAACTCAATTTAACACATGCTGGTATCACCTAATATGTAACTGCACTGACCTCCAGTTCCACCATGATTTTTTTTGATTCTTAAACATGTTTTGAAAAATTCCAAGGTAGTTTTTATTGTTTTAAATGTGAAAAGCAAATGTTATCTAACTTCCAGGACCAGTTTTTTCACTCCAACATGTAATGTGTGCTTTGGGATAATCTTTTATATCTTGGTAAATCAATCAGTAAACAAAAAAAGAACCCCAAAGCATAAATACTGTTTTGTTTTTCTTCTCTCCTCCCAGTTGTTGGTTCTGAAAAGACTAGTCCCATTTTGAAACAAACTATAAGGTTAACCAAATTAAAACTCATAAACTTTAGTTAATATGCTGCTAAATATTTTATGTAAGATAAAATGAGTCATTTGATAGACACTAAAAGGTAACTGGATTTCAAAACTGTTTTATTACACTTTCAAATTTTATCAAATTAATTGAGATTTAACCTTAAAAATTAGCACTGAACATCTTTAGTTCTGAAATATGAGAACTGAAAGGGGTTCTTTTTTCATTTTTAAAATAACACAAATGAGTAAGTAACAACAATAATTGCATCAGGCTAAAAATGTGACCCCAAACTGGGCGTATTAATCTGTTTTCCCTTAATTTTGCTTTCAGCTAACTGCTTAGATAGAATATATTGCAAAAAACCAATGCAATGGGATTCAGTTATTTAAATTCCCTGATTTTAAAGGAAGGCAACCGTATTCTCAGGGGTGGTAAAAAAAAACATGTCCTGATACCCTACCACAAGTGCAAGTTACATTTAAAAAAAATCCTATTTCAAAGCCCTTTTTTTAACCTAGTTCTGAAAATATTTTCTCATTTAAGCTGTACAAACTCTGCAATCAACTTCAACTACTAGCTCCCAATTTAAGGATGAGATTGGATAAAAGACAGCATCCATATCATATTAAAAATTAATGCTCAAGATTCTGCCACGTCCATTTTTAATAAAAACTAAAAATGTTATATTCACATTGCTTACCGTAAGATGATTCAAAAAAGAGACCTAGGTGTGAGGAATGATTTATACATTAAAATAGATAAATATGAAAACCACATCAACAATTACCTTCTCTTCTAGGTCTTGCAGTAGTTTCTTGCAGTCCTCCAGCTGTGTTTCGATCTCTGCAGGGACTATTGTGTACATTTCAGAATACTTGATCCGAAGTTTCTCCATGATATCCTCCAGAGCTTGGCTCTCTCTACCAATCACACTCTGAAGCTCCTACAAAATTAAGAATAGCTTCATCAGTTTTACCCAGTTTTTATTGAGTGCATGTGTGCATATGTACATATATATGTGTATATACACACACGTAACGTGTTTTATATTTCCTACCGTGATTATGGTTTGGAAAAATTGGGTTTGGGATATCAAATCTGATTTGATTACCTCTGCAAGCAGATAAACTCTAAGCAATACTGACTCATTTAATCAAATGATGCTCTTCAATCTGTAAGAATTAATTAAACCTGATACTGCTCCGTGTCGGGGAAGTGACGCACTGATGTTCATTGACAGCCACAGCAAAGGGACCATCTGAAGAGCCCCTATGATTAAACGTTAACCTTTGCACTCTCCCTTCTGCCAAAAGTGCATTTTTCCCTTTGAAAGATGTTTAATAGCCAACGTCCATCCCTTCATTATTATAAACAACACAAAGGCCACAGAAAGCAACAGGTTTCAGGCTGAAGTGTCTGCTTTCAGGCAATTACGCAGAGCAGCACAGCAGGCTCCTCTCAAAACAGTAGTTTCCAGTTCTGCACAAAGAATGTAGGTTTTATGAGATAAAAGAAACTTGAACAACTGTTTACAGCCTGTGGCCTAGAAATAAAATCCGAGCTAAGTCCTCCTGCAGAAAGAATGAAGAAATTCATTTGTTTGGAAGGTTTTCTAGAGTTTCAAGTTGGAAGGTTCTGTTTGCTGGCTTTATGGTTCCTTTCCCCAGTGCTCAGCTGTTTGAGAAACTCAAATGTTAACTCAGGTTATGGGGAAAAATTATCCAGACCTCCTACCAGGCAATGAAAGACACTAAAATTAACTGCCTTTGCTTTTGCAATCAGGAGTAATGGTAATCCACAAATTCATAGGCTACACTTGGGAATCTTTTCCTTCACACAAAAGCATAAGACACTGAGGCTGATTTATTTCCTGTCATCTCACAGCAACTGGGATTGTTGATACTAAAAAAAACCCAAACCCTCAAACCCATGAAACAGCTGTGTGCCTCATTCTCTCAGGGAGAAGGCTGCTTTTCTCAAATGGCCCAATTAAGATTGTGCCAGTATTTATGGGAATTCACAGATTCCCTGACCTAAACTGGAAAGAATCAGTTACAACTCCTGTCTCCAAAATGAAGCAGGTCTCTGCAAACTGGTTTCTGTGTATTACTGCATGTACACATTTCACACATTATTTAGCTGGAAAGCAGGTACCTATCAAAGCTGTCCCAATTTTTTTCCTAAGGGATGAGATAATAACACTTCCCCTCTTCATTTGTGTGGGTGAATTTAAAACTTCTGCCACCCAGATAAATCAGGTTTGTCATCTCAAAATGAAATAGATATTTCCACTCAATAGGTGCAGTGGAGTCCTGACTAATGCTATAGATTTCATAGGAACTAGATTTTCTTTGGAAGTAGGAGATGAAATTGCCCTGCAAATTTTGGCTTACTGGTGTTTGGACTATGTAAAATTAATGAATTCTTCAATCCTTTCAGCTCAATCTTCTCAAAAGGAACAGGCCTGCTGTGAATATAATGTTAAAAAGACATCATTTGATGGGATTGCTGCTAGCATTTGCTTGTGCCATTGCTGCCAGGAACAGGAACAAGGTCTAAACTCACTTTGTTTTAGTGAGTTTTAGGTGCTCGGATTAGCAAAGTTTGTATCTGAGGGAAAAGATCAGATTTAAAGCACCTGCTGTAGTAGAATTTCCTTCTGGATAAAAAGAACTCAGTAAAAAAGCAGACACCCTAAATTATAATTCTAAATTATAATTCTATCATTAAACTCTAAATTATAATTCTAAATAATTTTAAATAGAAAACCAGCCCTTTTAGACAAATCCAAGGTCTCACCACAGCAATGCTGGCTCATGGATTTTCAGAAATTCTTAAACATGTAATAAACATTTCTCTCTCATGCTAATCCCCCATCTGCCACCATGGGCTTTGGCTTCTGCATTTTTCCTAGCCCTTTGCTAGGACACCCAACCAGTTTTTATACAAGACTCAGCGAAGACAGCCCAAATTTGTACTACACTTTAGCAGTTTAAAATAAATAAATTATAAATTCTATAATAATTGGATTAAATATAATTAAGAACCGCTTTTTGTTCAGGATTTAAAAAATATTAAAGCAATATAAACGCAGTAAGAATAATTTGAAACAAATATATAATTCAAATAATAAATAAACAGATTCAGGAAGTATTAGGAATATTAATATTTCATAAAGTCAAAAAAATGCAGAAATGTACAGACTGCTGGTGGTTGCTGCTGGGCACTGTGGTCTTGATCAGAATTTGAGTTTTAAAAATCATTTACTGGGTTAACCCCCAATTTGGGACATCAAATCCACCGTATCTGAAGCTGCCCTGGGTAGGTATGCAGAGGGGAAAGCATGCAGGGTGTACACTAACCAGCCCTTCCTAAAAGGAATGCAACTGGATGTGAATTTCTCTGCAATCTGGAAATGCTTCTGTGCCTGCTTGCAGATCCCCACAGAGGGAAAGAAACACAAACCAAGGCCATGGCAGGGCCAGTTGTATTCTGCTGAGCCAGATTCATTGTCTTTAAGTCAACATGCATAGACCTCACCATTAATTTTATCTGGAGCAAGTTCAAGCACCAGCATAAGCCAGAAGATATTCTGAACATCACAATAACAGAGCTGTTACCAACCTCCAGCTGTTCTGCCTTTCCATCAGCATCCTGCAGTAACACAGATGCAGCATTCTGTAATGCATTTGTCACAGCACTTATTTCTTCAGTGACCTTGTTCCTCTCTTGAATCTCAGCTTTCACAGAATCTTTATGGTCTTGAGCTTTTTTGTACAACCTGTGCAAAAGAATACATTGTTTTAGACTTAACACTAAGAGCAAAGAGCATGCTTAATACAGATATCATGTAGGTGTGTATCCAGAATCACATTTGTCTGTAATTTAGGGTTTTTTTCTGTTATTAAATCTATTAGTTTTATGTCACTTGTTATCTCAGTTTCTTCAAAGTGAGTCCTCAGATAATGCTGTTTGGTAGACCAAACCAGAGTGCAGGCATATTTAATCAGCAGAGGTCAGATTCTCAGTCTGAAGACACTGGCAGAGCAGATATTGCTCACAAAGATTACCATGTCCAGAAGCAAACCCAGAAAAGGGTGAATACAATCATCAGATTTGTGAAAGATATTTGGGGAGAATTTTAGACAGTGGCACTCACTGAGTAAGATGAAAGTTGTGTTGTTGCAAAAAGCATGAGGTCTGATTTTCCTAAAAATGGAAAATCTTAAAATTCACAAGCACTTGGAACCTCTAAAACTGACTATTGTTCCTTGATTCCTACTGCATTTGAACACAAATTGCAGCCCACAAATGATATGGCCATGCTCAGGTCTTCTCCCTAAATAATATTCCCCAATGCCCATACTGGAGACAGCAGATGGGTGAGACAGAGCATTGGTCTGACCCAGGAGAGCATTTATTGTCTTTTTAACTGCATTACAGCTTTTATGTATTCTTTGATCTCCAGTAAAATCCTGTGCTTACGACTAGTCCTATCTCATATCTTCAACAGCAATTTCACACCACTTACTTTTTACAGCGTTCTTGCATTGCCTTTATCTCACACAAGGCAGGAAGGGCAGCTTCTCCCTCAGCATTTTCAGGTGTATTCAGGATGTTTCTTATCCGGTGAAGAAGCAAGAGTAAGAGGAGCTGCTGCTGGTTGATGTTTTCTTCAAATGAGTTCACAAAATCAAGTAACTCCACTAGTTCCTCTCTGGTGGCCTTTTCCTTCTCTTTAAGGCTTTCTGGCTGTTCTTCCTGGAGCTTATCAAGAATTATTGCTTCTCGTTCCAGCTAAATAAACAACATGGCAAATCATGAGATAAAGTGCTCTTTTATTCCACCATCTGAAGTTACATTATTCATTTACTCACACAGGTGACTAAGTACTGGGAATTACACTGTCAGAACTTGAACCTTTGAAGTGTGACAGAACTTCTGAGCTTGCTTTAACAAAGCACATATAACCCTGTGCAGAGCTGCTCTTGGTTCAGAGGACTGAGTAAATATCCCCACCATTTCTGCCTCTGGGTTGAAGAAAGGGTGAGGGTAACTGAGCAGGAGGTGGGAAATGATGTTCTGCCCTGATGTCAGTCCTTCACAGGACATTTTACTCACAGCCCCATCTCCACCCCCTGAACTTGCAGATGTTGAGCAACTTACCTCTTCATTGATGAATTTCCATTCCTGCTTTAGCTCTTCACAGGTAATTTCCAGCCCTTTGGCTGCCTCAAGCAAACCCAGCCAGTTTTCCCACAGCACTTTTACAATCCTGCCCAGAGCCCTGTCACTTCCTCTGCATAACCTCAGCATCTCTCCAGAGATCTGCCTCAGCTTCATGAGATCCTCTTCAGCAGAGTCAATGCTAGAGACTAAAATCTTACAGGAGAAACAAACACATCAATTAATAAAATGCTACAGTCAGGAGTATTAATGAAGTATTCAGTAACATGATTAGGATCCTCTATGAAAATGGCAATCACTCCACTGAGCTGGTAAAATATGATTTTACCCTCATAATGAGGGAGTTCTGTTGGCTAAGAATGTAGAGAAAGATGGAGTAAATAAAATAAGCAGTAAGATATACTCATTTCACGTGGTCTATTATACCTGGCCTTTTAACAAGTATATAAATATATTAATATATTCTGTGGTTTTACATATACATAAATATAGGATAAAGAATTCCACTTATTTCTACTATGTTATTACATGGTATACATAGCTGAAGTAGTTTTGTATGAGCTTTTCAAGTTCTTCAGAGTGTTTCTTACCTTGCTTTCTTCCAAATGCTCCAAAGCTTCCTTATAAGACAATGGAATCCTAGACAGAGACTGTCTAAGCATCTTTTCTAGTTTCTTAAGATTATCACACACTTTATCTTTGGTTTCTGTGTAGCTTTTGTTTTTTTCAAAATATCTGCATGAAACAATGAATGGATCAATTAAAATTTGCTGTTGCTGCTGCTCTCTCCAACCATAATGCCCAACAGAATAAAAATGCTAAAAAAACCTTATGAACTTCTACTCCTGACTGTTCTGCAAGTTATTGTCAATTAGCATTTTTTTAACACTTCAGGTTTGATACCTGAGATACTGAGCAGTGGATCATGATCAAGCAGTTTAAAAATCCTACACTCTCTCTCCCAAACCTTTTCTATACCTGCATCTGATGGCCCTCCAGGTTTCTTCTGTACCTAAAGGAAAGAAACTACATCCTGTGCCTTATTTGGGCTTCACTTTCCCAAGCCATTGGAACAGCCTATGGAAGACATGAATTAGGGACCCTCTGAAAACTATTCTAGCCTCCACCAGCACTGAACTGGAGACTAGAAATGTGCTTTCTTCTGGTTCTGGCACCCTATGACCCTCACTCAAGCCCCACATCTGGGAATATACAAGGAATTACTGCACTGTAAATCAGTAGCAATATGGTTATTGTCTGGCAATTTTCCTTCCTTAACAATCACACCTGAGGACAAAAGGAATGCTTATTCCTTCTTTCTGCTGGAATTTCTGAATACCTGGATTTCTATCAGAGCAGAAACAGCACTGGATTTATTTTTGGTCAAGCTTCTCACAATAAGGAACAAGATCTATGAAGATCTCTTAAACCCACCTTTGTTCATCAGCTTCCTTTCTTTGAGCCTTCTTCCTTAATGCCAAACTCTTCTCCACTAGATCTCTTAAAGCATTTTCCAGACATACTTTGTCTTCTGGCTTCACTAGGTTTTTCAGCTTGGAGTGCAGGTTTTCTAGGTCAGCCTTTGCAGAGTTGAACTCTTCCTCTTTCCAGTGTGGAGTCTGACAGATCTCCACCGAGCTACAGAGCTCTGCAGCAGCCTGGGCTGGAGCTTCACAGTCCTCGAGCAACCTGGCAGCCCTCTGAAGGGCCTTGGTATAGAGCTCACCAGCCCTACATGCCTCCTCCAGGGCATTCTGAAAGCATTAAAAAGAGAAAGGAGCAATAAAATAAAGCTGCTGTGCTCCTCTGGATCACCACATGGCCTTAGAATTTCACACTTGGCTGTCTTTGAGACCAATGCTCCCAGAACTGGCCAGAGAAGATGTGGGAAGACATTTGGCAAACACATTTGGTGCTTATGTAGTCACAGAGCAGTGCTGTAACCCATGTATTTATTGCCCTCATATTGCCCTTATGTTCACCATTCCTGATAACATTGGTTTGACCTGTTCTTTAATCCTCCTCATCATTCCCAGCTGGTAGTAACAGTAGAAATAAGGTGCTTGAATTTTTTCATCATTGTCACTATTGAAAATGTTGCCTATAATCACAAAATGACTGCACCCAGTCTCTCTTCAGCTGAGTATTTCAACAGAGCATTTTCCTTCCTCCTCTTTACCATTCTTTTCTTGTGCTAATCCCCACTGATTAATTATAAACAAACTTAACACAATTTTATTTTTATCTTTATCTTTAGTTTCTGTCATGATTCCCACCCTATCCACCAATGCAGAGATGATCACATGCCAATTCAGCTGTTAGAATAATTGTGAATGTGAGTCATGAAAATAAAAATGCCACAGTCACAGACACCTAATCTTATTGTTGGGGAAAGGCATATGTCAATACTTCATTTTCATTAAATATACTTACAACACGGGCAGCAATGTCTGCCTTCAGTTGTGCTTCATGGCCTTGCAGTGTCTCTACTTCTGCAGCAGCAGCAGGAGATTTTTCTTCTTCTTTTTCCCTCTCTTTCTCCATGATACATTTAAGAGCAGAAAACTTTCCTTCCATCATATTCTGAATTGCTTCCCATCGCAGCTTTTCATCCTGCATTGTATTGAGGTCTATCACAAGTGGCTGCTGGAGCTCTAATTGAATATGCTTTATGATGTGGCATATATTTTGTACTTCATTTTGGCTACCTTCCTTGTTTACACTTTGTAGCCCAGAGACCAAGTTCTGAAGAAACTCTTTTAATTCCTCAACATTTTTCTCCAGGCTCTTTATTTCTTTCCTCTTAGATTCTTTGAATGATGTATCAAAGATCTCATTTTTGTTAATTTGATTTGCTGCCTCCTGGGTTAAGTACAAGATTTGTTGAACTGCCTGCAATAGAATCTGTGCAGATATGACATTCTCAGCAGGAGAAGAGCTGGAGCTATCATTTAGGATATTAGCTTCTTTTCTTACACTGGATGTCACAGTTTGGATTTCATTTAGCAATCCTTGAATCTTATCCCATTCCCTAACAATATTTTCCAAGTGTATTATTTTCCCTTTAATTTTATTTTTAATTTTACAAAATTTAGTTTGCAATTCATCCAGCTGCAGTGAGTCCCATTTCAGACCTACACATTCAAATATTTCCTGGTACTTCATTACTTGTGACAAATTTGACTGAAAAGCAAACACTTTTTCTTTCAGTGCTTTGCATTTGTCCTTCAGTCCCTGCTTGGCACCTACTAATTCATCATCTTTCAGGTTCATTTCACCATCCTGTAGATCATCAAGATCCTGCTGCAATGAAGCTATTCCTTCAGCAAACTCTCTGGAGACAGCTGCCTTTTGTTCTACTTCATGAAGTTTACTTTGAATTTGCCTTTGTGTCTTCCTTGCCCTATTCTTCAGACTTCTTAACTGGTCACTCAAGAACAGCTGTTCAGACAGGCTCAGCTGCCCAGCTGTGACCTGACTCTCTTTATGGTAGGATGAGATAAGCCCCTCTATTTCCTGTATGTCCTTCAGCATCTCCTTTAGAATGGCTTGTTGGCCTTCCAGCTCTGAGCATGTGCTGGTTTGCTGTGGGTCAGGCCTGGCCATCAGCTCGGCTTTGCAAAGCTGAGAGTGAACTTTGTCTATTTCTGCAGTGAGTCTTTGCCTCTCCTCCAGCTGGAGCTCCAAGTGCTGCAACCTTTGAGCAGATTTTAAAACAAGAGCCTTGTATGAATTCTTCAGTGTTTGTAAAAGGAAGGTCATATCAGAGACCTCCTCTGGCTCCAAGCTGGGAAGGACGTGCTGGAGCCCATAATCCAGGGATACAATCACAGGTTCTCTGTTTAGGATATCTGTGTTCATAAGCTGACAATTTCTGATCTGTGATTTGACATCACTGGGGAAAAGTGCTGCTTTCTGATCAAGGTGAGACAGTGAATCTTTGACCCAGGAAATATTTTCTTTAAGCCTCTTCATCATTTCATGTTTCATGAGAGCAGGACCAGTGGTCTGAGTATCCTCTTGAGGAGTTTGTTGTGCTGATAATGCTTCCAGTTTGCTCTGCAAATCCTGTATGGAGTTCTCCAAAGCAACCTTCTCTTGATCACTCCAAATTCTTTTCATCTGCAGCTCAATCCTTCTTTTTAATAGAGAAAGACCATGTTTAATGTCCTGTAGCTCTGTGGTCCAAATTAGAGGGTCTTTGGCTTTTCCTGCAGCTGAGGAATGTAACTCTGCTTGTAAATATTGTTCTTGTATCAGCCTCTGAATATCCCGTGCTTTATTCATAAGCAGGTGAAATTCATCGATTTCTGCCACAACCTGATCATGTTTCTTTTGCACTGCTTGTTCCATGTGCTGCCACCAGTGCTCCAGCTGCCTCATTTGGCTCTCTGTCAACACTTTATCCATGCATGTCAAATGCTGAGATAAAACTTCTTGCTGACTTTGCAACTTGTTTAAGACATCTCTTTCTTTTCGTAAGGACTCTATGCATGCCTTAATTTTCTCCAAAAGAACTGTGTTGTTCATAGGCCCCCTGCCAAAAAACATGTATAGTGTTTAAAAATAATCAATTCTCCTTATACCCAGATTTTTAAAAACAAATTTCACTGTTTAGAGCACAATTCACTAACTTTATTCACTTAGTCATACGCATCTCTCAGTGTTCTTTTGGGAATTCCCTAACCACCCTTACAGAATTATTTCTTGCTCATCTGTAAAGCAGTCATTATTCATTGATATCTGTGCAAAAATGATACATTCTACTGTATATTCTCTAAAATTGCAGTGTCTACTAACATAGAATGTAGCCCTCACTTTACAGTAATTTCTGGTTGACAGTGAAGATAAAACTTGGTTATAAAAAAATTGAGACATTTCCATTCACACAAGGTAAACACTTCCAAATGAATCTACTCCTCTTTTATTTCCAGGAATATTTTAAAATGCCCATCTAAAATGCATTTAGCAGACAGATTTTTATTACATTTTGTAAATTTCTTTGCTGTAAATTAACAATTTCATAAATTTTAAATGTTTTCAAATGATATTGGTACATTACCATGACAAAACTAGTTCTGTGTTTTGAAGTCTAATTCACAAAACACAGTAATTTTTTTTGTGCATTGGTTACCTCTGATTTGGTAACATAGACCTACTTTTTGCCACTAAATTTTTCCTATCAAGTAAGTTTAGTTTTCAGAATAAAGAGATATTTCATTCAGAAGAAAACCTGGAATTAACAAGGTGTTAAAGAAAAATGACTATTTCTTATCTGCCACATTTTAAAAGAAATATTTTAAGATGGATTTTTTATAGGTTTTTGCCCAGCAACTACTTCTTTGTTTTGCCTAAGGAATAAAGAGAGTAGATGTTGTTTAAGGATTGCAGAGAGCCACCAGAAATTCTTCTGCTTAACTCTGTTCACAAACTTACAAAGTTCTAAGACTTCTCTTGAAGTGGATGTAACTCCATATTCTTGACTGAGCATTACTGAAGCATGTCACGAAATTCAGTGTAAAACCATATTTGTTCTGCAACCTCTTAACCAAACCCCCTCCACTATACTTACATTTTTATGTTATCTTTTTCTGTTGACAAATTTTTCATGGAGGACTGTGCAGCAGCAAGATTTTTCTGGTATTCATTAATTAAACAGCACTGTTGCTGCTTCACTGCTTTAACAGCTTCCAGTTCCTGGAGCAGCCTGTCCCAGCAGGGCACCACAGCCTCCGTGGCTTGCAGCTCTGCTCTGTTTGATCCTGTTCCACTGGGAATTGGTTCTTCACTATGGCACAGAGACTTTGCTTTCCACGTTTCCAGCTCAGTTTTTAAGTTCTACAATCAAGCCCACCACAGAGAGAGAGGGGATTAAAGGATGACCTTAAAGACTCTCAGCTTTCACCATGAAATACAGCTAAATGCTGATTCACCTACAAGCATATTCCTGCTCATCCACAAAAGCAAAGGAGCACATCATGGAAGCAATCTTAGGTGTATCTATCACTGCCCTCTGGAAGAGCAGTACAAACTATGGGATTTACTTGGATATGCATCAAGGCATGGTGTTTGCAGACAAACTGACTATTTGTGCAGTTAAAACTCAGATAAGGCTATGGGCAACAATTTTGGTTTGCCCAAAAGTGAATCACCATTCTGCAATGTATCACTACATTAAAAATCAGGAATGGCTTTGCAGTTTCCATACCTCCAGCTCTTTTAGTTGCTCATTTATAAGCACCATATCCAGTTCAGCCACTTCATTTTTCAGCTCATTGACCTTTTGTTCCTCTTCAAAATATTCATTGTTTACTTGCACTCTGGGAAACAGTTCCTTCTGGACAACCACTTCTGCACCTGTGTCCTACAACACAAAACAAGATCCTTATTTCTGAAGGGTCTAAACCAGTAAGTTTTCTGACTGCAGCACTTTGCTTCACGTGTTTAAGCCATGCTGGGGTTGTTAAATCCTGCTGTGGCTTCCCCCACAGCCTCTGTGGATCAACCAGGACCCAGAAACTGGAAGCTACATCCCTGTCTCCCACCCCTACAGTCAGGGCAGCTCATGGATGAAGCAGCTTGGCTGTGACACAAAGCCCCAGCTGCCACTGTCACAGGTGCTATCCAAAATCTGGGATAAGATGAGAGCAGTAGGGAGTCACATCTCAATCAGGGTTGGGAGGGATTAGAAGGCTCCAGAGCCAGTTCCTGCCACTGCCTCTGATTCCCATGACAGATGGACAAGTCACTTGGGCTGGGACCAAGGTTTAACATCACCTTCAGCTATTGCAGACAGCAATAAATGAAGAAATATATAAAGAAAGCGTAAATATAAAGTCAAAGGCTAGAGTTGGATCACGTGATTATCCCTTAAAAATCTTTCTGCATTTCCCTTCTCCCTCTACCTGTCCATAACTGGTGATCTGCGTAAAATTTCTATGAGTGACTGCATACAAATACACAGATATAACTGCAGTGTGAGATTCTCCATGGTACTAACATCTAAAATCAACAACAGTAAAAAAATTCTTGTCTGATAAACTTCACGTATTGCTACTTTAGACACTGTTTTACTAGAAGCAGCCAGCTATCCCTGCAGCCATGTATCACTTGTAAGCTGTCGCTGTCATCTGTCCCTCTGTGGGTCATGAGCTATGCAAAATACACCTGCCTTCAAGTGTGGGAAACATATTTTCAGAGAAGAACAGTTCTCTTCAGTTGAACTCTAGGTTATTTTCAGTCAAAACTGAAGAGGCCACTCATGAAGCAGTCAGTTGGTAAAATTTTCAATTTCTCTGTGTACATATCCAAAACAGTTGTATCAATTCAGACATGAGATTTAATCTCAAGAGACTCTGGAGTGCCATAGAACTGAAGTAAGCATTAAAACTCAGCTAAGCTATCACACAGAAAGGAGGAAATCCACTTCACCAGATTGAAATATAAGCACATCAAAAGACACAGAAGTGTCCTGGCTTTTAGAAAAACCTTGCTGTGTACTTGTTCTGCTTGTTTGTGTGATGTTCTCATTGCACTTCAAATTCTGTGTCCAGTTTCAGGCCCCTCGCTACATGAAAAACCTCGAGGTGCTGGAATGTGTCCAGAGAAGGGCAATGGAGCTGGGGAAGGGTCTGGAGCACCAGTCTGGAGTTGTTTAGCCTGGAGAAAAGGAGGCTCAGAGGAGACCTTATCACTCTTTACAACTCCCTGACACAAGGGTGTAGCGAGGTGGGGTTGGTCTCTTTTGCCATGTAACAAGTAACAGAACAGGAGGAAACCACCTCAAGCTCTGCCAGTGGAGAATTAGATTGGATTTTAGGAAAGATTCCTTCAACAAAGGGGTGGTCAGGTACTGGAACAGGCTGCCCAGGGCAGTGGTGGGTCACCATCCCTGGAGGGATTTAAAAAAGTATACCTGTGGCACTTGGTGACATGTTTAGTGATGAGCTTGGTAGTGCTGGGTAAATGGACATGATGGCCCTAAAAGTCTTTTTCTACCTAAACAAGTCTATGATGTTTGCATTGCTCCTTAAATGCTTTTCAATAGTACCCAGAATGACCTCTCTAATTCTTCCAGGAACTGATGTTAGCCTAACAAGTCTGTAGTTTACCAAATCTTCCCTCACACCCTTTTTGTAAATCAAAATAACACAACTAGCTTCCATTCAGCAGGGGCTTCTTCAAAGTCCCAAGACCCTTGGGAGATTTTGATGGTTTTCCAGGGAGAGCAGATGTGCAAGTGCCAGGAAAGACCTGCCCATGGACAGGCCCTGTGTGGCCCTGCCCATAGATTCACCATGAAGATGAGATATAGCTCTACCTTCAATTTAAGAATGTGGTGTCTGAGATCAGCTCTCACAGGGCACTTGTGATATAACTCCTCTACTCTTAAAGAAGAGTAGAATTAGTAAAGTCACTGAGTAATGTAACTTTTCATTTATTCAGCTTGAATCCTTTCTCCTTTCTCTATTTCATTTATTTTCTTATGCTGGATCACCCCTGGATTTCAGTTTTCTTATGGCAAAACTATCATAACTGACTGTAATAACGTGGAAAGTTTGTACTGATGGACAGTTTAAACATAAACGTCTAAATATCATAAAGACTGATTAAGATGGCTCTAAAAACTAGAGTGAATTCTTTTTTCAACAGAACCACTGAAAATTATGATGTGGCAAGAACTTTGGATTAAGTTCAGAATTATCATGGACATAAATAAGAACTATCCACAATGGTCTTGATTTTGATGTGATTAATTGTCTCTGCTTTTAAAACACCTTCAGCTGAGACCCATGTGGAAACAAAAACTGAACAACTGGCACATTTCACTTGAACTAACAGACTGTGGTTACCTCATGTGCAGGAGCTGGGGGATTCGACCCCAGACCATCTTTCTCAGCTGCTGCAGATTCCAGAACTTGACCTTTCTGGCACAGCTTCTGTTGAACCTGCCCCCCATCTTCTCTATATGACTGCTTCTCCACATCACTAGGTTCCTCCTTTTGGTGTAAGAAAAACAAAAGAAACCAGTAATCAGAAAGCTCTAATCAAACCTGCTGAGTAGTAATTACAGTGCTTGAGAAAGCTATGAAGCCCATAATTATAGGTAGATGAGGAAAACCATAATTACAGCTCATAATTTACTGTGAGCAAGGTTATGGCAAAGGAAACCACTTACAAGAAGCAGTGCTGTAATTTTGTTATAAATTTTTAGAATAAATTGTGAGTGTTCTGACCTACACTGTTCATATTTCATTATTCTAAGCAGGGACTTAGAATTGTGTGCTCCTGGACACAGTTTTGAATGCATTTTTTAAAGGTTTAGCTTTTTCCTGAGGACTTGTACTGTAGACAGAGTGTATCTGGTTTGACACCCAGGCAGGAGAGTCCTGTGGGTAACCTGGAGGTTTGCTGGATGTAGGTTTCAGTATCTCACAGAGTTTGCTAAAACTCTGTCAAAATTCCCCTTGTGCCAGGGTGCACCACACAGGGCACACATCTCAAATGCAACCTCACACATGCAAAGGAAATATCTAAATAAGGCATCTATATAAATGAAAGCAAGTCAAGCACAATAACAGTATTCAGGCAAAATGGTCAGGAGATTTCACAATACATCCAGGTGATCTGGAATGCAATAATATCCCTTGGAATGATCTTCAACTAACCACTAAAGAAAAAAGCCTCCCTCTATAATACTAATACTAATCCCTCTATAATACTAATTTTATATGTACAGTAAAGAATTAAACAAGTTACCATGTACTAAGTATCACATCAGACAAAAGTAGCTCAGTGTAAACTTGAGGATTTTCTCACTCATTTTGTAGTAGTATCATCCCCCCTGCAACTAAACTGGATACATACACCCTCAATTTTGACCCCTCTGGTGTAATCTCATGTCCAGTTACCTGTGCTGGATGGGTTTTCTCCCTAGATTGATCACCTTCAATAGCAACACCATCCTGATGTCTTTCCAGTTCTGCTTTACCACCCAGAACTGCACTGTCCAGAACATCCTCTTGGGTCCTGTCAGGTTTATCCATATGTGGGCTCTCCTTATCAGTCTCTCCCTAATTTGAAAAATGAAAAATGTTTACAATCAGTAAAAGTCATAGTACAAAATTTGCTAAGAAACTTCCCACTCCACAATCTGTCTACTTTATCTTCATTTTAGCTTAATGAATGAAGGAAAAGGCTGAGGTAACCCTAACCCAGAGAGCTGGAATCCCCTGCTTAAATCAGTTTGCCATATTGGGATCTTACCCACTCTCAAGCAGTTTCAGGACAGGGTTAACAGGAATAAGTGCCCACAAAATTTTTTAAAATGGTTATAGAAGTTTCTGATTAGACACATTTGATAACTATTGATTTTGCACCTTCTCCAGAAATCCTAGTATGGACATTTTCCACTGTGATATTTTGATGGTCATCTCTCCCAGGTACTCTTATCCATGGTCAGGTCAATGAGTACCCCAAATCATTCCCTCAGCCTTGCACACATTTACATTTTTACAAGTAATTTACAGCATCAGTGTCCTGAGGTCCCATAAAAATCAGCAGTTCCAGGTTAGAGACCTTTCATTACCTGCAGTGATGAAACCTGTTGAATTCCCAGCCCTGGCAGTGTGTAAGGCCAGGCTGGGTGGGGCTCAGGACAACCTGGCCTAGTGGAAGGTGTCCCTGCCCATGCAGGGGGTTGGAACTGGATGAACGTTAACATCCTTTCCAAATCAAACCGTTTAGTGATAGATTTTATGAAGTCACAGGTAGGTGGTGCATTTTGCATCATGGACAAAGTGGGTCCAAGCCCTGGGGGTTTGCAGACACCATCACTTTCATCTCTTGCACACTTCACAAGAGCAAGGCTGAGGGGATGGTTTGATGAAAACATAATTTATCATTCCTTTCATCAGATAAGGAAAAAATGCCTCCATAAAATGAGAGATTTTAAGGAATTACATATGGATTTCTAATGAACATACACATATACACTGACTTATACTGAAACACATTTGTCAGGTACCTGAATAGCCTGCCCCAATCTCTCTTTGCTGTGATGGATGTCCTGTAATGGGCTGTCTGACAATACACTGCTTTCCTCCAAAACTGGAGCATTGTCTTTCTCAGACATATTTCCATTTACATCTTGACCCTAAGAGAAATGATAGAAAAGAAAATCTGTTTGTGTTACCATAATCATTGTATTTTAACATGAATCTCTGAATGGTAAAAATTATTCTCTCTGAAAACAAACAGGACAAATACTCTGCTGCAGCTCTAAACAAGTCTCATTGGTTTAAGAGAAGCTCTCAACTCTTAGGCAGAGGTGCATCTGCAGATTTCCCATCTCTACACCTTCTCCCTGTCCTGAGCAAGGATACCTGCTCTAGTAAGTGGCAAGAGAAAGCAACATGCATTTAAATGGAATTGTATTTAAATGGAAAATTGTTGTTTTAAGTATGTTATTGGCTTGTTAAAGACTTCCTGTAACAAGTTATGAGAGTTCCTTCCACTTCTTTGATTTATACACTTGTATTTATAGGAGGCTTAATTTCAGTGAAATTAAGGATGCAATACACATGAGACATTTGAGATGTCTCTTTAGCCAGCTTCCCATTGTTGTTACTGTCAACAAATAAACTCACATCACTCATTTCCAAAGGCTTTTTCAGCTCCACTGCTGTGGGGGCCTCCCTTCCAGAGATTTGAGTATCAGAAGTGATCTGTGTCTCTCTCTTCAGCACGGTATCTGCCTTATCTTCCTTTTGTGTTTCATTATCAAACTCATCTTTTAACTCAAGGGCTTCACTGAAAATGTTTTCCTTCTTTTGCTTGACATTTTCAAGTCTTTCTTCCAGATTTTTGTGTTCACTTTGAAGTGTTTCAATCTCATCCTTAATAAAATCCTGTTCTGGTGAAGAGGTGTTTTGTTTAACAGTTTCTGTTAAAACCAAACTTTTCTTTACAGAGTCTTCACATCGGCTAAGTGGTCCCTGTTGTTCCTTTAAACACGAAGAAAACATTTTATTTGAAAAGTGTCTTCACTCAGTATACCTAATGACAAGATCTAAGTCAGCCTCTAAATCATAAATACTTGTTTTGAACAACAAACTGTGTTGAAAGGTACATGCAGACCTATTTCCTGCAGAAAGTCAATTGCCAATAATTTTGTCAGCCATTTTTATGCACAGAGAACACCTGAAACTGAAAGCATTACGGTGATAAAATAATCCCATTGCACACTGGGATGATGATCCTTCCAAGCTCTGAACAGCTAATTCCCCCCTCGCCTCCTCTCCTATTCCTTTTTCCTTCTTAGAGGTACGGCAAGTTCTGCAGGACAGGGAATTGCAGTTATCCATATCTGAGCTATGATTCCAGCTTACAGCAACTCTGCGCTCACAGCTACAAGACTCACTTCCATTCTGCCAAACAGCAAAAGAATGCCTACTTCTACATGAAGGACACTTCTTAAAAATGAACTTGGCTTACTGACTTTTTAAAAAAATGTTTCTGGCTAAATTAAGGACACTTACTAATACGAAATTTAATCAAATCTTTCCTCATTATGCCCCAAGAGGACAAAACCAAAATCCTAAACAACCAAACTGAAGAATCCTGCATGCTTGAGCTAGGACAATTCTTCCTGAACCTCCTGTTCAGCCAAGGTCCCCCCAAGAGTGGTTTGAATCCTACAATTATCTTGATAAAGGAACATTACACACTTTTTATTCTAGAAAGGTTTCATAGCTTTTCGGTTTGACACCATGAGCAGATCTCATTTACAAATGTGATGGTCTCCAAGATGCAGAAATTGCAACATACCTGTGATTTCAACTGATTTTGCTCAGCTGATGGTTGTTCTGTTGCTGGACCATCACACTCAGACAGCTTCTCAGAGACAGTTTTCAGCTCAGTGCTCAGGCCTGTTACTGTATCCTGAACCTGCTGGTGCTCTTGAACAGGGCTTTCCCATGTCTGCATGATGTTGAGAAACCAAGAAGTTTCTAGATTAGCTCACCATTATCTCTAACAATCATCCACAGACTGTTACAGCTTTTCCAGGACCTCACCAGCACAATGAACTTGCTTGTTTCCCATAAAATATCTGGCTAACCACAGGATGAACACAAAACCATTTTGCTCTCTTCCCAGCACATTATGGACTCCCATCATGAACAAAATTTTTATGAATAGCAGGAAGCAGAAGGGTTAACATATCATAGAAATGTACTTGTAAAAAGGATGTTTTCTCTTGAAATGGATGAAACATTAGAGACAGAATGCCACACAGTACAAATGCAATTTGTACTACACTGGGTGAAACCAAGAACAAGCAAGATGCTGGAAAAGAACCTTTCACATGTTTTCCAAATTCATCCTTCCAAAAGGAAGAAAACCTACTGTGGATTGAAGAATGTAAGAGCAAATGCTCCATATTACAGCTATCCAAATCTGTTTATACAGGCACAAAATGTTCTTCATGCTTACTTTGGTCTCAGTTGTTTCAGTATTTATCCCTCAGAGAGAGAGGGGGATACATTCCCTGCCCTTTTTCAGAGGAACTTCCTCCACTCCCAGCTTTACCCATAACCTTCCCACCTGAATGACACCACATCTGAGCAGTGAGAAGTGCAACCAACAGCAAAGGACAGAGAGAGTGAAGGTCCCAACCTGGAGCTGGCTGAGCAGATTTTCATGTTGGTGTTTTAATTCTGACCATTCTGCCTCTGTGAAGCAGGGATCGACAGTGTGGCCCTGTAGATGCTCCTTCTGGCTTTTCAATTTGCTAAACTGGGAAGTCAAGGCTTCTGTTTTCTGCAGGAGGTCAGCATAGTTTGCCAGCTGAGCTTGCTTCTCCTCCAAACCAGGCTGAAGGGCAAAAATCTCCTTTTGCTGTTTCTCCAGTTCCATTAGAGCCTGTTTCAGATCTTCTTTGCTTTGGTCATATTGCTCCCTGTTACACTGAAGTTGCTCTTGAGGGCTAAGGAAAAAATGCTGTGTTTAATAGTGTTAAAAAAACAGATGTATTGATTACCTAGAAAATGTCAAAGTGTGAAAAAGTCAACCATTAGAATGAACTTGAGTGTACTGAATACTTTTTTCTTCATATCTTAAATTACTGATCAGAATGGAATTTTCAAGGGGATGAAAAACACTGGTTATTGCAGATGAACTGGATCTAAATGCAGGATGAATGACTAACCCTCTTAAACCTTAACCTATAAACTCACAGTTCCCAGCATCTGAGATGAGATGCTTATTGCTCAGTATTCTGCTTTTCACTGCAGTAGAAATTCTGTTCAAAAAACTACAATATGGTTATGAGTCTGCTTTCCTTGACTTCCCATGACAGCCTCCTGAAAGGGAATGTTCTGTGGAAGACACACATCACATTTAGTTGGGCGGGGGAGTGTTTTAGAGATACAGACAACAAAGGCAGCATTTACAATATGGGGCACATCAGTACAATCCAGTGATTACTTTCCTGACCTTTACACTGAATTTCTCTTTGTGTGCTTTATAAGCATGCAAGCTGATCTGCTGCAGGTGAACAGGTTGCATTTGTCCACAGGAAGCATGCAATGAGACAGAAGTAACATTTGTATGTTCACATTTAGTGATGAAGCTCAGATATCTTCCAGATGGAACTTAAATGCCAACATTCAAAAATATGATTCCACACAAACAAATCCAAATAGATAGTCTGGATTTAATTCTGTAAAGTACAGCAGGATAATTGAGGACAAAGGCAAAGCTTCATTGTTTTGGGTTCTGCCCCTCAACATTCATATTTTTTGGCAAATAAGTGAAGTACTCTTGCATCAAGTTCCCTGTTCCAGCTTCTCACTGCTGTTGTTCCTGTGGTACATCTGCTGTCCACAAACCTGATCCTGCAAGGTCCTGAGCATCTCTTCAGACATGCAAAGCACCTTCTCTCCTATCTATAACAGTGTGAAGAGGATGCTCTGCATTCTGCTGTGCTGGATCCAATGCTCCATCTTCCTGAGTGCCTCTTGTGCTGTTTTTACTGAGACCTCGATAATAACAGGAGGAAAGAGAAGATTCTCTGGCTATTCATGGCCACACCAGAAAGGATCTCTGGCTATTCCCCACCTGACCATTCAGGCCAAGCTGTGACTTGCCCCTCCACAACTCTGCAGAAATACAACTACTTATGTGGGTATCTCATTCTGCTCCCAAAGAACAGAAAATGAATGGAACAGATGCAGGAAGAAGAGAAAAAAGTCAATATACCAACTGCTTCTGGGCAAATTCTACCTTACCTGCTAAATTCAGTGGCCATCTGACAGATGTTTTCCCACTTTTTCTGGAGCTCAGAAATAGTCTGCTGAACCTCTGGCTTCTTATTTTCCTCATTTCTCAATATAGTTTCTCCTAGAGCCACCATGCTCTGTATTTTGGCCTCACCTTCATCTCTGAGATTTGTGATTTCCTGTATTAAACAAGAAGCAGAAGCAGTGCATACACAATTATTTTTGGTTACAAAATGGAAGGTATTACCATTACTCTTTTCATACTTTTCACACTGCTGTTCAAGACAACAGAAGTCTTCTGATATATTACATAGCTGACACATATAGATCATCTAATTTTCAAAGTCTGGGACAATTAAGCTAATTTATTCATTATTCTCTATAAAGAAGACCCATATTGTGCTGACAAATTAAAAAAAATGCTAAAATGACAAAATTATAGCCCATGAGCAGTAACAGTATCTTTCAGGTGGTACTGACTCATCAAGCATTAGCTTGAGGTGGAATGTGAAAAAGGAATATATTTAACACAATACCTTTATCTGAATAATCCTTTCATCTGATGGCAACTCACTTCCTTGTGAACTCATTTTATTGAGAGCCTCCTCAAGCTTTTTGATCCAGCAAGAAACATCCTGGGCAAGGCCTTCAAAATTCTGTCCTTCCACTGGAAGTCTCTCAGTATTCCCTGCCATTTCACTGACACGTGTTATCAGTGCATGGTACCTACTAATAAGACTACTGGCCTCAGAAAGGGTTTCATATTCTGCCAACCCAGCCTCCCTCAAGGAATTTGATAGCTGAGCCAGGGAGTCAAATGGTTTCCTGAAAAATAATAAAAAAAATATTAATCAGCATCAATTTGTTGTAACAACATGGAAGAATCTTGTTTAGAAGACAGTTCTTAGAAAGAGACCAAAAAACCCAGTACCTCTGCATTAACAATGTTTTATAGACATTTTCAAGTTCTGTATCATCTTTATTGATCTCTTTCACTTTCTCCTCCTGAGCAGAGAGCCATTCTTCCAACGCCATGCTGCTTTCTTCAAGGCTAAAAGAGGTATAAAATAGAGACTCAGGTCAAAATAAGAGGCATCACATGGCTAAAAGCTGCTGGCAGCAGTGTTTTGCTGAAAAAAATAACATAAATAGAGTGTCAATCAAGAAAAATTTTGAACATACGCCTAATTTTAACTATCTCTGCTCATGTCACTGAAATTGTCCATAATTTCCACACAGGTCTGCTATGAAATTGAAAAAAATCCCCACATGGAACATACAACAAAACATTTAATTAAAATACCATCTTTTGTAAAAAGAAGGGTTGTTTGCCATTCCCTATGGCTGTTTAATAATGAATCATTTGATAACACTTGTGATTAAAATGTCAGACAAGATTAGCTCCCTACCTACTGAGCTGCTGGAGAGAGGCACCAAGCTCCTTCTCCCGTTTCTGGCATTTGGAGATCAACCTTTGTAGTTCTGCCTCTTGATCTCTCACACGACTGTTGAGGTGGTTAATGCTTGCTTTGGGCAAGTAAGGCTTCACTTTATTCAATAAAGCTTTAACCTCTTGGATGTCTCTATCTCTGCCTTCAGATGTTAGGAAGTGCTGAAAAAGAACACAAGCACAAGATGCATTTGTCATATTTGCTGTAGTGTAATAGATATTTATGTTACAAGAGCTTTTCAGCTACTGTTATATCCACCAGTATTTTTTTCCAGCAATTTCAGTGCCTGAAAAAGAATTTATGTTAATTCAGTTTGCTGACTATGACATGGAAGTAAATGGAAAAGTTGCTGTTTGTAAAATAAGGAGAAAGTAGAATTGATGACTTGTTTTCTCTTCTCTACAGTACTGTTTCACACAGAAACAGGCAAGCAGCATCCAAATCTAGCACTGACATCACTATCTCCTGCTGCTGCTTAACTGTGATTGCTTCTTGCAGATGTTGTGGCTTTTCCATCTGTTTTCTGTTCATTCTGTCTGATTTGCAGAGAAAATCTTGCTACAACAAATTAAATGCAAATTTTTTCACATGTGAGTCCATTGGGGGTCAAATTTCATGCTATTCTCTAAATATTTGACTTTCTGCAGCCTTGCTCACTGAAGTATTTGGTCAAGGTTCACTGACTTTGATTAACTACTGTCCTGTCTCTCACTTGCCCAAGTTGTCTGAACCTGAGCACTGACTTCATTTCAATTTCAATTCAATTCAGTTTTATTTTCATTGCCCTTGTTTTCCTAACACTTTAAGCCATATGAGATGTTCTTTCACCCTCCAGTTATAAAACCACTGCAAGCTGAATTCAGTCCCAAGAACAGTCTCGTGGGTAAAAAGAGCAACACTCCAAGAACAATCAGCTTTAGTAATAACAATATTTTAATACTTTACCTTTAGCCTCTGTAGTCTTTCTTCCAGTATGGGTTTTGTTTCTGAGGGCTCAAAGCAGTCCTTCAGAGACAGCTGAGTGCTGCTGAACCAGTCATTAAAATTCTTGCACTGACCTGAAATAAAAAGGTACATTCCAATTTTTTTCATTAACTGCATTCTGTAAAAGAAATTCCTGTTTAACATGAAGATTTCAGACAATTTACAATTACATTTATCAGTGCTACTGTCAAAGGTTGCTTTTTACTACAGAACATGTGACTGAAAATTCTGCAGCTCTTATTTTTTTCAGCTAACATTGGTTGACAATCAACACACCTGTTCCCTGAGAAAAGTCACAGCAGTCTGGGTAAACAAGACCTGGAATAGCCTAGTAGAAACTTTTCTCATTTCCACACAGATTGATACTATTTAAAAAACATTTGAAGACATGACACTATCTTTGGGCCAAATTTCCTACCTGCATAATTCTGTGTCTGCTTAAAGCAAAGAATAAAACTATATAAACACTATTATTATTATATATAAACACTATTTATTCTTGTAACTAATTTTAAATTTTAAAAAAATCACTGGAAAAAAAATCAAAACATTGGATTTCTGTATTTTTAAATGAAATACTCAGACAATTGTTCCTGAACTATGTTTTACACTTCTTTATCTTATGTTTTAAATGCAAAAATAAGAAGCCAAATACTTTGATTCAGTCTTAGTGGTTTTCTGGGATCAAAATCTGTTTTCCTGCAAATCTTTATCTTGTTCAGAACCCTGAGGCAGTTTGGGATACCAAAGTAGTTTAAAACACCCAACCAATTAACTGCATGACCTTTAAGTCATTAAAGTGGTGGTCAATGCAAACCTGTAAAGGTAAATAATTGAAATGTGTTCACTTACGATTCAAAACACCCATAAAGTGATCTTGAAGCACATGTTTCTTGTTATTAAATAAATCAGTGACACATTTAAGCTGCTTGTTTAATTCATCCACATCAGGACAATCTGTCTCTTCCTGGAGTAATGCCACAAGGTGCTCTTGCTGCAGAATTTTCTGGTGTATCTCCTAAGGTTAAAAAACAAAAAACAAAGCAGAAGTTTTAAAAAGTAAGTTTTGAAGGCCAAGCAGAAGTTCACTGTACAGTACTGCTTTAGTACAAATTAGAGTTTTGCAAAAGGGTTTAGTCCTGCCTGTCTGTCAAAATGATTTCTTAAATGGTATTGGCATTAACAAGGACATCAGTAGGTAGGTATAAGCACTAAACTCTCCTTGAGCAGTGTGTGTACACCTGTATGCACACATAGCCCCACAGAACAGATATGTGAATAGTGCCATTGTGTGCTCCAGAGCATCTAACACAAACTAGAATGCCTCAGCTGCCATTCCACCCCCTAAACTCCTTATTCTGTGTGTCAACACCACATGGGCCGAAAGGTAGCTTAGAGGGAGCTAGAGAATTAATTAAAAACTCTTATGTTTCCTCCAATGGCTGGGATTTCACTGCCCCAAACACTAGAGGTCTGACACCCACAATGCACATAATCCACTCACTGCTCCACAGGAGGTTTAAATCCTGCCAGCCTAAGCCTCCAAGCTTGAGTTTCAGCAAATATTTGGCTGAAATTGGCTACTGGGAGCTCCCCTTGTAGTCAGGATCAGGTGGCACGAAGGCATCCTCTGTATATTACCCAGTCTTGGAAAACAGACAATCCAAACATGCACTACTGCTTGAACATATCCTGGTGGCAATATTGCTGTTGTGCCTAGGATTAATCATTTCCAACAGCTGCAAGGGTTAAATATATCTGATAATTCCAGTAAAAAGAGGCTTTTCTTCCATGTTTCTGGCAGCTTAAGGAAATATTCAAGCCAGGCTCTTCACTGGAATTATTCCAGCAGTCTACAATTTGCACAGGATGAACACGTAGGAACACACGATGAAGAGAGAGAAATTATGAACAAATGTATAAAATTTACACAATCTGTGGCATGCTACCTCTAGTTTGGTAAAGATCTCTAAGGTGTCTGAAGGAGATAAAGCTTTAAGAAGAGATTCAGTCATTCCAATTTGTGTCTTGGCCAGATCAAGGTCTCCCTTCAGCTCTGCTGTATTCACGGTGAGTTCACTGGTCCCTCGCTTGGCTGACAAGAGCTCTTTTATCAGCTCCATTTTTTGCACAACAGATGATCTGATGACCTTAAAATTGGAAGCAAACATACATCAATTATACCAGATTGATTTCCCAGTACATTACAAAAATCTATGATAGAAATAAAAAGAAATTAAGTGACCTGAGGTCCAGATGTTTCAATTACAGTTTGTTTTGATTTGTTTCCCTCCCACTCCAGAAATTGAAAAACATTAAAGTTCTGCTTTTCTGAGGAGGAGTGATCTCAGTTCATCTTTTTTAGCATTTTTACTGGTGCTGTTTTATTTTATTTGTCATTCTCTCCAGTGCCTACTCTGAGCTGGATAAAGGCCTTACAGGAGCCTCAGCTGCCATGAAAAAGAGGGTGGCAGGTCTCTCTGTAACACACCCCCCTGCAGTGATTCCACTGGGGGAAACTCCCCACAGTGGCCCAAAAGAACGCCAGCAGAGAGGTTGGGAGCTCTGGGTTGAGACTATTCACTAAGGAGCAGCAGGTCCTGAATCTCATCCTTGAATTACATGAGGCAGCAGCTGGGTGGGGTTACATGGTGGAACACCACCCTGGGACTCCAGGCGCCTGGGGCTCTCCAGGAGCAGAGCACGCACGAGGCTGCTGAGTCCTTCCCTAAGCTCCTTAGATCAGTGAAACTCCTCCAAGTTCACTGCCTGCTGAGGATAAACACTGAAATAGCTAAACAGGGTCAAGCTCAAGGTGCATGTGACAGACACTGTGAGAGGGTGATTACAGAACTGCTATGGGAGCATAGCAGGGAAGATAACGCAGTCTTAAACAAGAATTCATTCTTTGCTGTGTGAAGCGAACACAGAAAGATGATTTCCTGGTGATACCCCAAAGGAAAACACCACAGAAAACATCACTCTGTGCAAGAAACTCCGTATTACCAAGCTACATTAAGCCATGTCCAGGCAAAGGTAGGGTTTAAAACTGACAGTCAGCAAAGCTGAACTCCCCAAAGGGGATCCCCGAAGAGGTGACGAGGTCCATTTTGCCCTATTGTTGACCAACAGCTGAACACCAGATATTACTCATATCAGCCTCTTTGAGCAGGCCCAAGCACCTAAAAAGGCACAGAAGTGAGAAAGACCTTTGTGTTTAAAATGACAGGTTTGGTTTTAACAACCTCTGACAGCTGAGAGATACAAGAAATGAAATACCACTGCTCACTGGCAACAAAATGCCTCCAATTCTCCTTAAGTGGATGTAAGTAAAACCAGTGACTGACTGTAGCAAAAGGCAATACTAGAAGCAGGACTATAGTAAGAAGTATTGGTGTATCAGCTGTAAAAGCTTCTCTGTACCTGTAGCTCCAATGGAGGTTCATTACTATTCAGAAGTTCTTCTATCTCAGCCACTGTGTTGTCAAATTTTTGGAGCTTCTGCTCTTGGACTCGTAAGCATGCCTAAAGATGGAAAAAACACATTGGTAACTGTGCTTCCCTCCAAATTAAATCTCTGTGTTTATGTTAGAAAATTATATTAAAATATTCTGATTATTCATTTTGGCATATAGAGATGTCACTATTTCTTCATTTCCTGATTTTCATTTTAGCAATTAAGCATTTTTTGTATTCAAATCAGAAACACCCTATTTCTCAGGCAAAGCAGCTGATAATGCAAATCTAGTATATATATATATATATATATATATATACTGGTGTCAACTTGCTTTAGTGAGGAAGTGATAAAACACCACACATGCTGCAAGTACTTCCTAAGTGTAAACCCTCTGCCTATGGAAAGACCTCCACACATTTGAATGTATTTTGGAACAAGTCAGTAATGTGAAGGTAAAATGCCAGCTTCAACTTAAGAACAGGACAATGACATTATCTCACATTCCCAATCAATATTCCAAGCTCCCTGAGGACAAAGCCTTCCTTGTGTAGTCTCTGTACAAGCAACCATCAGAACCCATTCATGTGCTGCAGCTCTTGAAAGAGTTTGCATTTCCATAGAGGCTACAGGGGAAAGCAGAACTTCCTTCACATTATTTATACTGAAATTATCCTTAAATACACAGTCCAATAATTCACTGCTCTGCTCTATTGTGACAGGCTCCCTGAAATCATGTGCACCAGTGCTCTGCTGGGTGCTCACAAAGACCCTGGGTTTAAACCCTGTGTAACGTGATACACATTGCAACAGTTGGGGGTCTTTTGAATTAGCTTCTTATTATTCTAATTTAATATAATTTGAATATTTAACATTAATTATAATAATATTAATCTTTAGAATTATCATAAATGCGGAGATGTTTAAGGATCAACAGAAAAAGAGTGATAATAAAGTGATACATGAACTTGATGCCCTCTGCACTTGGAATCGTTTTACAAAAATTCAAACATATTGGGTTCAGTTTTCTCTCCTTTTTTTCTGCTTTATAATAGTTGCTTGTGGGAACATGGTTTCTGTGTCTCTTGCCCTCTTCTCCCTCCTTTTTTGAGACTTATCTCTTAGAAGGAAGCAGCAGAATAACCTTAGTGCAGCCACCTCCAGCACAGCCCTTCCTAAGGAGGAGCAGAGTCACGCTGGGGGCACGGTCACATCACACTGGACTCGAGCAGTTTCCAGGTAACAAAATGGCCCTAAAACTACAATTTCCAGCTGGTACATTTTTACTGGAGCCTCCAGGGCCCTAAACTACTCCAGGAAAATTCTGACAATACAGTGGTAGAGACAACAATGATGTGAAAAAATATCCACTGCTGGGCAGTGGATATGCCACTGTTTCCTGGTGAAGATCCATACACAAAGAGCACCTTGGTGTTTTACTGCTCTGCAAATTAAAACAAATGAGCAGTGCTAACAGTAGGAGGAAAGCTGCAAACAACCATAATAAAAAACAGGCCATTTGTAGCTTGTAAACACTGAGGAAAAACTGCCTGCAAATTTTCAAACAAGAGGATATGCGATGTATTTATGTCTAAATCACTCTAAGCAGGAAGTTATTTTCTCTTCGAGGACACTGGTTATCACCACAACAAAACAGCAGAGCTGGTCCAGTGTGGCCCTAAAGTTAGAAATTAAAATATTCATCCCCATAAATGAAGCTTTCAACGGCACAGACCCAGTGCAAGTGGTTTTACACCCAGCTGCACCCTGATACTGAGAATTGAAGTTATAATCTGTGCCAAAGGGGCATGGGCTGCCCAGGCTCTGCTCCTGCCTGCCCATGTGCAGCCCCTGGAGATGCTCAGCAGCCACTCTGTTGAGGCTGCAAAAAGTTACAGTGAGGAACACACTGGGACAGGGGGAAAATAAACCACCTCTGAAACATCTCCTTGAGCTGTGCCTTGCCCAGCTGTCCCCGAGGCTCCAGCATCTTCACTGACAGGCCATTTCTACCTGGGAAACTAATCATCAGCCTATACACACTCTTTTCCTTCTTCTCTCTGCTCCACTGTACTCCAGGCTACAGCCTTACAGGCCTTCTCTTTGCTCCCTGTTTGTACAGCACTGCACAGCATTTGACTGAAAACCATTTACTGCACATACACACTACCTGTGCATTAGCTGCCAAGACCTGGATCCCTAAATAAAGGCAAAAAATAATAAATAATTTCCCGTAGTGAAATCACCCATGCAGATACAACTGCAAATGTTACAACTTCCTCTGCTGGTGTTTCTATGCAATGTGCATGTTTATAGCCCAAAGCCTGTATCACTACAGTATAAAGGAAAGGTAAAAAATTTCTATTTAAATTACCTTCAGCTGAGTGAGGTCCTCCTCAGTCAGGTAATGGTCTTCTGCATTCTTGAGCTCTGCATTTGCCCAAGCATCGATTGTGCCAGATAAGCTCAGGAGTTTGTCCCACAAAGCCTGAGCTCTTCCCAAATTATCACAATAGTTTTCAGTCTTTTCATTGATCTACCATTAGATTGACAGACAGAAAACATACACAGATTTCAAAATATGTTGAGTTATATTCTAAAAGCAAAAGCAGCACAATAAAATAGGAATGAGATGAAACCAGTCACAAAAACAAGAGCGGCAAAGGGGAAAAAAAAAATCTCGTGTCTTCACAGTAAACTGGTCATGGAGAAGATACTTAAATCCCTGCCACACATGTCACCAAACATACCAATCACAACAGCAGCTTGCCAGTTTTAAGGCAGGTTTAGGAAGGAGCCTTGCTCATTAATGTTTATCTACTCCCAGTAAATACCATTTAATCTCAGTATTGATGCACTGCTTAGATCGACAGTGGCAAACATTTCTCACCAAAAGCACCAGCACTGTAATTTTCCAGACTGTCTCCAAAGTCTAAATCCATAGGAGTTGTTATGGAAGCTTACAGATTCATGCAGAAAGCACAAAATACTGCCTTTCTGCATTTTCTAGAATTATTTATCACCAAGGAGTACTGACAATATAAACTACCTGAGAGATCAGAAATGTTACATCCACAGATAGTCTGCAAGCTTTGCTCTGGTAAACACTTGGATTTATCTCTTAAGAATCTCTGCCATATTGCACTTAATTTATTTGAAATATTACACCCGAGTCAGAATCAATTACTACAATGCATATCAGATAAGACCACCCTGATAATTTACTTTTTACATACATCCAGCCATCTGTCCACAATAATGTTAGCCTCATTCTCGAACGGAGGCTCCTCAAAGCTTCTCATTTTATTCAGCTGGAATTGCAGGTTTTTGCAGATCTGATTTATTTTGTCTACATCTTCAGAGTGATCATTAAATTCCTCTTTTGCCTCTTCAATCTGTGAAAAAGACCACATGGATATTTGTGAGCATATTTGCTTATGATTGTTTATTCAGCAAAATATTTTTTAACTGATTTGCTGGGAATTTTTTGCTTAAGGGAAACAACAGCATTACATAAAATAATCTGTTTCATAAAATATGATGAGACTAGGAATGCATCCTGTGTTGTTATACCCCTGCTATGCTGACAGGAATATTGTCCTGTTAGAAACCCATATCATTCTGCTTTTGGCTGCAGAACAGACGAGTGGGAATATAGATAATTTATTTCTAAGAGAGCCAAAACCACAATTTGCTTTTAAAGTCCTAAGTGTCAGATCCAAGGGGACTGTAGATCCAGAATTCTGGTTACAGAGATTACAGAAATACATCTTTCTCCTACTTTCTATTTAAACACCAAGCTGCTTCTTTGTGTTTAATCGGAATGTCAATGTTTACAAACAACATGGAAGCTTCCTGGAAAAGAAACACTGACCTCTAGTGCTTGGCACTTTGATGTTAACAGCTCTCTCCTTATTTCCCACAGACATCCTGGGAAATTGCATCTTCCCGTACCGACCCTGCTGGGCACTGAGCTCGGGGGAGGGATGGCAGAGCTGCTCTCACAAACCAGAACAAAGCAGTTCCCTGCTATTATTTTGTATAATTCTATATAACAAATCATCAGCACTCAAGGACATGCCTGTGCTGCGCCACAGCAATTTCAGAGCACAGCTCAGGGTGAGGAGGGAGGGCTCTCCCCAGAGAGGGATCTCCACACAAGCAGGGGCTGGGATATGAAGGCAATGTCCCCCTTGCAGCAGGAGCTCAGGTGATGCAAGGTGCACCAAATCTCGCTGGTGGGACCATGAAGAGACCCTGCCCAAGCTAAAGGGGGCTGGCACAAGCAGACATTGCCTGAGGAAGACACCACTTCCATTGGTTCTTAAATGTAACCAGCCCAGGCACTGCCTGAGAGCAAACACCCTGGATTCTCTGGGTGATACCTCATCAGAAAGCCTAAAAACAGGATCTGAACAAACAGTTACATACACCAGGACATGTGAAACCTGTGCAGTAAAATGCTAGTGATGGACACGCTGCTGTTCAATAATCTGTTAACCATGGACAACAAAACCCAGTAGCTGTATTCATTCAGCCAAGAAGTTGGCTGTCACATTTCTGACTTAAAAGATGGAAAACTAAACTAAATGAAGGGGTGTCCAGCAGTACCTGCTCATTCAGTATGAGTAACTCATCAAGTAATGTAAAAGCTACTGCAAATGTTTAACTGCTGTCACAGACAGCTTGGAGCAAAAGGACAGGATGTAATCTCATCTTCATACTAGATCCTAATTCTTCCATGGTTTTGGTTTTGTTTATTTAATCCTTTTCTATTAACAAGACTTGGATTCACTAGGAAAAAATAGACTTAAGTCTACTTAAAACAAAAATATGGAGTCCTTAAATGTATTTTGGAAGTCAAAGTGAAAGCAAGACCTTAACATCTGCCCTGAAGGCTGAGGGTACAAGGGCAACCCTGCATCTGAATGCTCCCAGGAAAGGCTTTTCTTTCCTTTCTACTAAGTTCTTGTTACTCACCTTTGCTATTAGTCTGTTCAAATTTTCCTTCCCCATGTAAGAAGTTTGCTGGGAAAGCACAAGCTCCTGTTTCTGGATGATGCTGGTCAGACTCGTTTTGCAGCTTTGATACTGCTTCAGGAGCTCCAGAACCCTTGCACACTGCTCCTGGCTATTAAAAAGAGATGTATTATTTATGGCCTAAGCATAAACCTGCAGCCTCAACCTCCTGTCTGCTTCCTCCTATATTCACACACGTGGGGATTTTGACAAGTATGTTTGGATGAGAGAAAAGGAGTGATGAACTATACCAGTCTTAAATCCTGTAGTAATGTGCAGTATCCATTTAATTTTTGGAATAAAAAATGCCCTTCACCATCATATGTCTCTGATCCACATTTAACTGTGGTGAGCAGTTGTGTTCATAGGATCCTCTCCACCAGAAAGGTGAGCTCAGTCACCAGTAAACTGAAATACCACGTGCAGCAGGTCTCACAGCAGCTTGGATGATGGACATCAGCCCATCCTTCAGTGGGTATGAAAACAGGCTACTCCCACCTGTGCAAGCCATGAGAACTAACCAGAACTGTGCCAGCCCATGCAAAGCCTCTGGCATCCTCAAAAACCGTATCTGAAGCACAGATGTCCCGAGTGATCAACCCCAGCCTTTCCCAGTCCCCACCCTCACAGAGTTAACAAACCAAGCTCCCTTTATTTTGCTGCATAAGGGGCTGTTTTCCCAGCTGTCCCTTTCCATTTCTTTCAGTTTGTCTTTTCATTTTCAGCGTGCTGGCAGGAAATTCCCAGCAAATATAGAAGACACAGCGTTCCCAGCAGCAGCCAGGTTATTCTTCTGGATACCAATTAAGTCCAACACATGACTGCATACCTGCTAAATGATGCTTTAAAAAGATGCAAAATTCATGAGCTTTGGCTGCAAACCTCCATGTGAAATTCTTGGTTTAATGATTTATGTAGTAACAATGGTAACATCTGCCACTGTACCTTTAAGGTATGGTCTAGGGCTTTTTTTCTGTTTGATTTCACAAGCAAACTTCTTACTTGAACGATACTACTTTAAAATGCAATTTTCCTGCTTACCATTCAGCAAGCAAAAGCTTTGTATCCTCCCATAACCTCTCTGTAACTCTGCACTGCTCATTTGTTTCCTCTGCTTTCTCCTCATCGATCTGTCGGAGCTTATTAGCAATTTCTTGCATAGGTTTCATTTCAGCAGCAGCACGATCCAATTCCTTTTCCAATTCTGTTAATGATTTTATCCTTTATTAGAAAAAAATGAAATACAGCCTTATATTAAAGTTAGCCTTTAATTTGGCTCACAATGTAATTATTAAGTTCCCTAGAAATTCATTCTGAGCTCCACATACTGTATTAAATGACATCATAAAAAGTCTAATTTGATTTTCAGTTCATGTAATCTGACACAGGCCCTCAGATGAGTTATGCTGACCTCAACACTGTGAGAAAATAATCCAAATTCTGAAGGGCAGTTGGGTCTGTATGAACACAGTGAAATTTATTTGTATTAAGAATGCAGTCTGTCCATCTTGCACTGCAGAGTTTCAGATCAGGTGCATCGGTGCCCAGCAAGGGGACCCATCTCCCTGTCTGACAGTTTTCTTACTGAGAACTAACATCACAATAGCCAATCTCCTACTTTTTCTGCCTCAATGCTGCTTTAAACATATATAAAATGTGTGAATTTGAAAGAAAAAAAAATGGAGAAGGCTTCCTTTTTTAGGCTGTGATGGAACAAATAAACTCACAGCTTCTGTGAATGTTCCACAGATACTTCAAATTTCAGTGCTCTCCTGCAGAGGGGACCCAGGCTGACTCCACTGAGATTATGAAATTAAAAGAGCTTTAAAAAATAATTCACCTTTTTTGAATAGCTGGAATTGTTGGATCCTTCAAGCCTATTTTGTTAATTCTGTCACGTAGATCCTGAATGTTTTTAAGGAGTTCACCGTTTTTTCTGGAAAAAGTCTTGCATAAGTCTTTTTCTTCTGTAAGCACCTGCTCACTTGGGGGATCATAAATCACATTTAGCTCTTCAGATAAAGTCAGAACAAGGTTTTCACAGCAAGTCCTTCTACCACATTCAGCATCTTCCAAACAGATATCAACAGTCTTCAGGCGTTCATCCAAGCATTTTGCCTCTTCTGCCATATGAGAAACTTCTTGTGCAGCCTCTCTCAAAGCTTTTCCCCGTACTTCAGGTTGATCTGGGGGATCTGAGAGACATTTGATGGAAGACTGGATCTTCCTCAGGGAGGCCATAAAAGCTTCCAGATCTTTAAGAACTGTCTCACGGATCTGCATTTTATGGCTCATTTCTTCAAGCTGGTTTTGATAGTAAATCATAATTTTGCTTGCAGCTTGCAGGTCTATTGGATTAAATTCATCCCTTGCTGAACTGTCTAGGTGTTCCAATTGTTTGCACACTTCAATCTGATTTAATATGGATCTCTGCAGCTCCTGAAATTGAGAGGATGACCAAAAGTGTTAGCAAGTGAAAGAAAACATATATCCTGCATTCAAGCTGAACCTATAACTGAAAACCAAATTATAACAGCAGTAAAAAAGTATGCTAAACAGGGTGGTAACGATAGAAAATCTATTCTGGATGTCAGTGGAGAGAAGGAAAAAGAACAAATTAATCAAATAAAAATGGTATTCCACACACAGGGAATTTGATCAGCACTACAGAAAGCTCAAGACTCCTTCCAGCAATCAGACAAGAAGGAGAGAAGGATGATGATAGTCCTGGGACTGAAAGCAGCAGGCTTTCACAGCAGGACATCAGAGCACAGGCAGGCACAGAGATATTTATTACTCTGCCATCTTTTCAGTTCTTTATGCTATACTTTTGGAGCAGACTTCCATGTGTTTAAAAATCTCTTCGTGCAGCCTGCAGGCTCTCTGGTTACAGCCCTCAAAGTGCAGCGTGTCAGGGTTGTGAAAGCCCAGCTGTGCAGAGAGCTGGGCAAAAATTCTGGTCCTTGCAGCCAAAACTGGTCAGACAGAGTACACAGGCTCTCTGCCCTTGAGAGACCTAAACGCTATTTCACTGGAGAGCCAAGGGCAGACAAATGCAAACTTTCAGTTCTGTGTAGCTGTCAGTGTGCTCAGCCCAGAGGGCAAGCCAAGAACAAAACAGAGTTCACCCTGCCCAGTGGACCAGGGCCTGGGTATCAGATATTGATAGCAGGTGAACAATTGCTGCATTCACAGTGAGCTTCCAAACCCATCCTAAGCTGTGCTCAGATACTGCAGCAGATGTGACACAAGGTAGCTTGGCTAAGCTCCTAAATTGACAGTATATTACATGCATGACTCCACAAAGTGGAATAATAAAGCCAGGTGGGAACACCACAAATCTGCATTAAAAGAAGGTCCTAACCTACAATGAAATGTTCACAACAATGGCTTTTACAGCAGAACCTATTGAGGGTCCCAGGCAGGCTCTACAGGACCAATGATGTTTAAAACACGGGGACTAAAACGCTGTTACAGATTTTAGAAGGCTTAGGAAGTCTTGTCAGCAGCTCCAACCTCCTCAGTGAAAATCTCATTAAGTTCCCTACTTCCTAGATATTAGAAACCCATCCTTGCTAGGCTGTGGTCTCTGCATCTTCCCTTACCTTCAGCTCCCTATAAGCAAGGTCACTGTTCATCAGATTAAACTGCTGGATGTCCTTTTTCTTCAGCCTCTGATCTAATTCACAGAGAAGGATGGATTCATTTTCGGTTGGCAAAACAATTTCCAAAGCAGTCCTCAAAGAGTTTATTCTGCAAGAAAGGTAACAAAACATGAACTGGGGAAGCAAACAAGAAAAGACACTCAGTATTTTTAAGCACAAAAAGCCCCCAAAATAATACAACTGTTTAACAGATCCTCCTCCTGAGGTCAGATGAGTTTTTCTCTGATTAATGAGAAAAGCAATGTGAATCACTGTGAATTTAAACAAAAAATGAAAGGAAATAACAGCAATATATGGGAATATTGCACAGTAGTGTTACAAAGATCTGTCTCTGTTCTTCCTGGGGATATTCACACTATTTGCCATGTGATATGAATATGTGAATGTTATGTGAATATGTGAATGAATATTGCCAATGTGTATATGAATAAAGAAAAATTAAGTACAGCTTAATTTTTTGCAATGAAGAGAAGGTTAAAAATGTGCAGCTATTTCCTGCAACACACAGTATTCCCTTCACAACACACAGAATTAATTACAATTCCTTAGCTAATATCATAAAGTGTTATTTTATACCTGGTACTTATAATATCCTGAAGGTCTTTCCACTCGCCTTGTAGCTTGTTTCTCGCCTCAGAGAGAGCAGCCTGCTGCACTTCAGCCACAAGATTTTCTAAGGCAGATGAGATGTTTTCCAACTGTATCCAACCAGAACTGATTTCACTGTCTACTACCTAGAAGGCAAGCAATACTAATGCATTAATATGATCCTGTATTTCTCAGTGGACAGTTCATAAAACTACAGTCACGAGAATCTCTACAAAAACAGTGAAAACATCATCTGAAACTAAGAGTATCTACTGCCTTTTTTCCCCTTCAATACCAAATTTTTAGCTGCATGCAAACCTCCAGCAACTTTTTACGGTGACAATTTCCATATCACATATATGCCTTGGCTACATTTTATAAAAGGTTCAATAAATAACAGGACAGGCATTTTTACCACAAGAATGAAAATATCTCCACCTAGCTATGTTCAGAAGTAAAACAAATGTAGAATTGAACTAAGTTGTGAGGTGCTTGATAAGGCTTTGTAATCCTTTCAAGAAGGGCCTTGAAAAATTGCAGTAATACATTTTTCAACATCAACTCTGTGCCTCTTGTTGTTGCCTTAAGCATCTCACAAATCTAACCAAGTTACATGTCCTGGAACACTTCCATTCTGCACAAACACCACTTGGTGGTTCAGCTGATGACTCCTGCAGCCCTGGCTATCTCTGATGACAAAAAAAACTCCTTTCTGCAGCTTTTTTCCCATTACACCTATTTCAGCCTGCAGGCAACAAACCTAGAGCTGCCAATTTCTTCTTTCAACAACACCTGCAAAACTCCACAGCAATGCAGTTCTGCTGAATCTTAAATCCTTGATTTCCCTTCTTCTAATAAATCTGGTTGCAAGGATGCTGCTTTTCCCTTGGCAATGTATGTAACAGAGAAATGAGTACTCTACGTGGGAAAATAACAATTTAGGCACCAGGTATATTTTTAAAAGTTGAATACTTGCCTGTAGCTCAAGCAGCTTATTCTGAAAGCATGAAGTGCCTTTTATTTCATCAGTAAAGCCAGATGCTACTTTATCTCTGCTGAGCTGTAGAAGTTCCTCCAGGTTACTTCTTTGTGTGTTAAAGCTAAGGAAAGATGCAAACACTTTCAGAGAGAATATTACTTTTAATTAAATGGAATAACTCAGGGTATGGGACTCAATGACCAATAGAGTAAGTCCAAAATAATGCATAAATGGACAACATATTAAAGAGATTGTTCATACGGTAATTGTCAAGTCTAAATGCCAGCCTGCATTCTTTAAATTCAGTTTTATGAATGTAAAAATTTCTGTTCTCTAAAAAATACGACTTATTTCTTTATTTTGCAATATTTGAAGTTATTAGTAAGGCAGATGCAGACTTTTCTAGCCCAAGAAAAGAAGTAAAACATTCATAGCTAAAAATGTTCTTGCTACAAAATTCTAATGTTCGAAGCATTTAGCTACTGTAGTGCTTCCTTGTCAATTCAGAACAGTATTCAGTGAACTGTAGTAGAAAAAAGAACAGGGTTCTGCACAGGAAAAGTGCATCTAATGTTTGGTACATCCAATTAATTTGTGAGCTAATTTGTCTAGCATAGCATCTTTTCTTAACAATCATGCATTTCTTCCTTCAAAAATTACCTCTCTAACAAAGTTGGTATGGCCAGATCACCATCTTCCTCAAACTTGCTTGTACAGCTTTCTCCATTGTGATGTTTCACATCTGGTTCCAAAACTGTATCTGCAGCAGGTCTTGAGGTCTGAGTAAAAATAGAAAGGGTGACAGTGATCTCCACATCATTCTGTGAAATACACAGCAAAGCCTAACAGACATCTGTGAGCTCCTGAAGGAAAGAATTGCTTGATGTGTCCCAAAGGAGATGAGAGATGCCATTCATGAATACAAAATGTGTTTAAACGCGATCACAAGTCCCAAGAGCAAATTTTGGAATACTTGCAGCCAGCTCATTCATCCTTTTCACAGATACAGACAGATGCCTCCAACTCTTCACGAGTTCTGCTCTCTCTGTCCTCTGAAAATTGATCATATTACTGGGACACTATAGAGGATTTTCACTTGCACACAGCTTCCCATATGACCCTTCCATCTGAAAATTACTTTTCTGCAAAATACAGTTCCAGGCTGGAGGCTCACATCTTCTCAGGACACCCAGTACTGCTGCTTGCATGTTAATCTTTAATATTTACTCAGTCTACATTCACAAGTACAATGGGGTTTTGATTTCTGACCAGAGGCCCAAGGTCTTATCACAATAAAAACAGTAAGAGAAATAAACACTTTTTCCTTTTGGCAATGACCTCCCTTTGACAGAGCACTGTTTTCCAACAGTAAGTCTGGCCTTACCTCCTGTACCATAAGGCTGTCAATTTGCTGAGAGGAACCAGACTCTTCCCCATTCTCAGAGGCCATAATGGAGTTCCTACAAGAACAAAATATGAAATATAAAGGGAAAAAAGAAATCCCAGCTCAGGGTTTAAAACAATGCAGCTGTGATAAAGGGTAATCAAGCATTGTACTTGCCAGTTTATGAAACTTAATACTGAGTGTTTAAATAGAGTATCCCAAAATTTATTTTTAATTTTAAAAATGATTTCTATAAAGCTACAACTTTATATATAAAGCTACACCATGACTGAGCCACCCACCCTTTCTGAGGGGATTGTCCTTTTCCAACACGAGCCAGTAGTGCTGTGTAAGTGTCTGCCACCATTTGTTGAACCTTTTCAAGCCTTTTTTCACAGTCTGAAGTGAGTGTCTGTATCCCTGGAACAGTTTCTTCTGAGAGTCTTGACAATGCTTTAAGGTCTTCCAAAGACTTGTTAAGTTCCTTCATGCTGCCTTCATGTGAAAAAAAGGCCTAAACAAAGAAAAAACAATACAATAAGCCCATGTTAAGACATGAGGATAACAATTATTCTCATGTATTTTTTTATACTTCCATTGTCTTCTTGGTTGAGTGCTCTTAAAAAGTCTAAGCTGTCAAACCAAGAAACACACATTTATTTTCTTTTGGTTCTTTCTAAGATAGAACCAGAAAATAAATTAGGACTTCTGGCAACATGTTCCCAACTATATTCAGAAGACTACACTGACTCTTGCTTGATTTTGAAATTCATTGTGTTCTAGTTTTTAATTTTCATCCCAAGTCTTCTCCACCCTGACATCAGATAGACATGTCCTACTGACTACAGAAAAAGTAGAATATTTTTTAAATACTCCTTATCAATTACTATACTTTCTAGGGTGAATTCAAGATATACTAAAAATCTGGAGAAAAAAAAATGGAAAAAGGATACCACCTACTTAAGAAGGGGTTAATTCTGAAAGTCTGCAGGAACACTAATATCTGCAGTCAAAAAAGGTAAAGAAATCATTTTGGTGGCCTCTTTCCTCTGTATTTCTATAACACAGAGCACAAGAGCCCTGCTCCACAGATAATGAACCTAACAAGGAGGAAGGACAACAAAGTATTCACAAAGACAGGCAGAAAAGGAGGGTGTCAGATACCTCATGTTCCTTGATGAGCCCTTTGGTTTTATCCATACTTAGGAGTTTCTTCTCTTTGCCTAACTGCTTATTGATCTTTTTAAAAGTTGCATTAAATTTCTTTTTTTCCCTTTCTACCATGAGCTGGACATAGGATACAATTTCCTGACGAACTGCCTGCAAAATACAAAGCACATTGTTCCCACGAGATGATGAGACAGTGTTATACAGCAAGTGAAAACATCAGAACATACTGTGACAAGAAAAAATTGGTTTTCAAAGCTGCCAGGCCTAATGAGACCAGACAGTGGATTCTCATTCCTTCATTATCTCACCTCCCATCTCCTACGAACATCATCTTCCACCACAAGCTTCTCATGATCAGATGAAATATTTTTCAGCTGTTCAGCTGCTTTCAAAAACTTGTCAAGAACTTTATTGTCCAGAGCATTAAAAGCTTCCTAAAAAAAATAAAAAGACATCATAATGAAAAGCAAACAGAGCTGAATGTAAATTATTTAATTAACAAAATGACACCAGCAGCATGTTAAACCTGTGAATAAATCAGTGTATACATTGCACATATGCAGTGTGTGGTTCTGGTGTGGGTGGGTACAAGGGCATTCTCCATCCCTGTTTATCTGCAAAAGGTTGCAGTATCAGTGAATGCTCTACGGAGAAAAACAGGTACTGTTCTTTTAACAACTTTAGGGCAAAATTTGGTACCAAAGACAAAAGACTAAGGTCACTGAACTCTGCTTCTTCCCTAGGGAATATACAAGACCATGTCCCATGGCTGTCAGCAGCTGGGTGAAAGGTCTCCATCAGCACCAAGGGATGCTCCAGGATGGCCTGGAATGAGCTCTGGGGCCCTCCTGGCACATGGTCACCCAGCTCTCTCTCTGCCAGATCAGCCAGCACAGATTTTGGGCACTTCCATCTCCAACACCCCTTCAAGAGATCCACATTTTGAGACAGGACATTTGATTTACCAACTACCCTCTGGGAAAAAGAGAAGACTGAGTATTTATAATAACCTGCCCAAGAATTCAGGCATGTTGTTCTTGATGGGAAGTTTAATTATTGATCAGGCAAAAAAAAGAAAAAAAAAAGGCTGTAGTTCCAAAAATTATGAGCCCTGATGGAGTGATAGAGGAATTCAGGGCAGGGCACTGAATAAACTGCCATGTAGATTTGCGCTTCTTCATTCAAGTTGTCTGCCAAGTTAATAAAGTGCTAAATCAGAAAACTGAGAAAAGCATTAATAGCTGCCAAGCAAAAAAGAGTCAGTATTTTTTTTACTTCAGACTTTTAGAGACCATACAGCCCTCAGAAATGCTCAGATTCAGCCAGTTCAGAACACAAACCCACCTCATATCTTGAAATACATTCTTCAGGATTTAATTTTTGACTGACAAGTTGCACAGCCTTTGAAATGGAGGCCTCAAGTTCTTTCTGGGATTCTTCAAAATGGAGCAAAGCCTCCTTCTCTGAGGGCCTTTTCTCAGATTTGGACAAGATGTTGTTCAGGTCACCCATGACAGCCTTGGAAGAAAGAGACTTTTCAGAACACACCTATCTAATTATCAGTAATTAGATAAAGTTATTGCTTCATAACATCAGTCAAGTTTTTCAAGTTGAGATACTGATCTCAAAGATGTTCCAGATTTTGCCTTGACAAGAGTCTGGGAGACTGATTGCAAAAGTACAGAACCTTTTCTATTTTACTTGACTGACAAGAGTCTTCCTTATTTCATAATGCTAAAAGTAGAGTTACCTGTGTGCTTATAAACAAGTACCTCTACTTTGTCTCTGGCTTCTTTAATTCGTGCCTCCAGCCCAGTGGTGCAAGAATGCTGCTGAAACACCTGACTTGAAACATTCTGCATCAGGGATTGCAATATCTCTTCTGCTGCCACAACCTGGTCTTGACATGAGGATCCTCTTGCAGCCAAACTCTGGTTGAACAAAAAGCATTAGAAGCCTTTTAAGTGTTTATTTGTCTTCTTGTTTAAACAAACTGAGTGAAAAAGCCAGCCTTGATCATGGATGGTCAATACTTGGTAAAGGAAAGCCTTATATTCCAGTTATGGCCAGGGTACTGCACCGTAAAATCTCTGTGTGGAGAGAAAGAAATTTGCTGCCATCCACAGGGGATTCTGTTTGCTGAAGCAATTTCTTTCTGTCAGTGCAATACCTCCCATGTCTTTGCCACAGAGCCGATTAGATGTGCTTTTAAAATGTGCTCTCCCATCCAAACAGCTTCCCAAATAAAACCACACATTTGGATATGCATCATCTGACCACGAAGTCATCCAAAAGCGAGCACATACCGAGGCTCAGATTTTCTTGTGGCATTCAGTACTGCAAGGCAGGAAGCAGCTGGGTGTTCTGCATGCAGGAGTAGTGTACCATGTTTGAATATTTATCATGAAAAGTCGTTATTAGAGCTGTTTTGATCTATGAATATTCAACACATGTCTCCTGTTTGAAGTTGTCAATTAGCATTCTCCTAATGATAATCAGAGCTTTCTTCTGGATCTTGACCTACTGTACTGCAGGTACTCACTCTCCTGCCCCCAGACATGGAGATACAACACCAGCCACATGTTTGGAGGCTGTAATTCAGGGTGTCCTTTGTTACTACATGGTTTTTTAACAAACTAGAGTCACACTGCAAAATGAGGTTTGTTTTATAAATGCATGCCTGTGATTACAAAAAGATGAGCAGATCCTTTTTGTCTCTCACACTCCCGAATCTGTCAGCTAAACACTGCGCAAGAAGGCACAAAGCAACAGGAAACTAACAGTGATTCTGGTGCACAGTTATTGTATGTAGATTACATGAAATAAACAGTATTTCTGTTTATTTACAGCAGTTAAACAAAGGAGTTTCAATGAAACCTCCTTCTAGTGGTCACCTTCCACCATTAAGTTACACAGGCCCTATTGCAGAAGTAGTAAAGGCAACACAAGACAGTGCTTCTACTTTCCAGTGCAAAGCTTGGCATCTTTGTTCTGTGTCACCTTCAATGGCAGTTGAAGGAAATAAATCACACTTTGTATTGAAGCTGCTGAGTTATATAGACAGATTTTCACCTGCCATCTGCTGGGAGCTGAGGGTAAACCCAGGCAGAGAGACATGGGAAACAACAGTGACTAGTGGAATTTCTTGCTAGAAATAGATTTGTGCTCTTTGTGGATATTTAGAACAACTGACTATAAGATGAGATCCCCAAATTACCCCATGTGCTGCTGAAAATACTTCAACTATCCCAGTTTTTGATGGGTAAGTTTTGAATACAGTCAAGGTATCCCAAACCCCATCCCTACTCTGGAGGGTAGATGATAAAAGTCCTGTATGACCAGGGAAACTACTCAAATTGGCAACTTGCAGAGTTCTAGTCTGCTCCAAGTGCTGTGCTGGACAGCAGTAATTAATATCACTCGAGAACAAGCTGCTGATCAGTGGCACCAACAGCATTCCATTGGCACCTGCTTGTCATCTGGACACACTGAAGGTGGAAGATTCACTCACAGCTCATCTGGGAGTGATCCTGAGAAACAACAATAAGGCACAAGCACTGTCTTGACGTTTTACAAGCACTACAGCACAAAACCCACACTAAGTTCCGCTTCACCAATGACACCTCATTTTACCCCAGCCACAAATCTGCACTGCAAGATGACAATCTGAGGAACAAGTATTTTAAGCAGCATTTTCACCTGCAAATGCTCCTCCATCTTAGGTTCCACAGGCTCCTGGTGACTGATCTTGCTCAGCAGACGTCCCATCTCTGCTGCCCAGCTGTCCACCCCTCCAAGGAGCTCTTCAATTTTCTCCAGGCTCCCTGGAAGGTCCGTGGTCTTTTCAGCAGCATTTGTGCTCTCTTCTCCAAGCTATCAACAAAGAGCAGGGTAAGATGATCCCTCCCATCATCTCCCCACTGCCCTCCTCCAACACAGTCACCACTTGGGTCACTTCCCAGCTTTAGCACTCAAAAGGGATCAAAGGAGAAATAAATGCCAAACATATTGGGAAATAAACCTTGTGAGGCTCAGTTCCTCAGCCCTGAGGGCAGGTGGGACAGCACAACCTGTGCCCATATGGCCTGTCTCCTGGTCCCCTCCCCTGTAAGCAGCCACACTACTACAGAGAAAACTCCTGAGCTGCAGCATCCCTCAGTCCACACCAGGGAATTGTCCAAGAGAACAGCAGCTGGTGTTGGTCAAATCAAGATCAGGAAGCGTGATGACAGGTTAATGGTACTGGGAGTCACAGGCCACAGCTCAGGCATTTGATATCAAAAAATAAATGTAATATATATGATAGTCATGCTGTCCAAAGCAATGCCACAAAAATTACTCAGGAAGTCCTTAAGACCTTAGACAGGCTTCTTGCACCTTTGTTCTGATACCTCAATATTTTTCTCTGAAGAGTCTCTTATTAAGGGTTTTTCTAGCAAACTCTGGATTTCCCTCACCTTTTGATTTTACTGCATTCTCACTAAGCTCATCTCCTATAAAAATGTAGTAGTAATTTTTTGCCACCGTTTACTGTCACAGCAGTACCTTTAATAAATGTCAATGAAAGGCTCAGCTCAGAAAATTAAGAGTTCTAATATTCCCAGGCAGAATAAAAATGCCATTCTTGTGAAAGCATTCTAGGAAATGTAATATGTATAACATTAGGCAAGTTGTATAGGGATTTACAGCAGCCTAAAAACCTGTCAAGTGAGCTGGTGAAAAGTTGCACAACCTTAGCAATATCTATGCAGCAATAATTACTTTCTACCAGCTAAGACAGAAACTGTAAAAATATAGCACAGACTAAATTGATTTCTTCCACTCCTAGCACTGAATTAAGAGCTTTATTCTGCAATAAGATTTCCTTTTATAAGTGGTTTTGAGATTTCAATTTAAAAATTGAACATTTTCCATCCTGTTATAATGAGAATTTAACTGAGTCACAAAGACTAAAGAATGGGATGCTGCTGTGCACTCTCTGTTCCTGAAGCTTTAAAACTGGCAGCCTTGAGTTGACTGAAAGATTGATCAATCTCTGATTAGCAAGCTGGTAAGTCTAGAAAATACGGCTTTGAAGGCTGCATGGCAAAAAGTAATAGTAACTTGTAACTCACAAAGTGTGTCTTCTTGATGAACTTTGCCCATCTCCTGTTCAGCTTCTTCAGCTCTTTGGCAATATTTGATCCAACTTGCTCTTTGCTGACTTCAATGAGATAGTTTCCAGCTTCATTTAGGGAACCATGAATTGAATTCCTCTTTGCCAGGATCTCAGCAGGGATCTAGACAGAGGAATTGAAATAAATCAAAGCAGAACCCTGTCAAACGTTTATTTCCAAAATGAAAAGCAGAAAAGCAACAACAGCAGCCACTGTAAGATTTAATGGTTTTCTTCCAGGAGGCTTCAAAGTATCTCTGTTTGTCAAGCAAAGAGAAATCCAACCAGGTACCTCTTTTGGATCCTCATTTCTGTTTTCTTCCAGCCATGTCTTTAGTAAGTGGATATTTTCTGTGTAATTACTCCAAGAGGACAGGACTTTCTGTAGGGTGGTGTTTACATTGGAAATGTACTCTTTGCACGTAGAAATCTTTGACTCCACTGTCTTCAAAAGTTTGTTGATTTCTTGAGGATCTCCAGCTAGGATGTGGAATAGGGATTATTGTTATACATTTGGAAACAGAAATATTAATTAAACAGAAGCACCATTTACATGGAATTAAAACTGGTGGCAGCACATCAGTTCAAAGTGGAGATCTTCATTCAACTTATGTGCATGAGCTTACCCAAGTCAGGACCATTTATGTTTTTCAAGTCTTCACAGATAACAGTAGCAGTGTCTAGTTGTTTTTCAAGTTTCTTTTCTTCAATGAAATTCTGCCAAAAGTGAAAAGCAAGTTATATGGGTAACACAAGTAAAGTAAATAGAAATATGAATACCTGAATGCCACTGCCTGAGCCACAGCCCTGCATGAGTCAGGATTGCTTGTTTCAAAAAGTTACAGCCCCAGGGCAATACTAAGAAATGGCATCTAGAACAAGTCAGGCAGAATTTAGTCACATAAGTCAAAAAAGTGATGAAAGCAAAAGGTGGTTTTCCCTGCATGCACAGAAATATCGGTTTTCCTTGTTTCTGACACAGATCAGGACAAACGGGGGATGGAGAGGATGAAAGAAATGGGAGCAGAGGAGGAGACCTGTGTGTGCACAGGGAATGAGGGTCAACCCTCAGCCCCCTCTCTGTCTGAGCTGATGTCACTCCAGCACTCTCCCCTCCTACAAATGTCCTACTCAGCAGGCCACAAAAAAACCTTCCCTGTGGCTGTGACAAGCCTGGGCCACCACATCACCACTCAGGTAGGACTTCACATCATGGGACCAGAAAGTAACCAGCAACAAGCCCTAAACTCCCTGGGAAAGCTCTGCATTCTCTCAGCTTGAGCAAGACCATGAACCACAGCTACAGAATAACATGATAATAAGTATTTATGAAACCAACTGAACCAACAAACTCAGTACAGATTAACTCTGCACGACCATCTCACTACAGGGTGAGGTTGACACTGCTTAGGCAAACTGCTATTTCAAACAACCTATTGTTGCCTCCTTCCACAGTACTGAGCCTGGTGAAATTCCCACTAATTTAACTATGGATCTGCCAGTCTGAGAATCCTCTGAGAAATTCCACTAAGATGGAATTCAAAAGGAATCCCACTAACTCAAGATGGGAAAAACTGGAGGCATCAGCATTTTAACCTCTGCCTCTCCTCCTGATGCAGTATCCAAATTTGGAGTTGGGAACTCCATCTCCTCCTAAAAGCCTACAGTGGCATTAGCTTCATAACTTGAGTCCAGAAACTGAGCTAAGCATAAGATGTAAGAGAACAAGACAATTCATATTCACCATGAAGCATAAGGAGGTAAAGAAGCTGGGAAAAGGAAGAGGCAGCAGTGGGAATAATGGTTGGTTTTGAAGAAAACAACTATTGAACTACTCCAGAGAGGGTTCTGTGGATTGGAGCAAGGGAAGGGCTGCTACAGCTGCCTCTATAAAAGTCTAGAAAGAAAGAAATCTTCACAAGAAAGAATAAAAACACGCAAAGAGAAAATCAGTCATGGCTTGCATTACTTCTCCAAACTGAAGAAAGAACTCTAATTCATAGCAAAATGGAAGATGTTGTGGGCAGGGAAAGCTTCTAGGGAAGTCTACCTGCCCTTCTTTGAATAAATCTGAGATTTCACCAGTCCACCAAGCTTCTACCAGCTATAATATCTTCAGATGACAAAGACATAAGACTAAATCAAAGAGACCTGGGAAAGAATCACCATCAGGGTGTGATAACGTGTCTCTGAAACTTACATTCCAATTTTCCAGCAGTGATTCCACGGACTCTTTTGCCCCATATTTCACATCCCAAATATTTAGCTTTAACTTCACCTCATTGGCAATGGCTGAGCACAGTCCATAGTGGTATTCAAGAAAAGTGCTGGGGTTTGTGGAACGAATATTGCTAAATCTGCAAACAGAAAATAGTTCCAAAAGTTTATTCAAAACCATTGGATATACAAGGTATTATTGTATAAGGACTTTATCCTAAAAAAGCAAGATTATATGTATGTAAACATTTTTTTTGTTATGATGGGACTTAAATTCTAAGATAGCAACAGTTCATTTTTTTTAAGCAGCAACAATTGAGCAGTCAATGTTGTCTTGTTCCATGTATGAAAAACCTCAAATGCCCAGAGCAGGGGCATCTGCCATTTGTGTGTCAAAGCATCTCAGGTTATGGATACAGATTCACTGCTCTTTTTTTTTTTTTAATATCCTCCAACAGATACTTGGGGTCACACAAGCTATAGATCACAGTGATTTTTAATGCTGGAAATAAAACTTTAGAGAATCCCTGCCTCTAGGGAAATTTTTACATTGAAAATATTCAAGTTTCCTGTCCCTAGTGGTTGTCTCCTATCCCCACTAGCAAAGGGCATCTGAAAAGGTCCTGTTAATGAGCTCTGTACACATAATTAAACATTCATTGGACCAATGAGAGATCCCTGCCTGCTCAACTTGACAGTCAAGACTGTGCTTAGGTTAAAAATGCTCTTTTTTTTTTCAAGGCATGGATAAATTATGTGCTTTGTTCAGAATAGCACAGCAAGTAATTGCAGAGCTAAAATACAACATGAAGTAGAGGGAATTTGAGCACAACCTTCTTTTCATTTCCTCTAATTTTTCAGGCAAGACTAGTGGCATATTCTTCTCATCTTCATTCTTAAATGACTGAAGGGTGTCCAAGTGAGAATCAAAACAATCCATCAAGCCCTGGGGAGAACAAGACACAGTAAGCCACTCATTTTGATCTAGATTTCATCTGGGATCTCCAACTCACCTGCCATTAGGGAAAGAGCTATTAAGAACTAGTCAGCACAAGACAATCTCCCAGTGTCATTACTCATTAAAGTGCAATAAAAGTATTTACCTGATCACCTTCTAAAGTGCATATTTAGTGCAGTATTACCTGATTTATCCTGTCACTGTGCATCTACTTAAATATAAGGACCACAACCTTATGTTACTGCTGGTATCAGTTTTTTCTGCACTTTCACAATCACTTTAGGAGAAAAAAGCATCATTGTAACAGCTTCAGGGTATTAAATTGTCCTCTGCTATCCTTAGCAAAACAGCAAAACCTGTTGAAAAAATCTATTATGTCACCTGTTCTATAGTTCATCTGGCTCAATAAATTTGTGTCTAATACCATGTTGACAGGGTATCAAATTAGCCATTCAATGGCCAGTGTCCCACAGTTGGGGAATACTTTACAGGCATGTGTCTCAGCACCAAATTTCCTACCTGAAAATGGAACATAAAATGTATTGCACAGAAGAAAAGCCTATTTCTCAGTATCATATTAAAAAAAGCTACAAGTTCATTTCTATGTTATAAAATCTGCCACAAAGCACATTAATGGAAATGGTTAAATCCTGGGACAGCCCTCAACCACAAAAATAGATTTTTAACACCGGATTTTGTAATCTTAACACTGTATCAGTCAGACAGTTATGAGCATTGGTGGATAATTTCCTAGCTCTTAAGTAAAATTTGCATTATAAGGTACCACCTTGCTAATATGATCCCTACATACAACACACTAAAAGGGGAAAAAATTCTCTTCCCATCAAGAAAAGGGAATTTGGCAGGAATTAAGCATCAATGTGTTTCTTCTTTTGAAGCAATGTAATGATTTTATCTATATGTTTAAGGGGTAAAAAGAAATTATGTAAGAAATTACATCAGTCTATCTTATTCTTAAAAATGCTTTAAGTACTTAGGTTGGACAATAAAAGTCTTAGATTGAGTGGCTAAAGACTGACAAAGCTGTTACCAGTTAAAAAACCATCTCTCATAGCAGGACCTGGCTAGAAACTGTACAAAAGAGTGATGTTATTAAGCCACTTGCAAGAACCTCCACTGCCCATTCTTTCAAATCCTCTTTAAGGACAATGTCACAAAACCAGCAAACCTGTTTATAAAAAACCCAAATATGGCATTATGATCACCAGTCAGGCATCAACACATATACTCCTTCAGAACTTTCAAACTCAAAAGGATGTGTAAACTATTATCTGTGCAAATATTTGAAGATCAGAATAAATAACTTGCATGGTACCAAGGTATCAAAATACCCTTGCCTTGAATGGAACTACAGAGTGATTCAGCAAATATTTAACTTTAAACACACAAACTTCTTGAACTCCTGGAATGTAACCTTAAGCTCAAGTGCTTTTCTAAATAGGTATGCATTAAGCATAGATTTAAAGATAAAGATGCAATTATCCTGTGTTATTACTTAACAAACAAGCAAGTTGCAGGAACCACATAAAAAAGAACAGCATAATTTACTCATTCAGGCAGTACTCAAATTTAATCTCACCCCAGTGAAATCTGAAACCTGCCTTATAGACTCATACAGTTATTTAATTAACTCGTAATTCTTCAAAGGTATGTTCAGAAGAGCTTTTCATCTTCAGAAGACAAACATATGCACACCACTTCCCAAAATGTCAAACAGCAATTCCATAACAAGTGCTTTGCCAGGTCAAATTTCATTTGTGATCAGCATACCTTAAATATTACAATTATTTCTCTGAAGACTGACATTGCTTTGAACGGGTCCTGCAGATCAGGCAAATCTTCTGCCTGCAGACGTTCCACCTCCTGGAGCCAAGCCTCAATGCTATCCAGAGGGGAGGGCAACATCTGGTCCAGCTTCACTTTCCACTCATTAATCTTTAAAAGGAGAACAAGTGGATTAAATCTCTCACTATTATTTTCTTCCTATCTCCAAAATGTTGATATAAGCTGGTGCTTGAGACATCCCAGGAACCCACTCCCTCATGCTTGTCACTGTTCAAAAAAAAAGAGCTTTCAGGGAAGTCAGCTAAAATCAGCCCTCTTTACCTCAAACCCAGGTTTGCCCCCAGCCCGTAACCTCTGCAACACCACAGAGAATTTGGCATTCCTGTCCTTTGCTGGTGACCATCCCAAGGCCCAGCAACAGGAAAATTTATAGTGAACTAGTTGCCAAAATAGTGGGGGAAAGAGAGATGAACAGCTTTCTGTCGTGGGGCTGACAGGGGAACATCTCTTCCAAAAACAGTAATTCCCAGCATGGCCCTACACATCCCAATTTGAGCCAACACAACTGATCTCACTGCAAAGCACTGACCAACCCCACTAGATCAGTATCTGTGCTCTGAGCACATAATTATGTCTCAAAATAACCTTTTAAGCACAAACAGGCTAAAAACTTTGCTCAGAAGAGTGCTCTAAGATAATCAGATGTAGGGCATTTTCCAGGGATGTTTCAGTCTTGAGGCTCAGGAGGCAGAAGGGTAACACACAGTCACCTTCTCCCTCCTCTTGGGCACTGAATGCCACCCAGACTGTCCAGACTTCAGGCTCAAACCGCTTTCATCATTCCAAATAAAGCATCATCTCCCCACTTTTCCCAGTGTGAGTTCCTGGGACAGACTTAGGCTTCTTCATCCATCCTACACATTCATGCTGGTAATGGGGCGAGCAAGAAATGCCTCTGACCTGAGCGACCACTTTATCCCACTCTTCCCTCATCTGCTGCTGGCCTTCACTCAGCTCAGCTTCACCTCTTTTTGATGACAACACAGGCATAAAGGGGATTTTCTCTTGGTTAAATGTTTCCATAAATGACATCATTTCCTAGGGATAAAATAGAAGAGTAATTCACAGAAGACGTCAGATGGAAGCTCACAGAGCCAAGTCCTGCCTTTGAACACACTTTGGGTATGAGTTCCATTAACTTCAAAGGGTGTGATACATGCAAAGGCAAGATAGCAAGAGGCATTCTTGTCTCCAGGCAGTATTTGGGTCTGAAATTATAGGTGCCATTTCCTAAGTCTGTATTTAACATAATGTCAGTGCAGCCTGAACACAGTTCTCCCCTCCAAACAAGAGAAAGGGAAAATTCCTCCTCTGACAGATCCCCATGGGCCACTTTATTACAAACTCTGGCTACAATATAAGCCAAAGGAAATTTTGCTTCAGCACAACTTACAGTCAGCAATTCAACTACTCCTCTACAACATTAGCAGGGTAAAACCTACTGTAATTAGCACAGAAATAGCAAAAGTAACTCTGTGAAGGGCCTACGTGCATGAATCTTGTCCAAGTCTTCAACTACGTCAATTAAGACACTCCTTTGCTCTTTCCAAAAACTCTGCTTAGAAACAAAATAGCATATCTCTTTTTCATAACAGAGAGAATTTTACCCTACCTTTCCTTCAATCTTAAGAGTGCATTTAACAATTTCATCGTCAGGTTTCTAAGTTTTCTTTAGAAACTTATTTAATACTTCAGTTTAGGCAATGAAGATGAAAATTTTTCATCTATTATTATTATTATTGAACTAAAATTTTAAAATATTAAAAACATTCAGAAATAGATTATTTTTCACAGAAGCTTCTAAATATGAAATGCAACTTACTTTGTACTTCTGGTAATATGCTTCATTTTCTGTTTCTACCAGCAGCTTTGCTAACTTCTTCTCCTGTGCAGCCAACCAGCCCATGGCCTGTCTTACTTTCTCCTGGTAATTAGAGCAGAAAATTGCATTTTTCCATTTTTCAAGCATTGTTTTTAATTTACTTTGTGCCATAAAACAACACACATTGAGGATATGATAAAGTCCATTCAAAGCTATTGAAAAACAAATAATAATTCCTGGGGAACCTGATGAATTTTGACTCGGGCACTATTACATTGCAGGGACAAAGTTTTAAACTTGGCACATGGGTATAGGAAGACATCAAAAACGACCTGATTGCAGTTCTACTGAAAGGAGATTATCAGTATGGAGATATGTGAGTAACCAACTAAACTCTCATAAGAGAATATAGACAATAGCAAGTGTGGGTTTCTGGTGAGTATAATCTGTCAGAGGCAACTTCTGTCCACTTTACATGTCACCTATTAAATTTAAAGTTGGTTTTTCTGTGCATCTGCAAATCTTTCTGCCTCTCCAATGTTTACACATACAAAGACAACAAAGCTTGAATATGTCCTCTGCAATAGTTAAATGAAAACAAAACAACCTGCAGAGCAATTCCACCTGTGTGACCATCAAAAATCTGTAACATGGAGTTTTTTCTACCACACAGGAGCATCAGAAGGTTCAACCCAACCCAGTCCTGTCAGTAGCAGAATCAGAGGATCTACTACATGTTACTGACTCAGATATAAACTGGGCAAAGAAAGCACACTGATTTGAAAATGCCTCAGTGATAACCCACACAACATACCTGCATGTCTTCTTCAGACTCAGGCAAATTTTTGGAGTATTGCAAAAACTGAGCCACGTAAGTCATGATTGATTTTTCATCCGGATTCACAACGTCAACATCTACGAGAGCCAATACACCATTTACATAATTATGCAGCCTTCTAGGCCTGATCACATAATTACACACTATGCTGCAGTTATTAAAACACATTACCAGAAACATGTTTATTTTGCAACAGCTCACTTAACATGCCATTGACAGAAATTAATATGTAATGAACATTTTTTCCCTTGGGAATATTTTAATAGAACATGATTAAGTAATGAAAAAGTTTCTCCCGTGAACAGGAAAGTTTCATATCCTTTATTCTGCATATTGCTCCTGCAGTTGTTGCCAATTCAAAAATCCTACAGTCCCTAAGTAAAGCTGATGTTATAAAATAACAAACCTCAGGTTTGAGCATTACAACAAACATCAATGTTCCATTTCAAACTTAAGCACACTCTTATAGATCACATGAATCTCACCCCTAATAACCAAGATTTTTTTTAAAAGCTGATAATTTACCTTCAGGCTCCAGAAGCCGTGGGATGTTCAGCTCCACTTCTGCAATTTTGAAAGCCTCTTTCAGGTTTTCTTTATTGGTTCTCACTTTTGCCTTCTCCAGATCAACCAGACCTGGCCTCAAAGTTTGGATGATGGCTAAAAAAGCCAGTCCACTTCGCCAGCTGGACTTGAAATCAGTGATACTGACAGAGCCATGCCTATCCCAGAAATGAGTGGAAACAAAATGTTAGGACATCTGAAGAAACAGGATTTAAGTATAACTTTAGAAACAGAATATAAATTCAGTAAAATGGAGTGTGAACCAAATCCAAAAGCACCTTGCCACTGAACTTCTGCACCAGTACTACCAATTGCAACAATTACTTATTTTCACACTGTTTTTACAAGATGACTATTTCTTTTTGTCTTCTACTGCATTCTGAAGATAAAGCCTTGCAGATCCAAATCCTTTCTAAATATCATAAAAATATGTTGATTTGTGCTCAATATCTATGCATTCTACGGAGTGGAAAACAACAAGAAAAGCACTGCAGAACATGTAAGGACACCAAGAACTGGCATTTTAGAAAATCCAAATCTTAAAAGCTATGTATTAGTGCAAGAAAAAGTATTTATTTTTCTCTTAATTAGCTTGGTGTCTTTAGATCATCTTTTATTAATGTTCACAGCCTGAGCAGTGCTGTGAGGTGCCCAGCCATGCAGGCCACAGTGAATTCTGGGACAACTTTCTAAAAACAGCCTATATGTTATGAGCATGTTACAGCATGGAAAAGATGGGGGGTTTCAGGTGATCAAATTTAGTCACAAAGCAATGGGCCAAGTCTTACAAGATTTGTTTCTTTACCAAAAAATACAAGATACATTGGTAAGAAAATATTTCAACATAATGACAAGTTCAGAAATAATACTGCAAACCAGACAGCAATACTGCTGAAAAACAGGCAAAAGAAAGAGTAAGATTACATAGACAAAGAGCTGGTTTTGATGTGCCAATTAATCTTCTGATAAAACACAGCTAGAAGGCAAACCTCAGTGCCATTCCATGGGCAGAAAGTGTCTGATGTGCTGATGAAGCCCTTTATCTCCCACTAATAACATGGAATATTAGTAGGATTTTATTATAACATAAAACAACCCAAAGAGCTGTGGAGGAAGAGCTAACATTACTGTAAAGCATATTTGAAAGATCCTGAAGTGAAGCAGCAGCCCTAGAAGAAAATGTAAATATCTGTATCTGCTCTAGATTGTGTGCTATGAACACCCTCCCTGAAAGCAGCAGTGCTATCAGTCCATCAAGCAGAAGGAAACATCTTGTTAGAATTAGGGACTAGGACCACCAGGATTATTACCATCCTTCTTTGGGATCATGCAGTGCTTTGACAGAAAAGCATGAGTTGTGGGAATTGTAGAAATCCTACATTTTTCACTAAGAAATATCAAAAAAATCCTTGAAACTTTGTGAATCAGCGCCAGCCATGAGGATTAGAACAAGCAAACCATGTAAACATTTCACTAGGCTTATCACACAGGAGACCCTAGAAAAGAAAAGCCAAACAACTCAGATTACAGTGTTGTGCTTAATTAGTAAGATGAGCTTCGCTTTATTATATTTAAAGGGCTCACATCAAAACATTTTGGGCCTGATTAAAAGTACTGGTAACCACAGGCAAAAGTTAAAGGTTTTTCTGCTGAATTGTCACTGACTCGCCTCAAAAAAGCAGGGGGAAATATCACCACATTTAGAGAGGAAAGCAGTAATACAAAGTGTAGCATGCTAATTTTAAGTCTTGGATGGAACTTACAGCGAACACTGCTCTTTTGCCCACAACAAAAGAGCCTTTGTAGCAGACATCTTCCACCGTTCCTTAATTTTAGCACTTTTTTTAGCTGGTCTGCTTGCCTTTGTAGAGGAGTCAATGGCACTTGAACAATCAGGTGAAGGCTGATTGTAGGTACAGGCAAGTGTCCTGGCCAGTTCTTCAATCTATCAGAGAAAATGGGAGACTTAATGAGGCTTCACTGAGAGATTACCAAGGAATGAATGGCAGAACACCACAGAGAATTAGACAGGACTCAATCACAGCTGTAACAGCAGCTTCCCTGTCCCCTAGAATCAAACCACAATTGATCTGCACAATCTGAACTATTTCATGCTGAATTCCCATCTTTAGGATTATTTTCTGTATTCACCCAAAGACTTCTGTGTTATGCTGTGGGTACCAGCAATGACATCAAGGGACCTTCTCACTCAATTTCTACTCTATCCAGTGACAGCAGCCTATGGCAGTTTTCTGTCAAGAGTGACATGTAGTAGACATAGAGTTTGCCTGCTCACTCAGAGTGCAGGAAAACCTACTTGATAGACCTCAGAGATCTCTTCTGGTCAGAGAAGCTTGGCTTAGGTAAAAAGGTAATTGCACAGGCCATGAGCAGCACAAGCCTCTTTGGCATCAAATTACCTCTGCCACGAAAAATATGGGCTAAATACTGCTAGAAATCATTGATTCTCAGTGTTCTGCTGAGCCCCAGTCACCAGTGAGTGCACCTACATTATTTCACTGCTGGGTTCTCCCTAGACAGCAGCTTGGTTCCAGCATCTTCTGCAGCCCTACATGATGATTAAATCAAGGCTCTGTGCTTCCACACCTCCACACAACCTCATGCCATGCAAGATGCACACTCTTATGGTATAAGAAACATGACTGTGACAGCCTTCACATTATTTCAGGGGTTGGTATTGAAAAATAGCAATACAAGAATTGTACATTGTAAGCACAGTCAGCACTGAGGAGTGGGGCTGCCTCTGAGAGAGATGGATGAGCCACTTCACACTATCTGCTCTTTTTGGAGCTAAATCATTACAGACCTTAGACAAGCAAAGTTTATCCCATTTTTTAACTGATTGCTTAAAAAAAATAAATCTCAGTATCTTTCCTTCCTACCATTTGCAGCTAGATACTGTTCATCACTGCTATCCTTGTATTAGTGCATCTCCTCCTTGAGCTGTCACTTCCATGTGTCAGAAAATAATCTTTTGTTTAGTACTAATTCATCTTATTTAGCAATCACATAAGTCAACACATTTTTTGTGCTTTTCCCCTCTACTAAAACTCTTACATGGCTGAAATACTTACATGAAAATGAAATATAATGGTCCAGATTAGGCCAAGCACAATGGAAGGTTTTCCTTCAATAATGTCAGCTACATGAATATTTATGAGCTTCAGCTAAGGAAAGAAAAAAAGGGATCATTGTTAACAAAGAAAATGTTCCACCAGCTAAACTGGCTTTAGTTGTGAATTCTGAAGTTAATACTCACTGATCTGCTCTTTAAAAATGTCAAAGCATTTTCTATATTACTTCTACATTGGAAGGTATTAAATCCTTTTTCCCGTGGCTGTGAAGAAAAAAAGACCAGGTTATATCTTCAACTGTAAAAATTAATTTTATTCTATATTTTGATAAAGGAAGTCCTGAAAAGATTCATAAATTACTTTGGATCAACTTACTTCAGCATGTTTGAGAGTCAATTATATAAAAATAAGTTACTTGAAACTAACTCTATGACTCCAGGGGGATGATTCATATGGTTGCACTTAAGCATATCCAGAAATCTTTGCTGGTCTTGACAAAGGATTGAGGTAATATTTTTATTACTCTCTCTTACCAGATGTTGACCTGAAAGCACTTCCAACAGATCCAGAAGCAGATGTCCTTGCTGTATGTCTGTATACAGGTCTGAGACAACATAAGGAGGGGTATGCTGCAAGACAAATTTCAATCCTTTGTTATTTTGAATTCAACACACTACAAAACATCACAGATTACTCTGCTGTTCAATGATGTTTAGCATCCTTTATTTTTTTCATTAAACTTCAATAAAAATCCTGCATCTGAATAGCTATATCCTGCTTCTTCTAACCCATTATTATGTCTTATTTGTGTCTTATTCCCTCCCCCTTGTCCTGCCTCTATGTTTTATAAGGGTAATTTTAGGCCTCACTTTCAAGCATGCACATTTTTCAAGGAAGTCTGGGGTAAAAGAAAAAAAAATTGAGAAAGGGAAAGCTAAACAAGGCAGTTAATTCATATTTTGACATTTTAATCAATATTAAGAACACATTTGAGTATAGAGCTGCATAAGTAAACCTCTTTTCACCCACACAACACAAACTTACCATGAGCTCAGCAGCTTGTGCTCAAGGAGAGACCAAGATAAATTTTTAGGTTTTATTTACCTGAGCAAGTCAGAGCCCCAGCACATGCTGCAGGAGCTGTTTTCTGAGAGCTTAAAGAGCACCTCCACTACTATGTGGTTTGTCTTAATACTTACCAGTCACTCAGGTCATCTCATTAAACTCATGTTCTTGGATTGCAACAGAGCAACACTTACCTAATCCCAGTAAAACCAACTGTAAACTCAGAAACTCGTAAAACCCTGAGACATGTGCCTCAATCCACCACAAGTAAAACCACATGAGAAAGGAAGAGTGACATCTACACACAAACCACCTCATACAAATGTCCTTGGATGTGCCCCAATACAGGGCTGTTGCACTTAATAAGCAAATGCTTCTCAGGGTTCCTTTTCCCATCCAGTGCCTAAAAAAAACTTGCACTAATTTTATTTGTTCCTAGAAAATGTAATCTCTAACCAGCAATATCTGAATCAAAAAGGCAAAAGGCATGTCTTTACTAAAGAACCCCCATTTACCTTTGCCAATATTGAATTTATCCAACTAGTGAAGGTTTTCTTCTGTGTAAACTCTCGCTGGACTGGGAAATAAAAACAAAAAGAAAACAAAGTTAATGGAAAAAGTGATCAGGTTTTATTCCTCTTTCTCAAAAAGACATATGGCATCCACATCAAACCTAAGGTCTGTTCTTCCAGATATTACACTACTATTTAATACCAGTTTTTCTCAACTCTTGTTTTATAGCTGATATTTTCTTGCTTGCTGAGCTGGTACTGCATAGACCTCTACAACCATCAAGCATAACCTACAGGATGCAGAGAATAACTAATGAATGATGTCTCAGAAGATCAGCAAATACAAAGAGCAGTGTAAGCACATAATTCTACAAAGAAAAACGTCTTCAATAGCTCTGTCTGTTCCTAAATGTTCCTTCAAGGACTCCTCAGTACAAGATACATCTTGGAGTTTGGGAAAAGCCAAAATCCATTAAGTTGGATGCAGGCTGGAGGTGAAGCACACAACGAGAAGCCTTTGCTAACCAAAGGGCTGGAAAGAGTAATGAGGCTGCTATGGGGAAATACACCCTCTTCCAGCACCCCTTCCAGGGTGTACAAATTATTAACCCAGCCATAAAGGAGCACACAGGGTGTTAATACAGGCAAGAGGAAGAAGGAAGTGCTTGAACTTGTGCTGCAGCAAAAACCAGTGACCTGGGACTCAGAGCAGGAGCCAGGGACAGAGATGCAGCTCTGCACCCCCAGCCCTCATGGTGCCACTTTGTGAGCAACTACCAACCAGTGCTTGTGCAGGGAGACACGGAGCTTGTTAAGCCACATATGAAAAACCAGATGTATTTGAATGGTCTCTCACACCTGCCTGTGGGCAGCAGAGATGGAGGAAAGCCCGGTTCCCCCAGAAGGTGAAGCAGAGGGTGAGCAGCAGTCAGACCAGACCTGTCAGGGGCAGTGTATTACCTGACTTCCCAGCCCATGATCCTTCCCAAAAAAACCACTCCATTTCCAAGGCATACCACAAAACCCACACATCCCTTAGGGGCTGGAAGTCTGAATGCAGGTCTCAGGTGACAAACAGAGGTGCTGACCCCTCAGATGATGGACTCACATCTGCCACCAGCAGCCACCCCAAAGGCTCGGGAGAGGCAGCCTGAGCACAAACTCCTTTTCATCTCCTTTTCCACAGCAGCCTTGACTGCAAGTGTTGGGGCTGGCTTCCCAGAAAAGGCTTGCACAGAGAAACAAATCTGGGAGACAGGGTGGCAACAGACCATCTCTTCTGCCTCTGAAAGCATGTTCTTGCTCAAAAGATTAATTGAAGGCAAGCTTGACATTGTAAGGCAAGTGCAAGACTTCTCAGCAATAGATGTTTTGGTAAGCTGGGCAGGATGAAGGATACCAAAAACACCAAGTCCTTGGGGAAAAAAAACAAAGTTGACTGTTCTGCCCATGAAAGTGAAAATGCCACTCACAGGAAAACATCCCACACTTTATTACACTTTGGGAATTTGCAACCACAAACCCCAGCCATGGGGTCTTTTCATGATCTAGGACAGACCAAAGGAGTTTCTGCGGAGCTTCATCAGCTCCTGAAACACAGAAATTCACTCGAGGATAACCCAGGCTCCTGCTCCTCACCACAGGCTGCCTTCTGCCTCAGTGGGCAGGTGAGCATCAGCAAAAACATTCATGTCACCTGCATCGAGCACTGCTTTCCATCCTGTAGTGAAGGCATCTTTCAACAGCCCTCCACTGATCTGCAACACCACCATCCTGTCAGAGCATGAAGCAGGAGGTTTCCCCTGCTTGCTGGATTGTTTCAAACTTCTTTCTAAGCATCACAAAGACTGCCTTCAAATGGTAAGATAAGGGCGATCTTAATGGATAAAAACGACATGACAAAATTGGGTTTTGTTTGGAAAACAGAAAATTAAGTGCACACATGGCACACAGACCAAACAACCCTGCAATGCTCACAGGGAGGACAAAAATAGCATGGAGATACTGGCTTCATGTTAGCACAGGAGCCAACCACACCCTTCAGCTGAACACCACGTGGGAGCCATTCCAATTACCCAACAAGCAATTATTGAGTCGCTGCGCTCTATTTTATCAGGCAGGCAAGGCTGGCATTGCTAGCATTTGAAAAGGGATAGAGAGCAAATATTGACTACTCTGCCTGACGCCAGTGGCTCCTGCAGCTGCAGCTCTTGCCAGACACGCACCACTGCTGCTGATTTGAAGAACTTGCATTTGGGGCTGGTTACAGATGGTTAGGATGAGACACTTTGCCTTGTTTTGGTTGACATCCATATTACAATGCTTCATTATGCAATAGGGGCCAGATACTGCATGATTCATGTGGGCAGCTCTTAGGCAAATGTCTCACCTGGTGAAAGTACAAGGTGGTTATTCCACTGCACACACATAAGAGCACCTTAAACCCTCCACAAGCTACCTAACACAACCCACTGGGCTGCCTTCCAAGCAGCTGCTGCCTCTGCTGCAATGTGCCTTTTTTTCTTACCCAAACAAATAATAGAATCTCCTTCCAAATTAATAACAGAACTCCACGCTTGCCAGTATTCCCCCAGCTCGTAGTGTGCAGCAGTCAGGGTTTCCACGCCACACACACTCAGTACAGATGTGCTCACGCCACACACACTCAGTACAGATGTGCTCCTGGCACCGTGGCTGGTGTTATTTTAAAATTGCAATTTTCAGGCTGAGCGTGTTTTCTCTCCCAGCTCCCCCTCCAATGCTGCTGCTCAGAGGCGCTAATGATTTAATCAAGCTCTCCAATTCTTATCTCTATCACATGGTTAATTAATACAGATTTTTATTTTTATGAGGGTGAATGGATTCTTTGTGAGGCCTTTTTGTAGGACTCTCACTGACCTTGGTTTTATCCTGCCCTAGTTTTCAAAATGTCACTGACCTAGAATAAAAAAGCTACAAAAAAAACCAACAAAAAAACCACCCTGATAATTTCCTTTACTTTGGGTCAAAACTCACTAAGCTAAAAAGTGGATCTGAGAGAAAAGAATAAGAACCTGGTAATCTGAAAATACCCAAAATCTACCACATTTCTCCCTGTGTTAACAACTCTTTAGGGAAGAATAACACACTCAAGCAATGTGTCACGTAGGACAGTCAAAAATCAATACACACTGCTGGACAATGACTGTTTTATTCAGTAATGAGCTACCAACAAGTGCTACAAACCAGGCTGATCATTAGGAGCACAGGGACACGGCAGGGACCACGTGAATGCTGAACTCTCCCAGGAGGGAAAGGAGAGCAGCAGCACTGCCAGCCACTGTTTTACTCTCAGCCTTCCTTAAGCCCTGATGCAGAAAAAAACAAATTAGTTTTACTCTGCCCTTCTGCCTTTCATGCCTCCCTTCCTGAGCTGGCGGAATGGCAGCTCCAAGGAAAGCATCATCTCCTTCAGCAGGAGGTGGGGGAAGCAAATCACAGCAGAACTGATGTAGTCTGTCCATCCACACTCATCAAGCACTGTCACCAAACAGCAAAGAGGATTTCTTCTATCACAACAACTTGTGTATCATTGCCAGTGAACAATTTACAACTGTATGGCTTCTTTTAAAAAAAAAAATAAAATTAAGCAATTACTTTAATGAGCACAAGCCTGTCTGTCATATTCTCATCTCTGTTTCACCAGGAGGAATTACCTCTTGTGTATGATATTTTTATATCTTCCTTTCACCACTGAGGTCAGCTGAGGCTACGTCTACAGCAGCGTGCAGGGAGCTCATCAGGAACAGATCAAGAGAGCTGCTGTTCACAACACAGAGCACCCACCATGTGTGCAGGGACACAACAATGGTTGTGTTGGGCTAACTCCAGCCCCAATGCCCAGGAGAGCCACAGCACCTTCCTTATTTCAGTTTCATTCAAAATAACCATTTCCACACTCCCTGACAGCAAAATGAAGCAAAGGATGGGAAGCAGGGATAACCAGGAGAGCTCCTTCATGACAGCATTGCTGGTATGAACTAATACACCAAACAAGTACATTGTTTAAATGATTGGAACCACCAGAAGAACAATTAAGTACTTGCCAATCCAGGGAGAGAGTAAGCAATTAACCCCCAAGCCTTTTGTATAGTCCCTTCCCTTCCACCCAACAACAGTTTCATGTTCTGCAGACAGGAAAGCAGGGAAAAGAGTTATTTCCAGCATTTATGTTCAGCAACATGGTGTTAAGCAACTAAAAACAAACACAGAATTTTTTGTCAAGATTGAGAAGTTTACCCAAAACCCAATGAAGATGAGGAAAATATCTCTAAGGAGATTCATTCAGGCAGGAATGGATCTTTTCAAAACTAAGTATTACATAAATATTAACTAAATCACTACTAGTACATCAGTGAAGCAGGTGGGAACTTTCTGCACTAGTCCTTTCAACCTCCTTTTCCTTTAGAAAGCCAATTGTCCAGTTTACCAAAAGTGCTGCTTTACCAGAAGTTCACACCAAGCTTTGCCCTCCTGGCTTTCTTAAACCCTTTTGCTGTTCTCGTTGCCAGGATGCTGGAGCAACCCTGCTCTGAATCACCACTGTCTTTAATGCCACCACAAATTGATGTTTAGTACTCAGGCAGGTTGAGATTAAATTCTGAAAAGGTACCAAGTCACATCATTTAGATATCAACATACTTTTAAAGATAAACGGTCAAGTGGCTTTTCTAACATTTTAAAGAAAATAAACAGTGAAACAGGGATCTGACTGTAGTGACCTCACAGGTACCTCAGGAGCCATCCTTAATTCCAGTTTTTAACCAGTTATGCACCAGATAATGCCTTTAAAAACTGAAATTTACCTAGCAGGGAACACTTTTATGTAACTATACAGTCTATTTTTTTATGTTAGGCATGTGAAGCAGACAAAAATACCCATGACTGAATTTTTTCAAGGTAGTGTCATGTGTCAGTTACTTCTCCAGTGCCATCAGCCCTGTCACATGCCACGAAGCTAGTGCAGTTATGGGACCTGCAGAACAGCTCCTCACCCAGGCAACATAAACCAGGAATAATTTTCTGTGCAGCTCCTATGGGAGCTTTTTGCAAAAGTCACCCTTATAAAATTGTAATAAACACTTAATGGACTTTTAAAATCATTCTTTAAATTCAAATTTTAAGGAATTATTGAAATCATGGTTGAAGAAAAAAAAGTGTCACTTCAATAAGCATGTGGCCCCATCAGATGAGACACACAGTTAAAAACAAAACAAAACAAAAAGATGGGTAAGAATTATTTATTTACCTGACTTCTGGATGAATTAAGAGAGTCCCAAAAAGAAAAACCCCTTTATTCAGAGATGAGTACAAGGTGCAGAACAAAGCCTATCCATACATATCACAGTATTTGCAATTTCACTTGAAATCATTCATAAACAATTAGACATAACTGCATGAAAATAGTATAATTCATTTTTATCACTAAACTCTCTTCATAAGCAGTTCTCTTCAAAAACTCTCTTCAGCTGTAGCAACCACATTCCTATATTATCATCCTTTAGGTTACAGAAATAAACAGTAACACACACACACACATTTTTGGTAAGTGGAGCAAAAAATTAGGACCCTTGCAGTTAATTAAACAGTGAAAAAGTACATGTCCCAAACTCCAAGAGCCAATACACACTCTCTTGAGTCTGAATTAGCTCAGCAAGCATAGAAACGGAAAACAGAGTTCTCTACAGGCTTGGTGGGTCTGTTTGCTATCCCAGGGAAGACAGGGGAAGGATTTGTGCATGGGACAGAAAACCAAGGCTGAATCCTCTCAAGGTAAAGAGACTTATGCTCCAAAAGGAAAAAATAATCCATTCCAGAGTGTCACAAACTCTGCAGAGTTCCTGCTGCAGCCGCCCATCCGCGAGCAGCCGTGCATTCCCCTTGCTGCAATCCCACACTCCTGCTCAGCAGCAAAGCATGGCTCCATCTCCAGCAGCTCCCAAAGCACGGCCAGGAAGCCCTTCTCTTACCCAGCAGGCGACATGCCTCCTCATCTCAAGTAGCCAAAGGCAATTTTGGATGTTGAGTGCTCATCTCACAGAAGGATGAGCAGCAGGCTGGACCCCACTCTGGGGCCAGCCCATGATGCAGTGATGGGAGGGAAACACAGGAGGAGGAGACACAGCACAGGGCTCCTGCTTTATTCCTCCCATGCTCATTGCCAGCCAAGCCCTGAGCTCCTGCCTGCTGCATCCTACACCAAAAAGGGACTTGAGGTTTCAAACATGGCCCATGGTGCAATGAAGCATCTCCCTGTCGAGCACCCTCTGCTCATCAAAATGTCTGCAGATTGCCTGGCAGGAGACACCCTTCCCATAAGTATTCCCCCACTGGATATAGCCACAACAGGTCCAGCTCCAGGCTTTGCACCTGCACTGTTTAATGGCTGTGCAAGGACACAAAGCAATCCTGCAGCTGGTCTAAGTTGTGCTGCATCAGAAAACTGCAAAGAAGCAGAGACATGCTGAAGGAAGGGCCCAGATAATGTTGACCTTAATCTGATAAAATTTTATTATAACATCTGGGACAGAGGGAAGGGAGAAAAGAAAATAAAAGAAGCCTGCCAGTTCCTGACATCATGCATTTTCATAGCAATTTCCACTTTATTGGCAGGGAGGGAAGGGGTAACTATTACTCTCATCTGGGTATCAGCTTGAAAACTGGCAAAGATTAAAAAACAATACATAAATCTGAAAAGATCCATATATAAGGGTTTATAGTCTTGCAGCTTTTTACTTCAGCCTCCTGATTTTGTGACTAGCTTTACCATTTGAAAATGCCTGGAGATGGGGGCATTAGGAAACATACTGCTTTCATTTCTTCACCTACTTTCTTCATGTTTTTCAAGCTTCAGTCTCCTTAAAGTAATAAGCTGATGAGAAAGATGCAATGAGAACAAAGTTACATTATTATCTATTTTCCGGTGAAATTCTTTATGGCATCTTCTAGGCCAAACACTATTATAAGGAAAATGAATGTTTACCCTTGAACACTCTTTTACCTAAAAACCAGTAACAAGTTTTTACACTATTAACCAACTAGCCATAAATTAATAAGAATTTTGTAATAATAACTACTAAGTAGTAAACTCTCTAGTAATTACTTTAAGGAGATTGTTCTTTCCCTCTCTTTTCCTCCTTTTTCTTCCCAAAAGTGCTGTCCTCAGAGAAGACTGTAACTTAAATAACAATCAAACATACCTCAAATAACATACATACACAGGGTAGGGAAGGAAATAAAACAACAAAGTTAATGATTTTGTCATATTTTTTAAGCATAAACTTCACAAAGTTTTATGACCAAACCAACTGACACATTAAGTTGATCTTGCCCTAATTAACAAGACTAGACAAGTGCTCCATCCCCATGGGATGCCTTTCAGGAATAATGGAAGTTTGGATCACAAAGAATTAAAAAGTAGATTAAAATATATCTAGATGACATCCAGACTAGATCTCACACCTGCTTTTTCCTTTATGCATGTCTCCTGTTATGCTGTGTGTTACACAGTGCTGGACATACCCTTTGAAGCTATACCCCAGCAATTTGAACAAGCAGATCATAACAAGTTTTACATCCACCTGCAGCCAAACAAAATGTCAGCTGCTTCTCTGATAGTTATAACCAGCTACTCCTTGAATCTGAAATTTCTCCAACACTTCCCCAAGTGGTCCTGAAGATTTAAAGCAATCAGTGTTGCCAGCTGCTTTGCAAATCTCATCTCAAGATTCCTATTCATAGAAAAACCTATTTCCTTGAGTAACCCCATTCTTCTTATTTGACCTTTGCTACCACAGATCTGTGAGTAGAACTCCTAATGGTGCCTATATGTCATGTCAGGGAGCGTGTCTTTGGTGCTTCCTCACAGCTGCATTGCCATTTGCTTATTTGACCCTGAGCAGACGATGCAGCACCAAACACAGAATGTGTCAGTACCATTTGTTGTGTTCTTCAATCTTTACAAAAAATGGCTGATGTCACTTCTAAGGGATGTCTCCAGATGTTTTACAGCAGCCAGTCACAGACAGCTTGTGCACAAGATTTGCAGTGTGTTCATTTCAGCACAATCTAAGAGCTCCATTTATTATACCAAAGAAATACAGTCATTTCAATTTTACTAAACAGGGCTCCTTCAATGAGATATTCACCAAAAACTCAATTGTTATTCAACACAAGCACCAACCTGATTTTTCAGGAAAAAAAAATAAAAATTGAAAGTAAAACCGTCTTCTTAAAATGTCCTGTAACTTTAAATCTGCTTTAAAGCTAGAGAGTGTTTTCCAAATCTGTTTCACAACAGCCACCTCAGCCTTTCTACCCAAGGCTGAGTTTGACTGGCACAACAAATGTGTGTCTGACAAGCTGTGCTTGGTGCAAAAGTCAGACTAGCTCCTGTCTGCTACAAGCTTTTGCTTGTTCTCCTAAAAATGGAATACTGAAGCAAAACGGAAGAATAGCCACCATTAAAGACGCTTGGCTTAGACCACTATTAACACTCACTCGTCAAAACACATGGCTCCAATGACAGTATTACTGCAAATATGGATCACAGAAGTGACTTGACAGGATATTCTTTTGCACCATCTGTTTTCAACATATTTGCTCTCAACCAAGCACCATAGAAATTTCATTGCAAGGGAGTTAAAAGGAAACAGATCTGTGGAAACAGGAGTTAGCCCATCCGTTCTAGGATAATCAGGCTCTAAACACATCAAAACTAAGCTTTCAGTAGGGCTAGCCCTGATGCCTGGACTAGCCTCCTTGACAGCCTCCACAAATATGTTCACAGCAAAGTCACCCTTCACAGGAAATTCGACATGTCAGTAAGGAAAACCCAAAAGTTCTGAGAGACCGGGTTGGACGCACTCATCATCATTTAACTGTCCAGGCAGATGCCATTAAACTGAATTAAAAACCACCACTGAATGTTTCCTTAACAAGTTATAACACATGACAAGTAAGAACCAAAGACTTGACCTGTAAGAAATTTGTTTGGAAGGCACAAAAATTATCCCTACTTGCAGATGATATAGTAGTTAAAACCAGAAAAACTGAAGTAAACTAAAATAAAATAGTAGTCAATAGCTTCATTAAGACAGCTCAATGCAACCACCTAATTGTCCACAAATTGAACACAAGGAAACTAATGAACTGGCCTATTTTCATGCTGCTGGTCCTTTTGAAAACTGTTTACACCAACATGTATTCTGAGTAACAAAGCATAAGAACCAGTGAGCACATCAGCACCAAAAAAGGCAATTGATCTGAAAACATCATGAGAAAGTACTACAAGAGCTTATCTGTCATTTCCCTGCTGAAGCCTCTCTCCTGAAACACAAAGCACAGACATGAACTAACTACACTCACCATAACCTCATTGTAGACAGGTTTCTCAGAAGTCCCTTCAACTTGTACATAGAGCCACAGATTTTTGACAAAAATCTAAATTAAAAAGGCACAGAAAACTTCAGTGACTCACCTTGCAGCGTTAGATGGAGATCATCTATTTCAGAGGAAGCCTGCTCCTCTGTTGATGCAGATGACTGCTGTGATGCCATATTGAATTGTATGGAGATTCTTCAGTCAATTTCCAAACTGAAATTATATTAAAAAAAAAAAAAAAAAAGAAGGAAATCAGTACAGCTTTACATAAAAATTGATTGATCACTGATGATCAGTGATGATGTGTGATGTGTGAACAGTGATGATGTGGCACCAAGATACACATTTTGGGTTTTTGTTTTGGGTTTTCTTCCCTTGGTCAGCTGTTTCCTTTGTTTATACAGAATACAGTGACTGTTCGTACTGCAGGAATCCCAGCTTTTCTACCAGCAGCACTCCACAATACAAACCAGGATCCAAGTAGGTCTTGCCATGAAAACAAAAGCACCAGGATTAGGAAAATTCAAACACTGTTGCTTTCTTTGAGAAAGCCAAGGTGAGAAAAGCTCACAGTGCCTTCTGCAGACTGGTAGCTGCCAAACTACCTCTCACTTTTTAAATCCTTGTACCTTAAAGCTCTCCCCTTCTGCCTGGATAATTGTTACAGAAAAACAATTCAGGCAGAATCTGCAAAGACTAAGAAGAAATGAAAAAGCAGCAGTAATCATATGAGAATCAACACACAACTGCTGTCTCTGTCTGGTACCTTTATTACTCCTCAACCCCCATGAAGGAGTTTCTTTTTCCAATTCTTCCATTTTCCTCTCCCTGGATACATCCTCTATCTCTAATGCAACTTTAGAAAACACCATGCTCTATCTTCCTTAAAAAATTACAAGTGCTCCTGGTTCTGCAGTGACTATGTTCTTCAATTTGCCACTGTAGGAAGAACTGGATGCTTAAGATAGAGAGTTATTTTTATCAAGAACCCAGAAGTTAAACAAAATGAAAAATAAATTAAGCTGCAAATTAAATAAGAGCTGACTCTTAAACAAGTTTTGTTATCTACACAACTGTAACCTTTTCACCAGAAGCAAAAGGATTTCCACACCATATATTAACAACTCATCCACCAAGTATATGTCAAAATAAAGGGCGTGAGTAGATGAGTCAGGAAATACAACATTAAGGAATGCCAGAGAAATTCTTACATCCATTCCCTTGTGCACATGAATCATGAGGCAGCCTTTGTTTACTCCACTTTATACTATTTTTCCTCACTCTCTGTCTCCTTCACTGAGCAGAGATGAGAACATGCATTTCACAAGGAGCTCCTCAATATTTTACTTTCCTCACCCTGAACAACGTGTGTCCTTGTGCTTCATCCAAGAGCTTGTCTGATGACAGGATTATTGAGTCCCTCACAAGATTTTCTGTGGCACTCACCACCCTGGCATCTGAACACTTCACAAACATCAATCAATTCTCATTTACAGCACCTATATGAGACCAGGGGTTATTGCCCACATTTAGAATCACGCCACGCTTTGGGCTGGAAGGGACCACCAGTCCAACCTCCCTGCCAAGGGACATCTACTGATGACAAGCAAAGGCCAGACAGAGAGAAAAAAGGCAACAAAAAAAGCCTCTGGATTTCCATAGAAATATATATTAGCTCACAAGGCTCAAGCACAACTCTTGCAGTGACCATTTTTAAGTCACCAGAAACTTACAGCTGCAGCTCAAGGCATCAGATTCAAGCAAGGGGAGTTCTAGTTGGGGCAAGTAAAGGTCAGACCTATCTGGATAATCAAAAACCCCCATTTTTTTACAGGAGTTTGGCTTGCTTAGCAAGCAAAAATAGTAGGAAAAGGGCTAATTTGATCTTTGGCTGGCACAAGAACATGATGATATAAACAAGCCAAGCCTTGAGGTTAGGATGGAAATTGTAAGATGTATAAATTAGCCAAGAAAGCAAACAAAAAGCTGGGCAGCACAAACAAGGGCATCACCAGCATCACCAGAGAAGTCATTATCCCACTCTGCTCAGAACTTGTCAGGACACCTGGAATACTGGGTGCAGTTTGGGCCCAGGCTGTACAAAACGTTATGTGGACAGGCTGGAGAGAGAAAAGCACAATAATGACCAAAAGACTGGGAGGCCGGTGTGAGGAAATGGCTGAGAAAACTGGGTTTGGTAAGCCTTGAGAAAACAAGACTGAGGGGAGACCATATTCCCATGTTCCAGGATTTGAAGGGTGGGTTCCACAACATTGGTGGATTTGACAGGGCAGGACGCTGTGCCATCTTGTCTGGACCAAGCTTTTAGCACAAAATATTGGACAGGATGGTCCTTGAGGTCCATTCCAACCTGGAATTCTAGAATAAATACTGGGCTCTTAGAATAAATACTGGGCTCTTATGGGAACTGAGGATGGGCAATGGCTGAGCAAGAACCCAATGCTCACAACTACGCTGCCTATGCCCAAGGCAATCTTTCCTGGGAAGCTCCCTACATTTTTCTCTCCGGATTAAGCAATACAAACACAAAGTGTGAAAACACAGAATGTCAGGTGGCCTTAATATTTTTTGGGTATGACCAAGTCTTGAATTTGGTTTTTTGATCACCACCTTGAAGGTGATGACAAATGGCCCAAGTGGGAAGTATGTAAGCAAACTCCCAAACAGTGGAAACTTACATACCTGTTCAACTTCAAAGCATCTGCATTTGAGATGATGACATGGGCAGAGCCAATTTACATTCAACTAACTTGTATGATACTAGAGTCACTGGGACCACATTCCGGGGAAAGGGAACAGGATTTGGCATTAAAATTCCATTATAGTAACAGGAAAGTATGCAAGAGCCATGAACAACTGTGATGGACATTTCATAAACACCACAATATGTATTTTTAACCTTTGTGTGACTGTTCCTCCTCTGTCCCCAACCCTTGCCAACTACAACAACACAGCACAGTGTCTCCTTTTATGTGCTTGCATTGCACTCACTTCTTGTGATGGGACCCCAATCTCAGTTCAGATCTCTAACCAGTAAAGTACTAAAAGCTAATGAAACTTCCAGGATTTCAAAGCATAAAGTATATTAAGGTCTAAAGCAGGAATAAACTTTAATTGTTATTTAATTTATTAACTTAAATTACAGCACATTATCATAGAACACCTATAAGTAAAGAAAAGCATATGCTCTTATATTCTTTTAAAGTCAATTTATAGCCTTCCTAAAAGGATGGGAAATTTTAACCTTTTTTCTTTAAACACAGACATCCACTCAACAAATCCACAGTGCAGGCTATGAAGACACCCAGCTAACAACAGGTAAATTTATGCTAAAGCTTTTATGTCCCTCAAACCCTCAATTCACCATCCAATACAGCAGATGCATTTTGCCCTGCCTCAACAGAAGACTCCACAGCTGCTTTGAAGGGGAGACACAAACACAGTCTTGGAGGACACACCTGCAAGGATTAGTCTTCTTGAAAAGGTACAAGGTACAGATTGTCTGAGAAGGGATTATACAGGGACAATATGCCTGCTTTGTCCTCCTCCCTGCCCCAAATTTCATTCAAATACAGCATTATCAACTCAAACTATATGATTACAGCCTCTCAAGAGTCTAAAAAATCAAGCTCTGAAGAGTCTAAAACCACCAGCCAGCAATGGTTTTCACTGGCAGTAGGAAGGCTCATCTTTTCTACCTCATATTTAAGTCAGTCATTTTGTTTCGCAGCAACTCAGTGAACTGCAGAGCTAAAACAATCCCTTCCCCTCCAAGAAATGCTGGACAACTAGGAAATATATATCCAGAGTGTTGAAAAATAAATCAAATGCTTTCAAACTTTGTCAGTGGGGATAAAAACAAAGGTGAAGGGAATGTCCTTGTCTTTCCCTCTCTCTGCAGAGTCTAGAGTTAATGCAGGAAAGCATTAACTGCTTATACAAGTATCACAGAATCAAAGAGGCAGTTCCAGGCACACTGGGATCTTACTTCCACTGGATTCATTTCCTGTGGATTAATTTATGTGAATTGCACCAGTGCAAGCTCATCTTTTCTTCAACATACAAGAAAGCTGCCATTAGCAATGTCCTCCTGGAGAAGAAAGCTTTCCATGGTGTTCTCCAAAGGGGCAAAATCTTGGTCATCTGGGCTCAATCCACAGCTCAAATGGTTAAACCACCAACAAAAGCTTTCCCTGTGATGAGATCACTCCTAAGCCTCAAACCCTTCATCCCATACCTCTTCAGCTATTTCCGCAATGGGCACCTAAAAACATTGGTGGAAATTATATCAGTACAGCTGTATCACATCAATTCTACTGTAATCTCCCTTCCTCTACCAAATTTAGCTGATGTTAGCCAGCAGATTGCAACAAATCCTGGACATTAACATACACACATAGGCACACTGAAAAGAGAGAAACCTAAGAGCAAGTAGCAGACTGCAAATCTCAAGGAACTAACATGAAAAAAATCATACCCAGGCTTTACATTCCATTATCATAAGAATAGACAACACTGATTTAAATACCTTGTCTCCAGTGAGGCTTAAGTCCTAATGAGACCTAAGAGATGCTCTTCTTAAGCAGGGTCTTTATAAGGACATTCTTGTCTCAGAAGAAAGGGTGAAAAAAGTTTCAGATGGATTTAGAGGATTCATTAGAAAGGATTTCACAGCCTTAACATTAGTTCAGATCAGGGTGGTTTGCAAACCTTGGCTTTCAGCTGTTCCAAGTACCGCAGATGGCAAGATTCCATCGCATGGAAAACCCAGCAGCTACACAGCACACTCCTTTACGGTTAAACCACTGCCATCCTCAAAAAACAATGCCTGTAACTACACCTAAAACAGGAAATGGGTATTTCATCAACTAATTCAAAGCTACCTCTACAAAGAAGCTAGTATTTAGGAAGCAGGCAAATTAGCTGCTCTGATTTCCACATTGTCCCAGGTAGGAGTATTTTTTTAAAGCCAATTTTAAAGCCCCCGAATTCCCAGCTAATTTGTGCAAGTCCCTGCACAGATGTACCCTCACGGCCCTCCACAGGAGCCAATCTTGAAAAATCATATGCCATGAAATTAGCTCCATTTTGCACTCCTTAAAGCTGAAAGCAGCAGAAACCTTGCAAACAAGCCCAGCTAGAGGTAGCTGAACATTATAACCCACGGTTTGTAAATCCCTGTTTTGCCTTTGGAGATCCATGCCCCACACTTCCCCAATTATGTTGGCTACATGCTTTCCACTGGTGTTGCAATATGAATTGTAGACATCTTTTCAAGGCATCTCCAACTGCTTGTTTTTACTTTTCCTCCTTTGAAGTGCCACTGATTATTTATGACCCACTCAGGGACTCGAAGACCTGCCCTCCATAGAGGCCTCTCCATGTAAACTGAAGTCTGTTCCTAGCAACAGATTATTATTACTCATGCACTGAGCCAAGCCAACATCATGTACAGAAACGGCAGATTTTTATCTCTGGTGAACCAATCCAAAGGCAGTAGAACTCCACAGTGCTGACCAACTGAAGACCCTTTCCTTTTTGGCTATTAACTAAGATCTCTGTTTATTTTAGATTCAGAAAGAAGCAACATTAGGAGGTGTGAGTCTTGAGCCTTGCAAAGTGCTACTGAGCCACCTTTTTTTGGTAAGCTATCTTTCTAAGTTTGACAGAGCCTCCCCAAGGCAAATTGTTGGCATTCAAATCATGACCCCATGACCTAAATAATTACCACAGGAAACTCCATAAAGTTGGTTTGGTTTTCACTCTTTTATAATATTTTCCCATCACTTCTGATGTACTCACACCTCTGTTAAGCCTGAGAAGTTCACAAAGCACTTCAGTCTGACGGTCCTGCTTTCTCCTCAAGACTTTACTTACAATGGTTTCACCATGTTTTCTCTCAGTGGTGGGGAAAAAAAGTCTGATCCATTTTCTATCACCTTTGCATTTAAGCACTCTTTTATTGGTTTTTTTTAAGCTCCTACACCAAACTGAAGTTCATCCCTTCCACGTTTAAAGCACTTGCCAACATAGCTCTTCTGGGCCATCTCAGATTGTATCACATTCCCAGCTGGAATGTGATCACACAGAAAACATGCTGATCCTCCTCCCTTCAAAGCCAGATCCTCAGGAGACAAAAATCAGGACAGCATCATTGACAGATCTACCTTGACTTCCCCTCTGGAGGAACTGACAACTTCTCTATATCTGACAGAAAAAAAAATTTTCATCATCCAGTATGTAGTAGTGACATATTCTCTGTGCTTCCCTGGAGAAAGAGAAGTGCTTTCATTAGTTTTCCATCCCTCTGAAGGTGATACAGAAAAGAGGCTATAGCCTCCTGATCCTATATAACACCCAGTCTTTTAATAACTGGTATTAGTCCATGTGGCAACAGAGAGACTCTGCACTGCCTGAAATGAAGTTGAAATAAACCTGCCCTTGGGTACTCCTATGCTATCAGAAGCTGGACATGAAGAAATCGAAAAAATAAAAGCTTGGGAAAGACTGAACAACTCTGCTCAAGTAGAACCAAGCCAAGAGGGCATTAGATAGATCTGCAAGACACCAAGCCCAGAGAACATAAGATCTTCAGGAGATTCAGAGCTGGACATGAAGCTTCACCTCACTGCCACAGAAATTATCTTGTCTCGTGTGACCTGATGCTCTGGGACCAAGTGGAAAGTAAGGACTCCTCCAAAGAAGAAGAACTGCAAGACCAAGGCAGCTCTCAGTTTATTTATGACAAGCAGCAGCAGTACATTTTTGTTATCCAGAGACTTCCCAATGATCTATTTATAGTTTTTGAAAACCAGCCAGGAGAAGCATATGAGTATACAAAAGCCACACCATTTTTAAGGCCAGCAAATGTTGCTGGTTTGTCTTTGATTTACACATCAGTAACACTTCCTGTTACAGAAGCACAATGGATCTTCTCATTGTGTTAATCAATTTTAAAACACTGTTAGCTAAGTGTCTTTCTTGACCTTTTCTCTTTTGGGGGGTGGTAATATATCAGTCATCCCGGTACAATTACACAGTTTGAAAAGCACACTAACTCCATGCTGATGTTAACACACACAGAGAAATGCTTTTATTAACAGAGCTAAGCCTTGTTCACACAGTCACAAAGGTTGACCCATAGAGGTGCACGATGCAATTACTTGCCCTCAGAATAAGAGCCTCTCTCACATTTATCTGTTCCTAAGTGGGAAGGCAGTGCCAAAGCACACTGACTAAAATTGCAGAAACAATTCGGTTTTCAACTGGTTTCCAAGATTTTCCATGTTGTTAATAAACACAAGAACTGCTCAGGACTTAAAGTCACAGTTCTTAAGGTGAAAAAGAGGACTGTTGAGTGCCTGGAGGCCCAGGAGGCTGATGCCATGCATCTTGATCACCCCAGGGTCCACTGCTATGCAGGAAGCCAAAAACACCACAGTGACTTCATGCCTCCATCAATGGCAGGGGCTTGGGTGACAATTCAGTCTCCAAAACACAAAGCCCATCAGTGCACCCTGGCCCAAACTACCTGTGCAATTCCCAGAAGCCTCCAATTATGTCCAAAAAGCGATGTCATTTGAACAGTGTGCTGCTGTGAGGCCGGAATGGAAAAGCTTTTCCAGAGCAGGGGTTGATTTCACACTCCCCCGCCAGCCAGAGCAGCCCAAGGCCGCTTCCCGCAGATAACGGGGCTGCGGGGAAGGGTTATCACAAAAACAACATGAGAAACACGGGCTGGCTCCAGATCCACGCTGTACCTGGGAATCGCATCCAGCGCACAAACACGACCTCCTCCTACGCACAGGGTGAACTGGGAGAGCGGGCAGCGAGATGACAATCGCCGTCATTTCACTCCCACAAGGCTTTCTCCCTTTTCCCACGACAGACTGTGGGACAGACTGTCTGCCTGTCCCTGGGCTCAGGCTGTAGGCAGGCACAGCACGGAGCAGCCACGGTGTCCCTGGCCACCTCTGGGAAGGGTGCAGGGCAGCCGGGCAGCGCCGCAGACAGACAGACAGACAGACCTCTGACCTTTGGCTGTACGGCTCCCAGAGCCACACTCAGCTCTGCTGCTCACAGCCCTCCTCGGCCTTCCTGGCCCCCAGTCAGACTGTACAGCAGGGAAGGGATGGGAAGGAGGCAGGAAGGGCCTGCAATCAGTTTCAGCTCTCATGCCTGATCGGAACAAGCTGGGCACTGCTGCCTACGCTAACTCAGCAAGAAGCATTGCAACAAGTTGTTCTTATTTACAAGTGTTTCCTTCCCTCCCTTGGATTGCAACTGAACGTCAGTATTTTAATACAGACTCACACTGGAACCACTTTACACGGTAAAGTGTATTTATTTAAAGTGTTTAATATGAAACAGTCAGATGGTTAATAAACACATTATTCTGTTGGGCAAAGCTCTTCTAAGTAATAAAACGCCTGGAGTTTCTAAATGAAATCATAACACTGTTCAGAAAGACATTCCTGAAGAGCAGCAATCTGCAATTTCAGGAAGTTAGGAAAACAGAAAGGCACTAGGGATAGTGGCAATCTGAACGCAGGAGTTTCCACTAAAGCAGGGACTTGTTCTGACTGAGCAGAATCCCTGGAAGCAGCAGAGCAATGTTTGCACAACAGACCTCGCAGACAGAGCCACTGACGGTACCAGGAAAGGGGAGGAAAGTGAATTGCACCGTGGATTTGGGAGCCAAAAGAGAAAGGGCATGTCTCAAGCTAAATTCATCTGCCTTGGCAGTATTCCTGCCAGAATCACAAACTTGTGACCACTAAATATAGCAGAGAAAAGGAATCTACTGCAAGTAACTCTCTCCAGTAGTGCTCACTGTTTTACGCAGGCAGAAGGAAAACACAAAAGAGAGGTTTGTCAAGCAAATGGCAAACGAAGCTTGCCAAATTTGAAGGGCAAATTACAATTTAAATGATGGGTCCTAGCCTGTCAGCTGTGAATTCATCAGCTTCTCTCTCAAGCGTGTCCAATCAAGGCTACAGCGATGCAAGCCTCCCCAGCACACCTCTCCTCTGACTCGGAGGGGCTGCCTCTCCAAAGAATAAGTATCTCATGTCCCTTTAATTCTTCCAGTTGAAAATTCCCTTTAAAGTGTTAGTTCAGGGTCTTGTTTGTTTTATGCCTTCTGTCCCACGTACTTGGAGGACTGTGGGCAGAGGAGCCTTTCTACAAGCACAGCCTGCATGTTCGCATGCCTGTGCTAGTTCTGCACGCATGAAAGGGGCCCCTCGACAGTGGCGTCTCCCACACTGGCAGTGCAGGACGTTCTCCACTAAGAAAAGCCCTTTCCTTTACCACTTAAGACAAACAAAATATCTTTGTCTTTGCTTTTAAATAATTAGCTGCTTCAGGGGAAAGAAAAAAACCCCACAAACCTAAATCTCTGATTTATTGTATTGTTTCAAGCTTGTAGAGTAACTTTTTGTGTGCAGTGAAAACCTGGCAATCACTGTTCCTCCTGCCAGTGAAGATCACTGATTACTGATGCCAGAGAAGATCAAACAGCCAAAGGGGTCATAGACAACCCAAGAGAAAGAACTTGGTGTCGCACAGTAAACTGCTAGAATAAACTGTTCTTGCTAAACAAAATTAAAAAAAATACAGGTGAAATTGCAAAGCCAAGTACTCCAAATTAGAAACAGCCCAGATTAAAGAATGCCTTACTGATATCATGCATTCCACTTCTGCACACTCAGGGTGACAACAGTCTTCCCATCCAAGTCTGAATCACAGGATGTCCAGGCTGTTTTCTCTGAGAATCAGGATTTCTTAACAACGCACACAAACCAGGACAGATGCCCGTGAGCCCCGTGCATCTCCCTCGCTGAAAGGCACCGGCATTACTGACACAGAAGTTACTTACAGACAAGTCTAGTCAAGCACCAGAGGCTGTGTTGTGCAAGCAGAGCCGCTGCACCATCCTGTCCCGGGCCAGGCAGCACAGCCAGGGCCAAGCAGGTGAGGTAAGACATGAGCCAACCCAGCCCGAGCCACTCCAGCCCACTGAGGCTTGTCTCTGTAGATTTCAGGGACACACCTCTCAGAATCACCATTCAGAACAAAACTCCAGCAGGGAGATGGCGTGTGATCACCAACACAAGCCCTTGCAACAGGATATGCTTCAATTTCCTCACAATCCACACGCTGGCTTTCAGTACAGTGAACTCCTGGACTGGCTTCTCGCAGAATTTTTGCAAGAAGAAATAGATTCAGAGTCACCTCTGAGCTCTGCAAAGGTGATGCCTTCACTCACCAACATTATCAGTAAAGCTATTCCAAGGCTACCTACAGCACCAGGAAGGCACAATTGCTCTGCAGGAACACTGTTTGCTCACACTAAATTGCACAGATACCCACTTCCACCCCCTTAGGAACTCCTGAGGTGACCTGGACATGTAATTGGGAAGAAAATCCAGACTTTTCACTTCTCCAAAATGAAGCTGGTCCTGCTCTAGATTCCCTCTTCCAATAACAAGCTCTGCTTTCTCCATCCCAGGGGTATTTTGTCACCAGCATTCCACCCAGTTTTGCATAAGAAACAACACTGCACACAGTTTATCATACACTCTTTTTCTTTTAAAAAAAAACAACAAACCTACCAAACAACCCTAAACCTGTCAGCCTGCTAACTGTAAAACCACTTGTTACAGTCTGAGCAGTTGAAGAAGCAGAAGGACAATGCCAGGAAATACCTGGAATTGATCTTCAAAGTTTATTTTTGGAGACTGGCTTTTCTCCCAGCTCTTATTTAATAATTTGCTCTTTCCCTCCTCTCACCAGTTGTTCTTTCTGGGGTCAAATTGCAATCTGCTTCACCTCCTGGAGTTCACCCACAGACCCCCTAAGAAGAACTTCAGGAATCAAATTCTGGCTCAGACAACACATTCTTTCTATTTCATGGCTATCATATTCTTTCTCATGTATCAAGAAAGATAGAATAGTCTGGTATTTGTCTAGAAGCAGACATGCACAGGATCCATTTAACACTCAGTACCTGCCTGTGCTTCATATCTCTGCTACACAAGCAAATTTCTTCAGCTAAGTCACTCCCTTGACATTTAGCTCATTTAGAAAAAGAAGTCTTTCTTCTGTGAACTAGTTCTCCACACTGAAGGAATTTTTTCCTTAGCCTACCTGATTTACCAGCACAGATAGGCTTTTGCTACAAGAGCTGGTGATTTCTTTTCCATGCTGCTAAATAACACAATGGTGGCAGCAGCACCTCAGAGGTGACCAGGGTGTGGCTCCCCAGATGGCTCCCTGAGATTTGCATTTAGATATTATCTATTGCACACTTGGATGTGTGTCTGTTTAAAGAGTTTCCACACATCTCCCAGCCACCAGGGAACAGCCACACCTGCTGTCCTGGGCAGCACAAGGCTGAACGGCTGCACATTTACCCCAAGGTTTAGGTGCTTGTGACTGAGAGCACCCACACAGTCACACACAGCAACCTCAGTGGGTGTACAATATATCAGCTTTGTGCCTGAACTATGGGTTTTTGCAAGAGAAAGGACAGGGAAAGGAGGATGAGTCATTTTGCAAAAGGTTTCCATCCGAATGAAGTGAGTACCTACCGGGTGCTGTCCACCACTGAGAGCCAGTGCCAGCCTCGCCCCCGGGAGTGCAGCAGATTGCAAGGCAGCTGCAAGGAGCTCGGGCAGGAGAAGGAGCACACCCCTGGGAGCCCACAGTGTCCTCATTGCTTCCACCTCTGCCACTAACCTGATGTGAGACCTTGAAAACGCCACTCTGCAAATCCCTTTGGCCTCTTATTTATAGCAGACTGTCAGGTCCAGCCCAAAGCTTGTCTGAGTCCAGGGACTGACCAGGGGTGAAGGGTGGATTTAAAGTGGATGCTGCTGTCTGCTCCCCAGTCTCAGGTACAGCCAAACACCTTACACTGCACAACCAACACTGAGCCTGGTGGAAATGAGGACACTCAGAGCCCTCCTAGACACTCTGCTGGGACTTAAGACACTTTGGCCGAGATTCAGCTCTCCTGACACTAAACAGCCAGAGGAGCAGTACCTCTGTAAGTGCTCATTGTTTGAGCTCAGCAGAAACAATGGAGAGGAACAGGCACTTTTAGGGCAGTCTGTCCAATGTATTTTTAGATGTCCAACTCAGTGTGGATGAATCATGGCTCAAAAGCGTGTGCTCCTCTCCAGTGACTATGAAAGGAGTCTGGAGAACTGTTTCTCGTGCAGATAGTTATGTTATATAGTTTGGCAAGATGAACCGTGGCCTTTTAAGATGGGGAAAAGGAAGGCAACAAAGCAGCATCCCCTCGGGTTACACTGAAGCTAGAACACCCTCCAAGTGATCTGTGCTTCCCTTCCCCAGAAACACCTTGTAACTAAATGACACACAAACACCTTCACCCTTGGGCTTGTCTTCGCTAGAAGAATTTCATTCAGTTATTGAACTTGAATATTTCACCAAATATTCCTGCAAGCTGAGCTGCACATTGCTCACGATTCAAGAGCCTCCAAGAAGCTGGACGTGCTTCTTGTGAGTCAGCTTTCATTCCTTTCCCTGCATCATTTAGGTGGTTATTAACAACACAAACCCACACAACACAGAGGTCTCTAATGAAAATTGAACAGAACCCATTTCTCTTCTCTACAACCACTTCATGGATGGGTGTACACAGGCTGTGTGTCACAGACCAAGGGGTGTCCAGTGCATTCCTTCCCCCCTTTGCTCCACCATCTACCAACTCCTGGTCTTTCTCCTGGCAACCAACAGGCCAGAAGATTCAGAAAGCACAACTTTTTCCCACAAACCCCACATTTCTGCCTCCTCCTTGCACTTCCACAAAAGTAACTACAAGTGCTTTGTTTTCCATTTTAATTGTAATTTCCTTTGATAGAACTTGCAGCCTAAGTCTTAATGCTCAGATAACTAATGCCATTCTTTTCTCTTCTTCCTCATCTATGGTCACAAAGAGTGCTTGTACCAGGGTCAGCAGTTCCTTAAAAACCTCTCGAGCCAATATGTGCAGCTGCATTGTGCAGGGAGTTATCAGCAGGCTGCAGGAAGGTTAGAAAGCAAACATGCCTCCCTACAAGCCTGAAGTTATGCCTGGAGTCAAAGCTCTGTCCTGTTTCCCCTCCTGTGGGGAGATAACAGCATGTTCTACACCAGCTCTCTCCCTCACACAGCTTTCTACTGTGCACACAAGCTGGGCTAAACAGAATTTTTAGCCCCACTCCCTCTTCTGTCCCTGTCCTGGTCCCTCTGCATCTCCACATAAGCAGATTTTTCCACCTCCTGCTGTACTGTCATTTAGGTGATCTGCAGAGGCTGTCTTCTTTGTACCCTCCCCAACACCAGGAGCCCTGTGTGACCCATGAAGGTGGCAGAAAGCTGGCCAGTATTCAGCAACAGTAGTCTTCCCATCTCCACTCCATAATCCTTCTGCAAAGAAAATGCTCCAAACATGAGAAGTCTCTCCCCTGTCAGCATTACCCCAAGCCAAAATACATTCATCCTGCACAGTGACTACTTGCTCCTGGCACCCTTCATGCTCTGAAGGATGCAAGTCAGTCCAGGAAGGGTAAGGCAAATTCATGTCCTATGGGATAATATACATTGTATTTTATGACTCATAGTCCAGTAGCTATAGATTCTACTTCAGGTAAAAGCTCCTGCTCCTCCTGCAGGAACTGCATATTGGCACAGAGAGTGGGGTGAACATTGCCTGCCCCTTAACATGGATATATTAGTTGTAGTTCCATACATTTACATTCCTGACCAATTCATCCACACCAGCTGAAGCAAAATACTTCCTCTGACCCAAGCCAGGTCTTGATCCCTCCTCTGGAGAGCAAAACCAGCAAAATCAGATCAACCTGCTCTGCCAGTGTCTACATGGCCACCTCTGGCTCAGTTACAGGAGTCCCCCAGCCAAACCATCCAGGGGAAAAATTCAAGGAAGGAAAGATTAGGTGAGAGGTATATAAAAATGTCACCTTCTCCTTAATCACAGCTTATGGATCCATCCCAAAGTATTACTCATACAGTGCTCCACACTTCCTATTGCTTATAATCCCACTGCCTAATCCAACTACTTGTTCTAACAGGCACGTTGCTAGGAGTGGGTCCTTGCCATCACTGAGAGCATTCCTTCAAGACCACATCCCTACCCACATCTAGAAGTACCACGACAGCTCAGGAAAACCTGCAGAAAAGGTAGAGCAAGCGTGGTGCACACACAGCTCTTCCTTTCAACAGGACAGAGCCCATGGCCATCCTCTCCCACGCTGCCAGATCGTATTGGGGAAACACTTCAGTTGTGGTAAGCAACAGATAAGCATCTCTGCTTTGACACAGAAAAAGCATCTCAGCTGGTAGACTTTTAAAACTGGTATTTACTGCGCCTCAGGGAAGAAAATAAATTGGCTAAATGGGCTGAAAGGCACAGCTTCACTAGGAAGAGCTTGGATTGTCTCTTTGCATCTTTCAGCACAAACCCGGCCATTGAGAGCCCAGATCTAAAACAGAGCCGCAGTTGCTAAGAAAACAGCGCTGCAAACAGATGTCAGGAGATGATTCATGGAGTAAGGGCATATCCCTGTACTACAGATAAACCAAAATGAATGAGGCTCTTTATACCTGATCTCCCAAGCTGGGCTTCTTCATACCCGCTTTGGGACTATTTCTTTAGTTCCTTTCTATATTCAGATGTTGAGGAAACTGAGTAGAGCTGAACTCACTGTTTATGGAATAATTACAAGTAAAAGAGTTTTACGACATACATAATGAACTCAATAAATGGGCTAAATTGTGGTCTGTTTTTCCCCTGAAACAATGCAATTTTCTCCCAAAGCATGCAAGCAATCTTTCCCAAAAACAGTAACATATAACACACAGATAAAAACTGCAAAGGAACAGTAACCAGTTGGGGTTTCTTTCTTACTTTCTCTTTCACCATGAAACTTAAAATTAGCAGCTGGGGAGATAAAGCATTTTCAAGCTATTAGATCATTAGCCAGCAATGCCTGCCACTCCTTGAATTACTTCATTGTGTCTGTGCTTAGAATCTTTGCTTGACAAATAAATAAGAAATAGCTGGCACACTACAGGACTGGTCAAGTGCTACTGACACCAACAAAATTCTCAGTTACTTGACAGAACTTTTAGTCTGACTTAAAGTCTGACTCCTTTTATAGGAGAAAGATTAGCTCCTTTCTTAGAATATCCACAATCATACAACATCCTGAGTTGGAAGGAACCCCCAAGGAGCATCAAAGTACAGTTCCTTTGCCCCTGTTAAACCACCATGCTCAAATCTTAGCACTGTATGATATCAGCAACACTTAAAATAGAATTTCCTGAGGGTAATTGTAAGGAATTGTTTAAATAAAGGAACTTTAATATACATTTCTATAGAAAACTCATTTTAAAAGATAATTATCATTCATTACTTTTCAATAGGAAGAAGGGAAGGATGAATATTAATTTATCCACTTCTGAATAGGTGTTTGTACAGCATTTCACATGAGGGGGGCTCAAACATTGCCACTGCACGCATCAGTACATGGTGACATATTATTGTGGTTACTGCTGTTGTTTCACCTCCAAATTCCAGCGTCACCAGCCATCCCTCTCTCTTCAGCTCATCCCCACTGCCACCGCCTGCAGATGCCAGGGTTTCCTCTCCCCTGCCACCTCCTGCTCACTCCACACCACCCCATCCTCTCTTGCTATGACATGCTGCCTCCCGCCTCAGAAATCAATTATTTAGGCTGCCCTGATTTCAGCGTGAGGTGGCTGTGTGTGCAGATACTGTCATTGTGAGCAGGGTTAACAGCTGCCACCGTGCTCCTTCTCAGAGCTATGAAGCCCCCCCAGAAGTGGCTGATGACCGTGACACAGCTAACCAGGCGCCAGCAGCCATGCAGGAATTGCATTTCACAGAGATGTAAACAGACGTGTCCGCCAAGCTACAGCTCTGTTCACTTAGCCAACAGTCACAATAATGAGCCAGGACCTGCACGTGGCACTTACGTCTTTGTCTGTCTGTCCTGCAAGGACAGATCACCCTGTGAGCTGAGAGGGAGGAAAACTCAGGAAGGTCAGAAAGAGGGGGAGAGGACAGGCGGGACACAGGGAAAGAGGAAAGCAGAGACATGAGGAACACGGAGTCACAGACATGACAAAGGCTGAGAGAAACTCTAAAACTTGCTCCAAGTTTTCTCTCTATAGATTCTGAGTAACTTGAGGAGGGTGCACCTGCTCTACTTCCTGATGCCTCCAGCAGCTCTCAGGAGAAATAAAGAAGAACGACTCAGTTTTGGAGCGACAGGGATAGGACTGAGCCCAGGTTTTGTTCTGGAGGTGAAAGGAGGACAAGGAGCCTTCCCTTAAATCAACAGACACACAGAGCACCTGACACTAAGCCAGCACCGAGTTACAGACAGGGAGCCCCACGTGCGGCATCCCATGGGCTGGAATAACACAGATCCGTAACAACCGCTCCGAGAGGAAACAGGCGGCTGCCAGGAGCCCTGGAAAGATGGGAGGAAAGGCAGGAGGGAGGCTGGCAGCGAGGCGGGAAAGAGAAAGGAGCCCATGTGCAGCGGGAAGCACAGAGCGCGCGAGTCCTCAGCAGGCAGCGCTTCAGCCAGGGCAGCAGCACCGGCAATAAAAGGCAGCGCAGGGAGGATGCCGGTGCCTCCCGCGGCCCTCCCAGAAAAGCAGTCGCTCCCTTTTCCCGAGAACTTTGCCTGAGTAAGTTTGCACCATCAGTTTCCAAACACACAACCCAAGAGACACCGACGTTCCCGGCGGTACCCACGGCTCCCCGGGGAAGCGCCGGTCACCCGCCCGCACCCCCTGCGCGCTCCCCCGANGGCACGGCCGCGCTCTCGGGGTGCCCGGCGAGAGGAGGGGATGGCCCCGGATCCCCTTGGCCGCCTGTGCTCACCAGCCTTGGCTTCGGCGTGCGGGGTTTCCCGGTGTTTTCCCTCCCGGCGCTTACCGGGACGGCGCTGTTCATCCCGCCCCTCGTGAACAGCCGGGCAGGGCCACAGGCCCGCTGTGTCCAAGTGCTTTAGAGTAAGGACTTGGGCTGGAAGTCAGAAAACCTGTGTGTTGTAGGAACCGTTTTCTGTTCTGGGAACGTTTAGGGTTACAGGTAATTGACAAAAATAAAATAATTCGTCACAAATGTGCAGTACCCCCAGATGAAATTTAGAAGATCATCGGAGACCTCTGCAGTCTCTGCACAGTCTTCACAGCCAAGCTGAGCTCCCCTCACCTAAGGCACAGCCCCCAGGTATGACCCATCTTCCCCTCTCTTCCATATCCAGACTTTCCCCAGGTTTAGGGACAGCATCATCTGCCCAGACAGAACTCTGGAAGACAGACGCAGGTCATCTATGTAAACATAAGTTTGGGGTCTTTCTTTAGAACTCAGAGTAGGGTTTTTTGGAGAAGGAAAAAGAAGGAATTCCTTAGATTTGTTCCATTTGATACTGGAGATCTTTCATTTGTAGACTTCACAAAGCAAGAAAATACAAATATTGGGATTGAGCTTTGCTTTATACACCCAGAGGTCAGCCAGCTATTCAAAGGAAATGTAACTTTCCAAAAGCCACTTCCTGCCAGTGTCCATACACTGGGCTTCTCCTCAATCTGTGCTGGTAAAACATCAACCACCTTAAAAGAGGGAAGTGAATGATGGCCTGTATTTGAAGGCTATACAGCCAAATGTACCTGCTTACTCAAGCTTCTCTTTATACCCACAGATCTGCCTAAAGAAATTCTGCAAGATTTGGAGCCCTGGTTTTCTGCGAGAAAATTTTTCTTTTCCGGGCCAAAGTGAATCCTGCACCTTTTTCGGTGTCGTTTCATCTGGAGCCTGAGAACACAGTGACTTGCAGAAGCAACAATCAAAGCTGGCTACGACTTGACTGCCCTGCCTTGGCAAGCACCTGGTCCAGTTCATGTTTTGTTGCCATCCTGGCAACAACCCAACCCATGATGGCTCTTTGTGTACTTTTTTTACTTGTTTTATTGAGGATTAATTAGTGTTTGTGTAGTGACACAGCTGTCTGGTGCTCCATGGACACAGCTGAAGGCGAAGGCCTTCGGGCTATGCTGTGGTTTCCAAATTCCTGTGTTATGGCTACTGTAATGCATATCCTCGAAGTGAAACAAACATTTCTGACTGATTTATGACTTTTGACTGCCAGCTTTCAGTCTTGTGCTTATAGGAAGAAGAGAAGAAGATGGAGTATCAAAACCAAGCTCTGTTACTTGAAGAATTATTTCAAGTCTCCTGTTGGTCACTTGAGGCTCTTGCACATGCTCTGAAATTCACCAGAAGAGGTCTTACGGTGCCTTAATCTTTTATACCTTGTAGAACACCATCCTACATTGTCTCTCCATGTTCTTCTCACTGACTTTACCCTTCCATGAATCACAGGGCTCCTCATCCCAGCCTACACGGCACTGCAGGCATGCCAGGCTATGTCAAACACAGGTCCCAGCCCAAGGTGCTTGTTTTCCCTCAGATTACACATTTCATAACTCGCTTGTAAAGCACCTTGAAGATACAACACTAGTGTTGCTAACACTAAATGGTATTGTTGGGCAGGTTTAACATGAGCAATTAAATAGTAATTCCATAAAAAAGGTGCCAGACACTAAGGTAGGATTAACTCATGTATACCTACTTTGTATCCAGATCTTAAGGCTGTTGATTCCTTTGACTCTGGAAATAAGCTTTCATCTCTTTTTCCACAGAGTCTTCCAGCTAGGAACTGCTAAGGCCCTGTGCTCAGACTAGAACTGCTTTGACAGGCATATGGGTGCTGCCAGCAAGGATAGCAAGTAGCTGACACAGGTCAGCTTGTGGAAGGTGAAGATCTGGAAGCTGTGTGAGCAAGGCTCTTGCCTGCTGCCTACAGCTGTCCAAAATGAGCCACCTGGATGGATGCACAGAGCACTGGGGAAAAGCCCTACAGAGCAGCACTGTCAGGCAGTGATGAATATTACAGTGGGGATGAGGAGCCCTCACAATTCCTGTGAAATTCCCTCCTGAAAGAGGGCCTGATCAGTTCAGCAGTGATTCTTGCCTCACCACCTTCCCACACCAACCAGAATGGCAAAGTCACAGAGCTGAATGTTTCTTGTACAAGGCATCCAGGTAGTGATTGTCCCCCTGTGCTGGGCACTGGTGAGGCCACACCTCAAATCCTGGGTTCAGCCTTGGCCCCTCACTACAGAAAGCCATTGAGGGGCTGGGGTGTGTCCAGAAAAGGGCAACAGAGCTGGGGAAGGGTCTGGAGCACAAGGCTGATGAGGAGCAGCTGAGGCATCTGGGGCTGTTTAGCCTGGAGAAAAGGAGACTCATCACTCTCTACAACTCCATGACAGGAGGGTGTAGCCAGGTGGGGATCAGGCTCTGCTCCCAGGCAACAAGCAACAGGAAGAGAGAAAACAGACTTGAGTTGCACCAGGGGAAGTTTACATTGGATATTAGGAAAAAATTCTGTACTGAAAGACTTGTGAGGTGTTGGAACAGGATGCCCAGGGAAGTGGGGAAATCTCCATCCCTGGAAGTGTTCAAAAGGCATGTGGATGTGGCACCTGGAGACATGGTTTAGTGGTGAATGTTATGGTGCTGTGTTAACAGTTGGACTCAATGAACTCAGAAGTCTTTTCCAATCGTAATTGGAAGATTGGTCCATAGGTCCCACAGGGATCAGCAGAATGAGCTTCATAGTAGGACATTCCTTCCATAACACAGAATTTGCATGTCTAGATTCCAGCATTGGAGGGAGATCAAATGTCCCCAAAGTCCCAGCCCCAATCTAGATAAAGTGTTAACTCTGAATGATTATGATGGCTGTATAAACTAATTTTGTTTGGATACTCCAAGTTACGTTTACTCTGCAGTCTGCCAGGACAAATCTTTGCCTTAGTGACCCTCCTGTTTTCCCTGTGTGCAACCTCCTGTGCTGGCACAGGTTGCATGCTGGAGCTGGGAACCAGATGAAAGTTAGCCCTGAAGAAAAATACTTTGTTTTGATCTGGATTGCTCCCAGGGATTGATTGTGGTGTGTGGACACACAGAGAGGTATGTCAGCATGACAGAGGGGCAGCAGGGTCTAGCACAGGGACAGGAATGCACACTAGAAGCTGGAGTTGGGAACAGGACACTAGGCAAGAAAACAAGGGATCAGCACTGTGCCAGATTCATCAGCCTATGTGCCCAGCTGCCCTCTGCTCACCCCATCCCTTGCAGGAGAGAGCTGGGGTCAAGGGGGAAGAAGGGGTCAGAGTAGAAACTCACCTTTGGACTTTGCAAAGGACCTTCTATCCTGCTGGTGTAGCAACACTGAGGAAATACAGATGCAGTTTCGCAGGCATCATTTTTGATGGCCATGATTTGATGGACCATGCAGTTTATGCTCCCTCTTGTTGTGCTGGTGCAGCTCTTTGTGCTGTTGTGTTGTCAAACAGACCAGGAAACTGCTTTAAAAAAGCAGCACCCTCCCCTCCTCAGTTATTTTTACCCTGGCGCAGTCCCCAGACACAATTCACCTTGTCTCCACTGAGGTGCAACTGGAGGAAGAGTGCTGGAGTGGGAAAGTGTAGCCAGAAGCAGGTGAACAGGGGTCTGCCTAAACCCACTGTACCTCTCAAAAAATGCCAACACCTTGGGGAGAGTTTCCCTTCTGCAGTCATGGCCAGCTTGCTTGCCAGAATTAGAGAGATCAAAAAAGAGGAAAGGAAGGTTAAATCCATGCAGGCACGTGCAACATTTGCATACTATTTTCCTTTGGAAAACATAAAAGGAAATCTGACAGTAATCATGTTAGAAATGCTCCCTGTTCCCCTCCCATTTAATCTAAGCTCTGTGTATGACACTGTCCCTGGCATGTAAGACAGCTCCAGCAGATCGCCGGGGCGCCGACACTGCCTCCAACACCCCGTGTTTCTGCTGAAGTCAGTGGAAACACTTCGATGGTTAAAGGTGCCCAAGCCTAAATGCTCTGTTAGGTCACCAGCTAATTTTAGGATGGAGGAGCACAGCTCCAAAAGAGGAAAAAATAGGTTAATAACCTTGAAGTCACAGCAAATCTGTAGGAAATCTACTGGAATAGGTTCATAATTAGCAAATCCTCACCTTTTCTTCAGTTCCCTTTTTCCCTTGATTTTTTCTGTGGATTGTGGTTCCTGTGGCTAAAGCAGGATGAACTGAAGACTTCTGCACTTAGAGGTTAGTACCTGAACCTTATAGCAGCATCCAGGAGCCAGAACCATGCACTTAAATCCTTCTATACAGAATTGCATTAGGGAGGTGTTTACTGTCTTAAAGTAAACAGTGCTGGTGTGAACTCCCAAATTTTTCAGAGCTAAAGCACTGGATTCTGCTCATACAGAGGCACATCCCAGGTTAGTCTCCTGAGGACAGGCACCTTCCCTCTGAACTGTGCAGGGCTCATTTTGCTCCATTTGTAACACAGGTGTTCTGCATGAATAAAAGTTTCCACTCTGTTTTCCCACCTTCCGAAGTGCACCAGCTTCTCAGTTACAGGTGAGAAGGGTTTGTTACACAAAGAAACATAACTTCAGGTTTCACTCTAAAAACTAAAATTCAAAGGTGGTCATCCCTAACCCTCAATTCCATCTTAGTGGGGTTTTTTTGGATCACAGGTATTTACTGAGGGTATTTACCTCTCACCTGTCTAAGTCCTGCCTCAGCACTGAAGTGCCTTTGTGGATCCCACTCAAAACCTTGCATCCCTGATTGGCTTAGTGGGCTTAGCAGATTGTGTTTTAGGAGTCTGTTGGACTCCTGATAAGATCAGGTCAAGGTTTTACAGACCTTTAGGAGCCCTTAAGACCTTGACCCAGCCTTACCAGGAAATTCAGGCAAGATTTTGGATTCAGAATCCCTTTATCTTAAACCCAAATGTTTATCCATTTTTTTCATTTAGATTAATCAGTCTAACAAAAAATAATACCCCTTTTATACTTGGACAGTCATAGCTGCAGCCCTTGTGTTTATAAGAGCACTGTAATGAGCCTGCAGTCAAGACCACACCAGTCTTGTCAGCTCTGCCCTCGTGCTCCAAGGCTGGCTGGTGCCTCCCAGCACTCTGTATCTCACCAGCAGCTTGGCATCTCAGTTTTGGCTGTATTTCTCAGAAGTTGTGTGAGAGAAACCTGCCAAGAAACACTGCTCAGCTGACCACAGCAGAAGCTTGAGAAACACAGTGTAGTGGTCCAATGCTAGGAAATAACAGCAGCTGGACAAGCAGCTTCTTTGTGAAATAGCTCCAACAGCAGCTGCAAGCTCAGGTGCTTGTAAAACAAAACCGAGCAGCAGAAGGCAACCAAGGGCTTGGGCATTTTCCTGGGCATTTTCCTCTTGCTGGCCTCCTCTCACCCCTGAAGCACTTTCACTGAGGCTTAGACAAGACCTGCAGTAGTTTCCCTTTGAGCAGTGTTTTAATTCCTTTCCTTGCCACCTCCAAGAATGGAAAGGAAATGAAGGGGGAAAAAACCTTTCTCTGTAGTTGCAGGTATTGATAGTTCTAGGACACACCTGGGCTGAGGACTGCACAGACCACATCAGGACATGGAAATACTGGACAAGGCACCTGTCTCTCCCCACCATGGTCAGGGCAAAGCTCGCTTGAGCAGCTCTCAGGCAGCAGCAGTTTGCTTTGCCTCTGCTTCCCCTGCAACACTGACATATCTTGGGTGGCTACAGCCTATTTTCAACCATGATTCAGTGGAGAACAAAAAAGCTCTCAAGGGTAGGAAGTGGGGCTAAGGCTTCTTTGGAAGCAGGATTTAGTAATCCCAGTTGCCACCTTTAAAAATCAGTGCCCTTGGGCCCCAGCCAGCCCTCAGCTCTGTCAACATCTTTACTGCCAACTTTACTAACAGTCACACAAATGTAAATCTACTGTGAGAAGAGGATTAAGCCCATTCTGGTTTTATGGCCTATAAAATGTCTCCTGCCCTGCTGCCACTGTGCAGTGATACATAACACAGAGAAGGGGAATTCAGGCTGCTATTGTGTTTTCAGAAATTTAAAGGAAAAAATGTAATTCCAGAAACTTTACCAGCCAGTGAAGTGCAAATGCAGACAAGGGTTTTCCTAAGTCAGAAATTAAAGGCCTCTACCTTGCCAGATGCTGGTTGAAGTACATAATTTTTTTTCCTCAGAATAAGATTATCAACAGCAATTTTCCATGCATTCAAGTTCAGGATTTTGTCTGCAAGGGGATTAAAGCTCAGGCAAACATCAGCCTGCCTGAACACTGCCCTGCTCCATCTACTGCTCCCACTTGGGATGAGACCTATGTAGGGGGCCATGTAGGAATCCCACTAAAATTATTATTTTTTCACTGATGACTCAGCTGGCTGAGACTTGGAAGGAGGACTGAGGGAATCATATTTACAGTTTCTAAAAATTTTCAGTTTGTTGTGGCTTTCTCACTCCCTTAGGTTGATATTTTCATACAAAAGGGTTTTCTTAACTAAAAAAATTATCATTGAACTTCAGTTCTTGCGTTGGGCATATATTTTGGTTCCAGGTTTCTATAGTTCAGAGGATGGCTGAGACCTCTTAGCAAGATATCAGTACCACTGAATAATTGTAATGATCACTAGCAGAGTAACTCCATTGAGCTGTCAG